ATTATACAAGAGCTTGCAAAGAAATGTACAGGAACATCCCACATACCCCTCCAACTCCTCCAAGGCCCCTGAAAAATCTATTTGGACTATTTTCTTATGAAAAGAGGAAACAAGTTTAAGGTTTAAATTAGAAAATGGATTGTTTCATGTCTAAACCAAAAGCTTAGTGTAGATCTGAGTGTTGGACCCAGTGTAGCTTGTGTCTCTGGTGCAGAGGCGGGTGGCCATCAGCAGGGGTTGCGGCAGGGGCACTGGACTCACCCTGACTTTCTAGCTACTCATCTCTTTTGTATGACTCCTCCCTCCTGCCCATTGCAAACTTCAAAGTGACTGGATTTAGGTGAGTGTAAGGTAATAATAGAGGCTAGGGAGAAAGGAAAGGGAGCCATACTGAGTATAGGAATTTGTCTGTACACATACAGCATAGGCTACGTGTTAACACTGATGAATAATCTTTTTTCTTTGAACTAAAACTCTTGTTTTGAACTGAGAGTCTTTTTTTTTTTTTTAAGGAAAGCACCATAGCTCACCTCTGACAGTGTGATCATTCTTTTTTTTTTTTAAAATTTATTTATTTATTTATACAAGCATTGGGTACAGTTAGAAGCGCGGGAGGGTGAGAGAATTTACCAGAGCCAGAGCGGGGAGCAAAACAGGCAGATTGACGAAGTACACTGCTGAGGGGAGCAGCGGGCGGCAGGAGAGGTCTGCACACCATGTGGGACCCTCACCCGGTGGCCGGGGATCGAACCGGCACTGCAGAGGCGCGGGCAGCTTCGCAACCCAGCGCTCAACCACTGTGTCACCGAGGAGGCCCCCTGAACTGAGAGTCTTGCCCCAGTGATGCCTGAGGAAGTGTCAGACATTGATGCCATCACAAAAACAGGCTGTTTTCCCAAGCCCAGGAAAAAAAAAAAGATGTATCTGGGTGTAAAAGACCAAAAAGGTGACAACAAACTCCAGGGGCCAAACATGATGAAGACCAGGAACGCCAACTGTAATGGGCTATTCGGTTATAATTAACTCACTAGAAAAAAGCCAGCTTGATATGTCAGAACAGCTTTTTTGGGGTAAAATGTCTGCCTTTCTCTCAGATTGCTGGTTTTCTGTGAATAAAGTGCATCTTATAGGTTTAATTCCTGTCTCTGCTCATTGGCTTCTGGCAGTGACAGGCAGCCCAGCCCCAGCATTTCCAGCTACAATGAAGCTTAGAAGGTGTATTGTGTGGTGAGCAGAGTCATTTTAGGTTTTGCCTTCAACTATAATACTCTAGCCATTATCTTTCTGGGAGAGGAGGCTGTTTTTTTGAATTAAGGAATGTTAGTGCACATCAAGGAGGGAGGCACTTAACTGTTTTGAGAGATGAGGAGCTTAAAGTCTTTTGCTTTAAGCACAGAATTTTGTTAAATATTTGAAATTGTACTTTAATTCTATGTTTATTTGGTTAAGGAGGAAGATGAAAGAGAAGAATGTAAATCTCAGATGCAGAGAGAAAAAAGAAAGGCAAAGAGAGAATGAAGATAGGCAAAGAAGCTTATTACTGTTAGCTCAAAGGTAGAGTTTCTAGGAGGATTTTGAGTTTTAGACCAGTTAATGGCCTACTTGGGCCATACGTTTCATAGCAACATCTCTTACCACTGCCTTTTGAAATGCTAATTATTAGCCATTCATCCTAGCTTCTCAAAATGCCATAGGTATTCAAGTGTCACCCGATGGGATAGCCACAACCACACCAAGAGATCCTTCCCTAGACTGTAAGAGAAGACAGCAATTCTGCTGTGACCTTCCAAAGCTGGGGATGCCCCAGCCTGCCACATACAGAAATTTAACTAAACAAGGAAAGGACCAATGTGAAGTATAACAGCAAACTGCTTATCAGTTTCCTTAAGGAAGCCCATTACCTTCGTGCAGATACAATAAATACTATGTACAACTTATCAGCTTTGGCAATAACTCTTCATATCAACCCTTATCACCTTCCCTCCGCATCAACAACCAGTGTAACATGCACTGACTTTTCTCCTGTCAATCATATAGACTCAACTGCAGAGTATAGCCACATTTTCTCAACTCTTTGTCTTCCTTCTGGCTATACCTGACTGCCCCCAACCCTAGGCAGCACAAGGGCCACGTTTGTTGAATGATTAGCTACTTAGCCATGTCTGTCATTAACACTCCGACCCTACCACTCCAAAGAGCGGTACTCAGGACTACAGCATGGACAGAACCTGGGAGGTTGTTAGAAATGCAGAATCACAGGCTCCAGTTCAAACCTTCGGAGTCAGAATCTGCACATTAGCACACCCCTCTGGTGATTCACTTAAGCACATTAAAGCCCTGGAAGCACCCTTGGCTTTCTCATCCTTTCCCACTCCACATTGCCATTTCTTCTTCCACTGACCATACTCAAGTTCCTTCATACTCACTTTTTATTCCCTAGTACATGCACAAAACAGTTCCTCAGACCCTCCTTCCCTTCCAACTCCTCATCCCCATCTTTTTCTTTCCCCATTCCTGTCCTCTTTCTCCCTGTTCAACTCGACAGAGATCAGATGATCTTGTTTTGCTGATATTTTTCCTTTTATGCCCCAATGTATTTCTGGTCTTATGCCACCCTCTATTTTTTCCAATCTCAGAGGATCTTCCTTATTTCTAAGATAGTTCTTCTGCCTGTGCCATTTATATATCTTCCCTTTTCCTCCCTTTGGGATCTCCCTGTCTTACAGGTCTTCTCTCTCCCAGAATCATTTCTGTCATCTCCACTAAACCCTTTCTCTTTGCATCTCAATGTGCATAAATCTTTTAAGAGAATCACAGCATAGACCCACAGATTCATTTGATCCTCCTTCCTTCTGGTTTGTATGCTATTTATTCTTTCACAGATTTCTCAAATGATATAGAAGAGTGGTTTCTCCCCTCACCCCCAGCCCCTCAGGAACAGTTGGCATTTGCGTAGAGATATTTTTGGTCACTGCAACTGTGGGAGCTGCTACTGTCATTTGGTGGGCAGAAGTGAAGGACACTATTCAAGATCCTACAGTGCACAAGACAGCATCTCCTGCCCCCAAAAATTGTCTGGCTAGGGTTACCAACCATCCATGTTTGCCTTCAATTTTCCCCATTATAGCACCAAAAATCCTGTGTCCCAGGAAGCCCCTCAGTCCTGGATGTACTGGGATGGTTGGTTGCCTTATATCTGGCCCAAAATATCAAAAATGCCGAAGTTAAGAAATCCATCTCTAGATGCAAGATTCATTAACTTCATTTTTTTTCTGTCTCCCCTTCAATATGACATTTAATTTCTATGTTCCTTTCTACTGAAACATTATTTGAAAGTCACCTATGGTCACCTTCTAGTCATGACATCTAATGGCCTTTATTCCTCCTCTTTCAGCCTTTTTGATCTTTTTCAAGCATTTGACACTTCAAACTGACACTTTGAAGCCTTTTCCTCTCATATACTTCTCTCCCTCCTATCCTCATTACTGTGCCTTTTCGCTTTTTAAGTTGCTATTTCTACTATCTCTCTCTTTTTTTTTTAAAGATTGATTGATTGATTGATTGATTGATACATACAAGCACTGGGTACAGTCAGAAGCGCTGGAGGGTGAGAGAATTCACCAGAGCCAGAGTGGGGAGCAGAGCAGGCAGAAGGACCGAAGTACACTGCTGAGGGGAGCAGCGGGCGGCAGGAGAGGTCTGCGCGCCATGTGGGACCCTCCTCCGGTGGCCAGGGAGCAGCCGGGGATCAAACCGGCACTGCAGAGGCTGCGGGCAGCTTGGCAACCCAGCGCTCAACCGCTGCACCACCGGGGATGCCCTATTTCTACTATCTCAAATGTAGATTTTCCTTCATTAGGGTTCCTTGTCTCTTTTACTAGAGAACATAATTCTTAGCTTCAGATCTCATCTTTATTAGTTGAATCCCATATCTCCTTTCTGAGTCCTAGTCTCTCATTTCTGGTTGATGGATGGATTCCCTTGCTGTCCAGAAGAATCTAGAACTAAACCTGAGTAGTGGCAGTTTAAGAAGATCATTTCCTATATTGGCAAGGAGGAAAGGAAAGGAAACAGTTTGGGTTTTACTTTTCAACCTTAGCTTCCACTTTGGTCCTCTGTCACCCTTCAGCTCCATGCAAGTGGGATAACTCTTCCATGCACTTAGCTACCTCTGCTTTCTTCTTTCCATGGTTTTGCTTCATGTCTTCTTACTCATTGGAAAACACTTCTGTCTTTTCCTTCTTCAGATCTTCCTGATCATTCCAATCAGAAAGTGTAGAATAATGAAAATATTGGATTGGGAATCAGAATACCCATTGCTTCTACTTTATTTAAAACCTTGGGATAATTACTTGATTTTTCTTTAGCTATATATAACTGCATACAAGAGCTGGGGTACAGGCCAGAGGTGCGGGAGGTGAGAGGATTCACCAGAGACAGAGCGGGGAACAGAACAGGCAGGCTGACTGAAATACACTGCTGAGGGGAGCAGTGGGTGAGACAGGAGAGGTCTGCTTTGCCATGTGGGTTGCTCCCTGGCCGGCTGGGGATCAAACTCGTGCTGCAGTAGTTGCGGACAGCTTCACTGTGCTGCGCTTAACCCCTTGTGCCTCCAAGGAGGCCTTATTTGTTATTATTAAGAAATACCCATCTCATGTTCACCTATCTCAGCTAAAATAAAAAGAAAAGGCTTTGAAAATGTGAATTGCCGAATAGTATTCTCTGGCTTTAACAGCACTTTGTGCCCTTCATGTGGAAACTTACTATCTTTTGTTTGTAGTGACAAATACTACAAAGTTTTTTAAAAAAATCAGGACCATAAATTAAACTCTTCCATAGTTTCTATCATTATGCACATCATATTAACAGATTGCGTCAAGACCAGTGAAATAACTGCAATTCCAGCTGCTATTCAGTCTTTATTCATTAATTCTAAATATTGTAGACTGTATCAAATTTATCCCCTTTTCCTTTTTATATTTTTTTTATCTTCAATATAGGTGATGTCTTTCCAGTGCAAATGAATCCGATAACTCAATCTCAGTTTATTCCTTTGGCTGAAGTTCTTTGCTGTGCTATATCTGATATGAATGCTGCTCAGATTGTAGTAACACAGGAATCACTATTGGAACATTTGGTGAAACATTACCCAGGTAAAGTAATAAGTTTCTCTTAATTAGCAGTTCATTGCATGTGTTTGGTTTCCATTTATAAATGATCTTAAGTATATGAATTAATTGGCAATATCCAATTTTATTTTAGAGGCGTAGCAGAAAAAGGCTTATATCAACAAATTATTTATTTCTATTTATTTATTTCTCTTTACTTTCCAGATGAACACTTTTAAAAATTATACTTATGGCAAATAAATAAATCAAACTCTGTAGAAAGGAGTGCAAAGGTCATCTTTTCCCACATCATGTTCTTCTACTCACACTTTCCAGAAAAAGTGACTTTATTGTTCATAGTTTACATATTCTTCGTAAATTCTATTTGAATGTCTGTATCTTTTTTGAATCATTCTATATAAACCCTCTGCATCTTTCATTTTTAACTTGAAAACATACCTTGAAGGTCTTTGTCACCATATACAGATCTAGCTCATTCTTTTCATGGCTGCATGATTTCCCAATGCATGATTTTTTATTTTTCCCATTAGAAAATGAAAATGCTGATTGTAGAAAAATTCCAAAAATATAGAAAAGTAATCACTCTTAGTACTATCACCCAAAGAAAACCAATTTAACATACTGTTATCATCTGGTTTTTCTTCTGCAAACATTTTTAACATTGTTTTCATAAACTAATTATTTTGAACCCTATTTGGAATAGGGAATTTCTTTTAAAATTGCTTGTTAGGGCCTTCCCTGGTGGTGCAGGTGGTTGAGTGAAGCACTGTGAAGCTGTCTGCAGCCTCTGCAGCGCTGGTTTGATTCCGGCCGGCTGGCAGGAATCCCACATGGCACGGCAGACCTCTCCTGTCTCTCCCGCTGCTTCCCTCAGCAGTGTGTTTTGGTTGGTCTGCCTGTTCTGCTCCCTGCTCTGTCTCTGGTGAATTCTTTCACCCTCCGGCGCATCTGGCCTGTACCCCAGTTCTTGTATGCATGCATAAATAAATCTTAAAAAAAAAAAAATAAAATTGCTTATTACCTTTCCAGTTTGAAAACCCACTATAATTTTTTTTTTTATATATATAGAGGCATGTTTTCTTTCTTTCTTTATTTATTTGTTTGTTTTTGTTTATACATGCACTGGGTACAGTCAGAAGCGCGGGAGGGTGAGAGAATTCACCAGAGCCAGAGCGGGGAGCAGAGCAGGCAGAGGGACCGAAGTACACTGCTGAGGGGAGCAGCGGGCGGCAGGAGAGTTCTGCGCGCCATGTGGGACCCTCCTCTGGTGGCCGGGGAGCAGCCGGGGATCGAACCGGCGCCGCAGAGGCCGCGGGCAGCTTTGCAACCCAGCGCTCAACCGCTGCGCCACCGGGGAGGCCCGAAAACCCACTATAATTTTGATGTGTTAGATAGTTTGTCCTTAACACAAGCACAGACTGGCTTTCATTTTCTCTTTAGATTGCTTAATAAAATAGTTATGAGAATGTGGTTTTTTAAAAACTCCCATGTTTGCGCTCAAGAACACTTTCCTTAATAAAATTTAAGTTTAGGTTTGTATAATTTAGTGTTTGTTTTTGCATATATTCAGATTTTTTCTCTACTGAACAATAAACCTAGCCATATGTCTGTGTGTGAACCAAATTATATGCCTATTATTCAATTAAATTATGATTATTAGTGCTGCTTTGGCATTTTAATTATATATATTATGTTATAATTAACTTTGGGTTCATTGAGCAAAGTGTGATCATTTCTGACCTACTGATTTCATTAATTTAATAGTTCCTATTTCATAATCTGTCGGTATAAAATACTTGTTTGTTTTAGGCATTGCAATTCCATCTCAAGATATTCTTTATACCACTCTGGGAACTCTGATTAAAGAAAGAAAGATTTATCACACTGGAGAAGGATACTTCATAGTTACGCCTCAAACTTATTTCATCACAAATACAACTACCCAAGAAAATAAAAGAGTCCTATCAGATGAAAGTCATCCAATGCCAACTACCATTACGTATCTGGTAAGCATGGAGAGTTGTGCAGAGTTAGCCAAGGAAAATGCTGCTCCTGTTTCCCATTGTCAGTCTTGCCAGTGCTTCCCTGATGTTTGCACTCAGCATGGACTGGAATCACCAGCTGCTGCAGAAGTGACTAGAAAAGGACAGAAAGGACTTGGGGAATCCAAGTGTTTGGTACAGAATCGAGCAGTTTCAGCGTCTGAAGAGAATCACATCTGTGAGACCACCAAACCGTTACCATGCACAAAAGATAGAGAAAAAGGCAAGAGGTTTGGCTTTAACCTCTTCTGGCGCAGTATATCCAGAAAGGAGAAGTCCAGAGCAGAGCACAGCAGTTTCTCTGCTCAGTTCCCACCAGAGGAATGGCCTGTTCGAGATGAAGATAACTTGGACAATATCCCTCGAGACATTGAACATGAGATAATCAAACGCATTAATCCCATTCTGACTGTTGACAACTTAATCAAACATACAGTCCTAATGCAAAAATATGAAGAACAGAAAAAATATAATAGTCAGGGCACATCCACCGATATGCTGACAGTCAGACATAAATATCCTTCAAAAGAGGGAGTTAAGAAAAAACAGAGCAGATCTGCAAAGCCTCGAAGGCGGGGCCATACTCGGAGGGACAGACACAAATCCAGGAGTCAGGCAGGTGAGCCTCAGCCTGGAAGCATTAGGCTAGAGAAACACCCCAAGCTCCCTGCTACACAACCCAGCTCTAGAATTAAAAGCCCAAATGAAGCACTTCAGAAACCACTTGGTGAGAGTTCATCAGTGCTAGCTTCCCATTTGATTTACAAAAAGAGAATCAGCAATCCTTTCCAGGGTTTGTCTCCCCGAAGGAACCCAATAACCAAAGGTCACAAACTCCAGAAGACTAGTGATCTGAAACCCTATCAGATTGGACCAAAGGGAAAACCTTTCCAAAGAGTAAGGTGTTTGGAGTCCTCAGGAATGTTTGCAAGGGAAGCCAAACAGCCATATGCTGAACAATGTAATGAGGAAATGAAAGTAGAACCCACTTATTTGGCTAACTCAACAGTCAAATCTAACAATGATGACTTTAGAGATCACCTCTTAAGTTACCCCCAGTGTAGTGTTTTGCAAAATGATAGTACATGCAGTTCCTTTAGGGAAGGCATGTTGGGATATCATGGATATAGTGGAGAAAATGAGGTAGCCCCTGAAATTTTGAGAAAATGTTTTACTCACTTTGTCACTTTAGGGGAGATGAAAGAAACACAGCATATCCTGCCAGTGCGCGCTTCCTCCTCTTTAGACCAAACACCCTCTGCTTGTGAATTAGTTGATAAAACAACACACCAGTTTCAAAAGCTTGGTCTTTTGGATTACCCAGTTGGTGCAAACCAAGTGGGACAACCCCAGAGACAAGATAGAGATTCAGAAGAAGAATTAATGACAAAGGCGTTTGTCCGGGACACAGAGGCCGCATGTCTAGAAAATGAAAGACTTGACCAGACCTTGTATCAGAATGAAGTGGAAGATGAGGATGGTGCCTGCAGTTCATTATATCTAGATGAGGATGACTTCTCTGAGAATGATGACTTATGTCAAGTGCAGCCTGGGCACATTCAGTATTCCTGCAGAGATGGACGCAAGTGGAATCATTTAGGAAAACAGATCACCCAAAGATCTCTGACTGAGCACAGTAGCAATATACATAGTTTTGAGCCTCAGGTCCTTAGAGGAAATGAATGTTACTCACCCACTGGACTGCTCACTAACCCCAGTGAAAGCCAAAAACCTAATCTCTCCACTGAAAGCTGTGGCCTCAATTCCGGGACCCAGTCCAGTTTTAACTATGAAGAGGCGTGCAGTGTTGCTCAATGTGTACCAGCCTCAGCCCCTGCTGATGGAAGTATGTTTGATTACTATAGCACAAGAAAAGTCAGTTCTGGGGCTGAAACCCTACAAGACTCTGTTGGTGACACAGGAGAAAAAGCAGCTAGCTGGAGTCAGGGTCCTCAGAATCAGGAAATGAGAACACAGTTCACACAAAAGTTAGAACTTTTTAAAACTTCACACATGCAAGTGTTGGCTCAGGATATCCAACATGAACACAGCCACTTGGAAGGAACAGAAAATCATAGCATGGCGGGAGATAGCGGAATAGATTCTCCACGGTAAGTACACCTCGAAGTGATCAGCTACTACTATCACACAGAAATTATTAAAATCAGGAGCATATTGAGTTCCCTACTGGGAGATTCTTGAGCAAACTATGACACAATTTGTCTGTCCTTATTGAATAAATTGTATATACATTTTATATAGAATAGGATAAAATAAATTTTTAATGTGGACCAAAATTTGATTGTTCCACTACCACTAATTTTGAATTATTTCAAAAATTTGGATGACACTGCTATAAACCAAGCACTTCCTGAACTGAGGATTGAACATTTTCACTTATATACCTGGATAGAGATAGGTTGAGAAAGAGCTTCATTACTTTCCACTAATATTTTCCATGCCAGTTTGTTTCAATAACATTGTTCATATTATAAAAGTGATATGGGCACAATAGAATACTTGAGAAGCCTTGAGAAGTATTTTTAAAAAACACCTACAATCACCCTACCATCTAGATAGGCATTTTTATTTTATTTTATTTTTTTATTATTATTTTTTTTAAATAATAAATTTTATTTTTATATTCCACATACAATTGCAGCCCCCCCATTCTGACCCCAATCCCTCCCCTCCCGCCCCTCACCCCCAAAAAGTGTCTCTGGTTCATAGTTTTTTGTTGATTTTGATTTTCACTTTCTTATAGTTATTCATTCTCCTGGTCCCTTATTTAAGTTTTCTAGATTCCTGCTATGAGTGAGACCATCCGGTATTTTTCTTTTTCTTTTTGGCTTATTTCGCTGAGCATGATCCCTTCCAGCGCCATCCATGTTGCTGCAAATTGCATGTGTTTATCTTTTTTGAATGCTGAGTAATATTCCATGGTATATATGTACCACATCTTCTTGATCCAGTCATCGATTTTTGGGCATTTGGGTTGTTTCCAAAGCTTAGCTATTGTAGACAGTGCTGCTATAAACATAGGGGTGCAGGTGTTCTTTGGAATTGATGTTTCTGTGTCCTTTGGGTAAATACCTAGGAGTGGAATTGCTGGATCATATGGAAGCTCTATGTTTAGTAGGTCCAGAAATCTCCACACAGCTTTCCACAGTGGTTGGACCAGTTTGCACTCCCACCAACAGTGCAGAAGAGTTCCTTTTTCTCCACACCCTCGCCAACATTTGTTGTTGCTAGTTTTTTTAATATGTGCCATTCTCACTGGTGTAGGATGGTATCTCATGGTAGTTTTGATTTGCATTTCCCTGATGACAAGTGATGTTGAACATTTTTTCATATGCCTGTTGGCCATTTGCATTTCCTCTTCAGAGAAGTTTCTTTTTAGCTCTTCTGCCCATTTTTTGACTGGATTATTTTCTTTGTTGTTGTTGAGTCTCATCAGCTCTTTGCAGATTTTTGTGATCAGTCCTTTATCATTAGTGTTGGGTGCAAAAATGTTCTCCCAGTTGGTGGGGTTTCTCTTTGTTTTTGTTATTGTCTCTTTTGCTGTGCAGAAGCTCTTTAATTTGATGTAGTCCCAGCTGTTTATCTTTGCCTTCACTATCACTGCTTTGGGTGATGTGTCTGTAAAGATGTCTTTGATGTGCAAATCACGTAGTGTTTCGCCTAGATAGGCATTTTTAAAAAGTCCTTTTTATTTGGTGTATCAATGACTTCAATTTGAACAATAGGTCTTTGTGTTTTGTTTATTGAACTCATGCCGTTAAAACTATATTGTATGTTGCTTTTTTTCAATTACTATCATATATATTCCCCTTGTTTTTAAATAGTTTTCAAAAAGATGTCATGTTAATATTTGGTATATGTATTTATTATTTTTTATTATATAAAATTATTGTGTACCTCCTTTTGAAGAAGTAAAACAATACAGAAATGAAAAAGTAAAACTAGAAGTCTTCATTCCCCAACCTTTTCTATTCCCATTTCATAAAAGTGACCTAAACATTGTTTACTTTCAGACTTTTTTCCTGTGCATTTATAAATATATTTTAAAACAACAAATCACATAGAGCCATGACTTTCTTTTTTCACCCAACATATCATATCCTGCAATCAACATGTGTAGATGCAGCTCATTTTTAATGGTTATTTATTAGTATTCCATTATGTGGTTATTTACATAACCATTATTTCCCTTCCTTTGACATCAGGTTGTTCCTAAAAATTTTACTATAATAAATCGATCTGTAGTGAATTGACTTAACTTATAGATATTTGCTTAATTACTTAGGCTAAATTCCTGAAAGTCTGCATTTTTAAAGCACGTTTTTACTTTTCTTGGAGAACAAGATCTTTTGTTTAAAAAAAAATGTTCAATTCATATTAAGTCTTTAACAAGTATCAAAATATATTGTTTCCAAAAGCAAATAACTGTGGTATAAAACAGTAAGCCAACAGTTTCTTGTCTTTAACTCTCCCAATAAGTAAAACAAAAAAATCCCGAAACTGTTCAGGGACATTACTCCTTGATGTATATCCTCTAGACTTTTAACTTGTGAAATCTTGAGACATGTCTTGAAAGTTGCTTACAATGTAGTTTGCGTGAAAGGTTTATTTATTTATTTATTTATTTATTTTTATTTATTTATTAAAGATTTATTTTTTTTTATTTATACATACAAGAGCTGGGGTGTAGACCAGAGGTGAGTTGGGGAGGGCAAGATTCACCAGAGACAAGGTGGGGAGCAGAACAGGCAGATCTACTGAAACACCCTGGTGAGAGGAACAGTGGGCGAGACAGGAGAGGTCTGCTGTGACATGTGGGTAAGCTCCCTTGGTGGGAATTGAACTGGTGCTGCAGTGGCTGCTGATAGCTTCATAGTGCTGAGACTTAACCCTTGCCCCACCAGGAGGTTTATAACTGTAATTACCTAAGCTATCTAGAGAAAAAGGAAGGAAAAATAACATTATAAAGATTGGGGAGAAGAGAGGAACAAGAAATTGTTGCTACTGGAAGTTTACGATTTAGTTGGAGAAAAACAACACACAAATTGAATTTAAGGACAAAACTGCCAAAGAGATGTGGAATTAATAGTGATGAACTGATTGTGTGGGGGAAGACTCACTGGAGGACACATTTTGGAGACATATCTTAATGGAGAAGTGATGGGGAGGACAAAGGTGGAAGAGGCGAAATGTCAAAAGTGAAATGCCCAAAAAACAGTAGTGTAACTCGGTTGAAGCAAGGCAGACATGTTAGACAAGGAACTAACAGAGCATCCAGCTCCTTGTAAAGGAATATTGTCAATATGAAAAACATTATCGTTGGCTTTTCTCTCTAGTATGACTTCTCAAAAAAAAATAATGATTAAGAAATAAATTACCAGGGTTTCCCTGGTGGCCTATCGCTTAAGTCTCCATGCTACCACCATGAAGGCCTGAGTTTGATCCCCAGCCAGGGAGCCAACCCATATGGTGCAACAGACCTCTCCTGTCTCACTGCTCCCCTTAGCAATGTGTTTCAGTAGATTCGCCTCTGCTGCTTCCCACTCTGTCTCTGGTAAATCCTCTTACTCCCCCCACCTCTGGCTTGTACCCCAGTTCTTCTACACAAATAACTAAAATCTTGAAAAAAAAAATTACCCCAGGAGAGGTACTGGTCACCTCAGTTATATAGGAGTTTTTTATGGAACTTGTTTTTGAGTATAATCTACTTGAAATTGAATCTGAGAACAGATGTTTTTCAGAAAAATCTGAGAGTCTTAGAAAGCATCTGTCAAATAATTGAGATGCTATTGCAAAAAGCCTCTAAAATGTAAAGAGTGGGGGCCTCCCTGGTGGTGCAAGGGGTTAAGACACAGCCCATGAAGCTATCTGCAGCCACTGCAGCAAGGGAGTCTGATCCCCAGGCAGGGAGGTGATCAACATGGCACAGCAGATCTCTCTTGTCTCACCCATTGCTCCCCTCACAGTATATTTCAGTAGATCTGCCTGTTCTACTCTCTGCTCTGTCTCTGGTGAATCCTCTCAACCCCCAGACCTCTAGTCTGTACCCCAGTTCTAGTATGCATAAACAAATAAACCTTTAAAAATAAAAAATAAATAAAATGTAAAGAGCACTGGTTTTGTGAAGGCTAGCTTATTTGGTAAGTGTACCTTAGTGTTAATAAATGTTCCATTGCTTCAAAATAACTAATAAAGGTATAATGCCTTGACTAGAGATCCAGGTCCCTTTTTAAGGCAATAATTCTGTTATTTTTAATATCTTTAGGACACAAAGTCTGGCATCTAATAATTCAGTCATTTTGGATGGACTAAAAAGAAGACAGAATTTTCTGCAGAACTTTGAAGGCACAAAGAACAGTCAAACACTTACACCCAATTCTTTACTACAACTAACTCCAGTTATAAATGTTTAGTTCTTATTTTTCTTTTGGAAACTTTTGTAAAAATGTACAGCATCACTACTGTTTTAATTAACTGAGTATGTAAGAATTCTCTAAAGCCAAGCATATGTGCTATTAATCTTTTTTCCTTCTCTTTACCTTTATTTATTATTATTTTTAATTTTTTAAAATTTTCTTACATCATAAGTCATCTTTCTATAGTTATTGTTCCCCTTAGGTGTGGTCTTCCCCATGCTATTAATTTCATTACATATTTTGTTCTAGTTACTAGCGTTTCTCTTTTTTTAACATTAAAGCTTTTTAAGCTAATTTTACTATGAATTTATTGGGAATACATAGATTGTTTGCAATAAAAATATATTGAACCATTTGTTTTCTTTCCAATTAAATGTAATATTCAGACACTCTTTGGTTTCTCACATTCACAACTTCACCTGGCAGTGAATTTCTCTATGCACATTACTACTGAGTTCTTATGTTAAGTGAATCTCCCCAGAATTCAATATAAAAATCCAGAAAATAGTGTTTTGGGGCTACATGGACATTTTGTTTGCAGCTAATGTCTTATCATTATCTAAGGATTTATATAGGTGTGTTGGGTACTTTGCAACAAGCATTCTTTCCATCCAGGCATTGCTGCCAAGGATCTTCTCTGCAGTCAGCTTGAACTCTCAACAAATGGCTCCACATTGAGACTGACAATGTCCAAAATACCTGTGGCAGTAGGTATCCTCCTCTGCTATTTCCCTGGTTTGAACTTCCCACATTTAAGGCTCTCTCGAGAGCATGACAATGAGAAATCAGTATGTTCTCATGTGGTAGAGATAGACAGGAAGGCATAAGAGTTATAAAAAGACTTGAGGGCCTCCCTGGTCCTAATCCCCACAAGGGATTAGGACACAACCTATGAAGCTCTCCACAGCCACTGTAGCACAAGTTCCATCCCCAGCCAGGGAGCTACCCACATGGTGCGGCAGACCTCTCCTGACTCTCCCGCTGCTCCCCTCAGCAGTGTATTTCAGTCATTCCACCTGTTCTGCTCCCTGCTCTGTCTCTGGTGAATCCTCTCACCCACCCACGCCTCTGGCCTGTGCCCCAGTTCTTGTATGCATAAATAAATAAATCTTAAAAAAAAAAGACTTGAGTGAAAGGGAAGTTCTGAATTCAAGTAAAGATGGAAGATGGGGTCTCCCCTGGTGGCGCAGGCGGTTGAGCGCCACGCTGTGAAGTTGTCCGTAGCCTCTGTAGTGCCAGTTTGATCCCGGCCGACCAACGAGGGCCCCACGTGGCACAGCAGACCAATCCTGTCTAGCCCGCTGCTATCCTCAGTAGTGTATTTTGTCAGTCTGCCTCTTATGTTCCCCGCTCTGTGGTGTATCCTCTCACCCTCCCACGCATCTTGCCTGTACCCCGGTTCTTGTGTAAATGAATAAATCTTTAAAAAAAAAAAAAAAAAGATGGACGATGACTGATAGTTCATCTGCATCCCATCCATTTCCACTCATGATAAGACCTAGATAGCTCTTCAGAAAATTTTCTGGCAGGCCTTTTCAGACCAAGTAGTGGAATGATCAGTTAGTTCTCTTGGGTTTGTGGAATGTGGGACAGTTAAGACACATTTTAAAATATTGGTAGGTGTTAACATCCACCAATGGTTGAAGGGATATTTCTTCTATGAGTTTCTAAAGATTATCAATACCTTAGTACTTAAGAATCATTGAATACTTGGAGAATACCTCCTTCCAACTTTTCATCTTCCTGATAAAGAGCCAGAATGAAGCTCAGCACTGTGTAGAGCTGTCTTCAGGCCCAATGGGAGTGTAGAGGAGAGGAGATCAGATTCCCTGCTCTTTTTTTTTTTTTTTTTGCAGTGGTTGAATCACTTACTCCTGACTATTGGTTTTCAGTGACCCTGACCAACCTACCATGGCATTCCAAGAAGATTAGATTGGTCATAAGGATATTGGAAACCCTGCGCAATGTAGCAGAAACAGTAATCTGGATAGAAAAGCCTTGTGGGGAGGATTGTTTTAGGGGGTCTTGCAGCGCAGGATAGCATCAGTGAATGGAAGGTAAGAGAAAGATTTATGCTCAGTATGAAGAAATTGCCATTAGGGAAACTTGCCATTTGAGAAAACAGAGACTTGGGTGATTTGGTATGTTACAGAGGTATTTAGCTTAAGAGGACAACTAAACTAGATTTTGAAGATTCCGTCCAACTTTAAGATTTTTGTGCTTCTAAGATTCAGTGAGGATTATATGTCAAATAGATCTCAATTAAAAAAAATCAGTGAGGAGCCTGTGAAATTCCAAATTTATGCAAGATTACTGAATATTACTTCCAGTTTTGTATTAGATAGAAACAAAAATTGCCTGATGGGTAACTATTAATAATTACCTTGCCTAATATACAGGTCCATTGTTTTTGCCAGGTTGTTTTGGGATTTGTCTGTTTAGACATTCTGTTGTTAAGTGAAGAGTGTAGAAAATACCCTCAATCAAAATTCAGATATACCTAGGGGAGGTATTATGCCTTTAGCTAATAAGCTTTCAGTTAATGTGCTATAAAATAGGAATAAGACATACAGAGTATGGCCTTATTGCAGACATTCTTACAATGAGAAATCCTGTTCATCTTCTCTCACCAGGAATTCTGACACCCTTAGGAATCCTCAGCAAGTATCTGGGTCCTGCAAGATATTTTCAATATTTAAAAAACCCCATGGGGCCTCCCTGGTGGCCTGAGGGTTAAGTCTCAGCATTATCACCACTATGGCCTGAGTTTGATCCGCCCAGAGAGCTAACCCACATGGCACAGCAGACCTCACCTGTCTAGCTCATTGCTCCCCTCAGCAGTGTATTTCAGTCAATCTGCCTGCTCTGTCCCCCACTCTGTCTCTGGTGAATCCTCTCACCCCCTGAACCTCTGGTCTACACCCCAGTTCTTCTATGCAAAAATAAGATCTTTAATAAATAAATAACCCTAGTACAAACTGTATATTTCATTTTACCTAACTCCTTGGTAATTTCTTGCTAAAGTTTGTCTGTTGTGGCTGAAATTAACCAGCTCAGTAATGCAGCACTATCACATTTTGGTATGACACTGTTAAACTGTATCTTATTCATATACTAGAAGAATGACCATAAGTCAGTTGTTGCTCAGTGCAATTTAGTAAGCAAAATATTTTAAGATGTCAGATCTATGAGGAAATAACAGTGTAAAGAGCTATAGTAGTAAAATTATGGAGCCACTGGTTTTCTAAGGTAGCTGAGAAGGCTAATCAAGAAAGATTAGCCTAAAGGGCCTGGGCGAAAGAGAGGTCATGAAAAAAGTATGGGGTTATCAGAACAAACTTATGACAACTTTACTGGCGTTTAGGTAACTTGCTTCACTGAAACTTCAGGAAGTCCAGTCCCTCTTTTAACAGTACCTGTTTCCATTTCTTGGGTAGTGGTGCCCTCTTCTGGAGTACTTTATATGATGTCTCCCTTTCACCACTGGGTTCAAAATATCTATAAAAATAATTGACTTAAAACAGTGAGGCCTTCCCCCCCCCGCCCGAGATTAAATATAAAAAAGTTTTTCCAGGGGCCTCTCTGGCGGTGCAAGGGGTTGAGACACAACCTATGAAGACGCATCCTATGAAGCTGTCTGCAGCCACTGCGGCATGAGTTTGATCCTGGCCAGGGATGGCACAGCAGACCTCCCGCGCTTCTGACTGTACCCAGTGCTTGTATAAACAAAACAAAAAAAAAAAACCAAATAAATAAATAAAAACATGCCTCTATAAAAAAAAAATCTTTAAAAAAAATTCCAAATAATTTGAATTGGGGCTAGATACATACATACATACACACATGCTAAATGTGTTCAAAATTCACTGTAACACTGAAAACCTGCAGCTAAAGGTAGATATTTAAGCACTTCTACATCTCTGTAGTATTGTAGCTCATTAAGGGCCTCCCTGGTGGCGCAGCGGTTGAGCGCGGGGTTGCGAAGCTGCCCGCAGCCTTGCAGCGCCGGTTCGATCCCCGGCTGCTCCCCAGCCACCTGAGGAGGGTCCCACATGGCGTGCAGACCTCTCCTGCCGCCTGCTGCTCCCCTCAGCAGTGTACTTTGGTCCTTCTGCCTGCTCTGCTCCCCGCTCTGGCTCTGGTGAACTCTCTCACCCTCCCGCGCTTCTGACTGTACCCAGTGCTTGTATAAATAAATAAATCTTTAAAATCTTTAAAAAAAAATTTCCCTGCATTATCAACAGGAAAGGCATTTGTGTTCCTGTAACAGGGTGGTCCCCAGGAAAGGGGGAGGTTCCATGCTCCCTGCCCCACCCAAGGGAGGGTGGAGCTGAGCAGGAAGAGAAGAGGATGCAGAGGAGACTGAGGAAGGAAGGAGGCAGGATGGAGCCAGAAGGAGACCTGGAGGAGGCTCATGGAGCCTAGAGACATGTGAAGAAACTGCGCTTGTCTTTTGGTCTTGGACTGGGTGACACAGATGTGGGTGAGAGACCCGAGGGGAGGTGACCATGGCGGCTTTTATCTTGATTTTGATTTTGCTCTTTTCCTTCTGGGCTTGTCTGGTTGTTTCTGACCCTTTTCTGTGGGTCCCCACTGGAAGATGCTTTAGACTTGTGGCAGGCTTTGGGGCCTTGCTCTGGGCCAATCCCATTTGGATGGACTTTTACCCACGAGGGGACGGGTAACTTTGGGTGCTTGATTTAGAAACTATATTCTTTGCCTTTCCTGTATTGTTTCCTAATTGTATTAAAGTTTCTTCCCATTAAAGTCTCATATGTTTTGTGTTGATGCGGTGGATGGCAGAACCCATTTAGAATAGGCAGTTTTACAGGGTTTGGGCTGCCCCTCTCCCTGCCCTGTAACATTCCCACTTTATTAACGAAAAACAGGTTTTAGAGATTAGTTGGCTAAGGTCACATTGTTAATGTATTTTCAGGTTTTCAGGTCTAGTCACCCAGTCAGGAATGGATCCCAGGCTGCGTTGTCAGCGCTGAGTCCCAGCCACTAGACCACCACGGCGTGGTGTCTCATGAAGCTGCAGCAGGAACTTTGCTAACTCTTAGGCAAGAAAGCGAAGAGAGGCAAATTTGCTTAGAGAAATAGATATAAGGAAAAGTTTATTAAGGGGAAAAGGAACAGAAACAAAGTAGGACTCCTTGGCCTGTGGAGACAGGCCAGGGAGGGGCAAGGAAGCCGCAGTGGAGTAATGCCTAGGAGAATATATACCTTCTTTTTCTAATTATCCTAATGCCCCATCAGTTTCTTTGTGATTGGTTGGTTCTCAGTGGTCTCATTCACTCTTAGTATCTCTGTGCCCAGAATTACTTCTTTATTGTTCCCTGTTGCCCCCAAGTGGGGATGGAGTGTTGATTAATCCCCTTTGGAATTTGTTGCTCTTCTCTCTGGAGGCTTCCTTATTCCTCTGAGGCTTCTTCCTATTCTATTCTGACCCTAGAAGCTATTCCCCTGCCCTATGACTCAATATGGCCATCAATAGCAGAAATTTTTCTTGTTCATTTTCTCCTTCCTTCACCGTGCTCTTGTTATGGCAGAATTCCATCAGGGATGTAGTCATCACTCAGAGAGAAGGGAAGTTCTTTATTTTTGCCGGGGGGCTTTATACCAGCAAGCCCAGAGGAGATCTCTTTCCAAAGTCCGAGCCCCAAGCAACTAGGTTACAGATGAAAGGTCGATGCAGGGGGCAGTAATGCGGAAGCCCATCTAGGGTCAGGCCTGGCTCTTTTCTTTACCGCCTGGATTCTTTCAACAGAGTGTTTGCTGACTAAAGCAAGAGGTGCAGTTATCTGGAAATGCATGAATCAGGGTGTCTTGAGGGTGCTTATCAGCTGTTCCCTGAAACTTTCAGTCTACCGGCTGTGTCCCAACTTCAGCTAATCAAGCAGGTCAGCCTGACATTTTCCACTTCACTCTCCTACACATTCTTTGCCTTCAATGTCCCTATCAATTTATAATTGTTCCTTAAATGGTTTTTTTTAAAGATTTATTTTTGTTCATTTATACAAGCACTGGGTACAGTCAGAAGTGCGGTAGGGTGAGAGAGAATTTGCCAGAGCCAGAGCGGGGAGCAGAGCAGGCAGAAGGACAGAAGTACACTGCTGAGGGGAGCAGCGGGCGGCAGGAGAGGTCTGCACGCCATGTGGACCCTCCTCTGGTGGCCGGGGAGCAGCTGGGGATCGAATCGGTGCTGCAGAGGCTGTGGGCAGCTTTGCAACCCAGCGCTCAACCGCTGCGCCACCGGGGAGGCCCACCTTAAATGATTTTTATGTCATAAACAATTTCAAATGGTTCAGTTCTTCTGGTCATGTAATATTGGCAGGCAGTTGGCAAATGGTTGCTCTTTTCACCTACTTTCTCACTACAGAGTAAAAATTAAAATCTAGCTCTGTAGTTGGAGAATGACCAGAGAGAATAAAGTGTATAGGCATCTTGGTTTAATCATTAAGGTCCCAGAGTTTAATGAGCTGAAGCCAGAGGCAAGGGAAACCTTTTATAGAATGTTGGAAGAGAGCAACATATGAGGCACCCCACTCTTAAATTTGAGAAAATATGAATTAGAACAGCAGACTGTGTCCCAAATCATAGGTTATTCTCAAAAACACTAAAGTACTTATTCAGTCTCTTGCATAGGGAGAACAGAACAGGCTAGTCCTTTCCTTTTTCAGATGTGATTATGACTTCTGACAGTCTTAGAGTTGAAGTTTTCCTTCATCGGCGCTTGATCATCAACCACAACATATTAAAAACTGTTCTATTATTAGCTCAATTTCTTATGTGTGGCATTCTTAGCCACAGCTTCTCCATGTTCCTGTGTACACCTTAACCTCCATTATCCGGCTAGGAAGATTATAATGGTAGAACTGGGGGTCGGTGTGAGGAATTGGAACAAAAGGGCTTGGAAAAGCACAGACTTAGAGACGCATAACCTCATGTTCTAGGGGAGTGAAAGAGGAAGATGCATTTTTAAACCATCATTAACTGAACACTCCTTTTGGTCAGATTATTGAATCCATCGTGCAACATTTATATAAATATATAATCCCCACTTCAGGCCAAAGTGTAATTATGCAGAAGACCTGCAGCAAACATAGATTTAACCTTTGTGTTTCAGCCTTCACCCTAGTGACATGTAATTTTGCTAAGACGCAAGGTTTCATACTCAGGATCAAATGCTGCTGGTGCTATGAATTTCCCCTGAGGCTACATCTCAATTTGGTTTCTAGTTCTCAAGAGTTGCTGGGATAAAGAGGATAAAGATCATGAAGAGAGAAAGAAATGGCTGAAAAAAATAGCCTACTGATTCTCATTAGCGCTGGTGGCCATAAGAAAAGATATGCTAAAGAAGTTACCTTTGTACTAACAAAAGGTTCCCATTTTTGTCTAGGAGTCTAATTACGGGGCAATTAATCCTCATCAGTAGAATAAAACCCTTTTTATTCTAAATAATTTATTGAAGATCGTCAGGCTGTTTTCTCTCCAGGTTTCTAAAGGTTTTTTCCCCCCTACTTATTCTATTTCATGGGAGCACCTTCCTCAAAACGCTTGCTGGAATTTCAAGGTTTTCAGGTTGTTATGGCAGAGAAAGCACCGATCTTGGATTCAGGAGAGGAGTTTAGTCCTGACTGTGCCATTGATAGCGTGACAAGTCAACTTTCTAGAGGTTTAGTTTCTTCTGTGTCAAATGGGGAGTCTGGGGAGGGCCTCAAACGAGCCAAGGACCAACTTCTTGACCAGAACCCAAGGCTTTCGGGCCAGCCGCATTCCTGCTCCTCCTCCATCGCAAGGAGGCCCTGCCCACTCCGCACGCTACGAATCCCCTTCCCATCAACGCCCGGCCGCGGGCTTCGCGCTAAACCGTTAGCCGTTAACGCCTCACTCCGCAATGGGCGGGGCCGCGGCCTGCAGCTTCCGGCGGCAAACATCCAGGCGGCGCGTGGCGCGCGCCACCGCACCCGCAGTCCACGCCCCAAGCCGCCGCACGCGCGGGCCCTCCGCCACAGTGGAGATGCGGCCCAGCTCCCGCAGTGCATGCTGGGAAGCCCCTACCCTCAGCAGGGCATGCTGGGAAGCCCCTACCCCCCCAGCAGGGCATGCTGGGAAGCACCGAAGCGTCTCCTTGGTACCGAGGGGGGGGGGAAGTTCCGGGTGGGGGAGGGGAAGAAAAAGAAAAAAAAAATTTATGCTAATTGTTTCGCGCGTCCTCTATGGAGATTGGCCAGAGTTTTGCTTTAGAAGCCAATCACTCCAGAATATGGGTGGGCCAGTCACGATCCCTCACAGTCATTGGCTGGGCGCTGGCGTGGCCAAGGAAGAGTTTAAACCGGGAGTATCCGGTATTATTTTCGCCGAGCCGTGCAGTGCGTGTCCGGAAGTGACGCACGGCCCCGGCCGGGCGGCCGCCCTGCCCCCGCTTCCTTTCACGCTGTCTCTGCCCGTAGGTGGTTGTGGTCACCGTGCCCAGAGGGAGGAGACGGCGGCGAATGATGCCTGGGAAACTCCTCTGGGGCGACATTATGGAGCTGGAGGCACCTTTGGATGACGCCGAGAGCCAGAGAAAGGAGAGGCAAAAGGTGCGCTGAGGATGGGCTGCGCCTCCTTGGGGACGCGCCGGCCTGGGCGGGGAGGGGAGCTGTCCCTGATGGCCTGTCACAGCTGGGCCGAAGCATCCGTGGGCCTCCCCTCGCGCCGCCCCCGTCCCTCCGCGGCCGCCCCGGGGCCATTCCTGGCGCCCCACTCCAAACCTGGAGACGGGCGGCGTTGGGCTTTAGCCTGGCCTCAGCCCTTCGCTTTGGCGCCTAAGATGGGCGGACTCGCGCTCCGTCGTCGCGGAATCTGATCTTTCCTTTTCCTTAAACACGAGGCTGGTCGTGTGGTTCTCGTTGTCCGTCTTAGAAGATGATTAAGAAAGATGATCACCTTGAGTATGTGTTGCTTCTTTGTCACCCTGTCATGTGTGCGAGAATCTTGGGGAGAGCGATCTTAGGTTCACAAACCTTGGTAACTACCCCTATGGAGGCTAAAGGAAGAGAGTCACAGCCAGTGGTACCAGGATTTGGCTGCGGGTTAATTATTAATAGTCTTATTAATAATAATTATTAGTACCCGTTACTGTCAGTGTTTTCATTCATTCCACAATTTTCGTTGACCCTAATTTATTCCAGGCCTTGCTGGCACCAAGGAGTTTTAACTAAATTAAGCCCCCTGCCTTCAAGGGGCTTGTAGAGAAGTTGTAGATTTAAATAACTATACCCCTCAAAAAAGAAAAAAGAGAAAAAATTAGAGGAGGGCAAGGTGCTGAAAAATGCACAGGTAAAATTTTGCCGTGTAAGAAAGTGTAGTCAAATCTGACTTTTGAATGAAATTTATTTTGTATAGCCCCAAAGAACAGAACCTTTCATTCTTATCACCAAGGTAGACCTGACATTTTTTAAATCATAGTAAACAATATATAAAATTTACCATTTTAACAAGCCTACTTCTGTAGCATTAAGTTCTTTCACATTATTCTGCAGCCGTGCACCAGTCATCTCCAGAACTTTTTCATCCTCTGGAATTGAAAATCTGGCCATTAAAGACCAATTTCCATTTCCCCCATCTCCTCATCCCCTGTTAACCATCATTTTACTTTCTCTGTGAATTTGATTAAAATTTTTTTGAAGACTTATTTATTTATGCATACAAGAGCTGGGGTACAGGCCAGAGGTGTGGGGGGTGAGAGGATTCACCAGAGACAGAGCAGGGAACAGAACAGGCAGATTGACCAAAGTACACAGCTGAGGGGAGCAGCGGATGAGACAGGAGAGGTCTACTGCACCATGTGGGTAGCTCCCTGGCAGGACGGGCGATGGAACTTGTGCTGCAGAGGCTGCGGACAGCTTCATAGGTTGTGTCTTAACCCCTTGCTCCACCAGGGAGACCCTTGATTAAATATTTTAAGAGGAATCACCATGCAGTTACTTTAATTTGGGCTCCTCTTGAAATATTTGTTCCTCTCTCTGCATCAAAATCTTATCCATCTGTCAAAGATTAGTTTATGTTTTTTTCTAACCATTCTAGGTAGACATATAATAAGTAGTTTCATTCCCCTTTGAAGTCTATTCCAGTGCTGTCTTTATTTCTTTATCATTCAGTTGATGATTTATTATGTGCTTCCTTAATTCGTTTTTAATTTTTCTTTCTGTGTGTGTCTTTCCCAAATATTTCCCCGAGATTCTTGAGTGAAATGACAACATCTTTGTCCATCCTTACATTCACTACATGCTTGTAAATTGGTTTCTCCAGAAGTACTTGTTGATCATTCCTTAACTATGAAAGGTAGCTGAAGATTTGGAAACAGACCAACACTAATAGGAATAGAAGTAATTAGGTCAGTGATCTAGCATTGATTTATAGTTAACTTAGGTTTTGAATGTGTTGAGATAGGGAGCTGGGACTTAAATTCTCAGACCTGGAGTACTGGTAAGGAAGGAAGCCTGAAAGTGTTTGTTGAAGCCATGAAAATGGTATGAAAGTGCACATAGACAACAGAGACTTGAGCATCTACAGAAGGAAGGAGAGGAGCCATTGAAGAAGACAGGTAACAAGATAAGGAGGTAATATCGAGTGTCATGGAAATCAAGGAAGTGAAGAGTGCCCTGCACTGTAGATGTGATGTGGAACGATGTATTTCATCACCTTGGGATATTGCTGGGCTTGGATCTAGAGGTCACACTTTACCTTGTTTCATCTTCTCCCTGAAGTGCAGGGCCCAGGAGCAATTCAAACCCCAAGGCTGACTCTATAAATAACCTTGTTTTTTCTATAGAACTTGTTGGTTTGGGGAGATGTGTGCTATTTCAGTTAACTATAAAGATTAAGTGATGTAAAGTATAATTGTATAACTTATGTTAATGTAAAACTTGTACTGTTTACGAAGTACTTTTTTTTTAAATTGACTTAATAGAAATGTTTATTTATTTTTTTAAGATTCGTTTATTTATACAAGCACTGGGGTACAGGCCAGAGGCATGGGGGTGGTGAGAGAATTCACCAGAGACAGAGCAGGGAGCAGAACAGGCAGAAGGACCGAAGTACACTGCTGAGGGGAGCAGTGGGCAAGACAGGAGAGGTCTGCCTTGCCTTGTGGGAATCTCCCTGGCTGGCCGGAATTGAACTGGCACTGCAGAGGCTGCGGACAGCTTCACAGCTCAGTGTTCAACCCGCTGCGCCATGGGGGAGGCCCTACAAAGTGTTTTTACGTGTTATTCAGTTTTCACAACTCCTATTTTACAGATTAAAAAATTATGTGAAAGTGCTGTGAAAATTAAAATTAAATTTTAATTAAAATTAAAATTAAATTGTGGTGAAAATTTGGTAGTGATAGTTTTTACCACTAATCCCTACTCTTATTTTGAACATTTGACCAAGTAATTCTGAAGTGCTAAGTTTCTAAAGCATTTCTTGCTGTCTGCAAGTATTAAATCCTCTGGCCATCATTTTGGTGTTTTAAAACTGAAGTTGCAGAATAGTATTTGTAAACACTTTTTTTTTAAGGTTTATTTATTTATGCATACAAGAACTGGTTACAGGCCAGAGTTGCGGGGGGTGAGAGGATTCACCAGAGACAGAATGGGAAACAGAACAGGCAGACTGACTGAAATACACTGCTGAGGGGATTAGCAGGAGAGACAGAAGAGGTCTGCTGCGCCACTTGGGTTGCTCCCTAGCCTGCCGGGGAACAATCTTGTGCTGCAGAGGCTGCAGATTGCTTCATACTGTTGTGCTTAACCCCTTGGGCCACCAGAGAGGCCCCAGAATAGTATTTTTATTTTACTATTATTTTTAAAAGATTTTGTTTGTGCATACAAGAACTGGAGTACAGGCCGGGGTGGGTGTGGTGAGAGGATTCACCAGGTACAGAGTGGGGAACAGAACAAGCAGATGTACTGAAATACATTGCTGAGGGGAGCAGCGGGCAAGTCAGAAGAGGTCTGCTGCGCCATGTGGGTTGCTCTCTGGCTGGCCGGGAATCAAACTCATGCTGCAGAGGCTGTAGCTTGCTTCATAGTGCTGTGTTTAATAAACCCTTGTGCCACCAGGGAGGTCCTAATATACTTCTTTGATGGGAGTATAACAATTGGTGTTTTATATTAATTATATAATTTTGTTTAGTCTGTTTTTTCTTTAACCAGCCATTTGTCCAAGTTCAGAGAAGAAGTGTGAGCAAAAGGATCATGAGCTTTCAAGGGCTTGATTTCTAGCACTTCCACTTGTAAGAAATACCACATATGGGTCTTTGGCAAGTGACTTACCTCTAAGAACCGCCTCTGTAAAATGGCATAATTAATTCAGGTTTGCTATCCCTTATCAAAATCCTTGGGACCTGATGCATTTTGGAATTCATAATTCTGGGGATTTTTAGGATACTACCCCAGCAGGGATTGGGGCTCCTAGTCTTTGACAGTTTACTATTAAAAGAATATTTTAATATAAATATCAATAAGTAAAGATTATAAATAGCTTCACATTAGTTACAAATTTTGCCACCAAATGAGTTCAGGTAAGGTAAGGTTTTGCCTCTAAATAAGTTATTAAAAAACTTTCGGTTTTCGGAGCTTTATGGATATCGGAATTTCTGATAAGGGATTATGGACCTATACTTCCTTTATTAGGGTTGTTATGAAGATTTAGACAAGATAAGCTGAAAACACATTATACGATGCTGGGTAGGTACTCAGCAAATATTTTTTTTCTCTTGGAGATAATTAGAATTTTTCCTTTTTACTGTGCAAATCTGGGATTCTCGTTTTTCTGAAAAAGAACTATTTTAATTTCCCTTAAATCATTATGATGGGGTTAGAGAAGGTTCAGATGCCAGGTCTTGAGACTGCAAGAGATTGTATGAGAAAAAAAGTAATAGGTAAGGTTTGGGCTTGGCATCAGCAACCAGTTCAGAGTTCTACCAGATAACTTTTCAAGATAATAGTAGATTATGCTTTGCTGGTTGGGGAATCATGCTTTAACTTCTCTAGAGTCTTAAAAGGAGACCTTGTGACCCTCTTGTCATTGTTTCTTTGTTTTTTCACAGAGTGATAGAAGGAAGCCAAGGCACCATTATGACTCAGATGAGAAATCAGAAACAAGAGAAAATGGTGTTGCAGATGACCTGGATGCTCCCAAGCCCAAAAGAGCTAAAATGAAAGAGAAGCTAAATGGAGACACTGAGGGATCTAATAGACTTTCAGATGAAATTTCTAAATCTAAGTCAAGAAGAAAAGATCTGTCAAATGGAGATCTTGATGAACATGAAAAAAAATCAAAGCGCATGTCATCCTTAGATAGTTCTACTCATAAATCAAGTGATAATAAACTAGAGGAGGTATGGCTACTTTTTTGTTTGGCATTATCCTTGAAATACAGCTACTTTGTTTTTTTTTTTTTTTAAGACTAATGAGAATTGATTTTATAGTATTTCCTCATTATCCAGTACTGTTCAGTTACACAGGGGAGTCTGTACAGTTGAAACCTTAGCCTTTTTCTTTGTCCCTTGTTTCTGTCATTGTATTACCTTTTTATTGGGGCAGTGATAGGGGGATGGTCAAATTTAAACCTTTCCTTTACATTTGGATACCTGAACAGCTTTTCCAAAGTCCTTATTGATAGTCAACTACTTGTATTTCTTATAGTCATTTCAGTCCCTACCAGGACTCATGAATTGACTTCTGACGTCCTGAAACAGGTGCAAAAGGTCTCTTGATTTTGTGTATTTTGCCTTACAGTTATTCTGCTTCTGTAACAATAGCAACTTACATGATTTTTAGATCTTAATTGTAATTCACTTTTGAAGCTGTTTGCATTTTATTTATTTTTAAACAGTATATAACGTTGCATTTTAGCAGAAAAGAAACAAAAAATTATCTGAAGAAATCTGTTCTTCTGAGTATTAATTTTTTTGGAATTATAGAAACCTTGCTTGGTATGAAATCTGCCTTCTTGGGCCTTTTGGATATTTCCTTGCACAGAATTTGTTCAATTTTTCTTGTAATTTTCCTCTAACAGTGCATAGGTTTGTCTAGGTGGTATAAATTAGGGAAAAAAGTGCATAGGTTTGTCTAGGTGGTCTTTAGGAAAAAATGACCTTGATATTCTTAATAATTCTTGGTAGTCAACAGTTCTTTGTTTTTTAAATCTGACAGTTGCTGATAATTTAAATATATTTGAGCTTCATTTAATATGTAATCTTTGGGGTGTTTTTGGAAAAGATGTTGACTCCTTGCTTTTATTTATTTATGCATACAAGAGCTGGGGTACAGGCCAGAGGTGTGGGGGATGAGAGGATTCACCAGAGACAGAGTAGGGAATAGAACAGGCAGATTGACCGAAGTACACTGCTGAGGGGAGCAGCGGGCAAGTCAGGAGAGGTCTGCTGCACCATGTGGGTAGCTCCCTGGCTGGCTGGGGATCAAACTCGTGCTGCAGAGGCTGCGGGACAGCTTCATAGGTTTTATCGTAACCCCTTGCGCCACCTGGGAGGCCCAACTCCTTGCCTTTTAATAGGTGTTTTTCATTTATGAACTTGCTGTTTGTCAGGGAAGTATGTTAGACAGTTGATCCAAATCAAGCCCTACAAATTTGTATTGCTAGTAGTAGAATGTACGGGTTGCTTTTTGATCTGTTGAATTTTGCCTAATACAGTGCTCTGTATTAAAATAGATTTAGCTGTTTATTATTTCTTTTAGATCATGTCAGATTTCAGGAATTCTATTTCTAGGAATTTATTCTCCTATGGAGATAAATCATGAGATGTACATAGATATCAATAAGGAATCCTATTGCAGTGACATTGTTGATAATAGCAAAGAATATTATCATTGTTGATAATAGCAAAGAATATTATCATTGTTGATGATAATAGCTGAGAATATAATGGCAATTACTTACTATGTGTAGGATCCATAGTAGGTAATTGGCTTAATAACATATTCATGCAATAGAATAGTTCTAAAAGGCATAGAAGGATGTTAGAAAGGGATTCCATGTATCTTACTAATGTAAAAAGCAGATTATAAGACAGTATATACTGTATGATCTGATTTTTATTTAACAAATTTTTTTTTTATTATTATTTTAATTTTTTTTTTTTTTTAAGATTTATTTATTTATTTATTTATTTATACAAGCACTGGGTACAGTCAGATGCGCGGGAGGGTGAGAGAATTCACCAGAGTCAGAGCAGGATGCAGAACAGGCAGAAGGACAGAAGTACACTGCTGAGGGGAGCAGCGGGCGGCAGGAGAGGTCTAGCGCGCCATGTGGGACCCTCCTCCGGTGGCCGGGGAGCAGCCGGGGATCAAACCGGCACTGCAGAGGCTGCGGGCAGCATCGCAACCCAGCGCTCAACCGCTGCGCCACCGGGGAGGCCTTTATTTAACAATTTTTATGTGGGTAGAGTGAGGAGGAGATGAATGTGTGTTTGAAATGTGGCTTTAGCTGACTGGACTATAGATAATTTTGTTTCTATATGTACTTTCTAATTTCTATAATGAAGATGTTTTGCTTTTGTAATAAATTTTTTAAAAGTCTTAAAGATAATAGCATTGAGGTGTGCTTAAATTGCTTACAACTTGTATTTGATTTTGTCTTTTATCTGGTTTCCTGTTTGAAAATTGCTATTGTGTATGGTTCTAGGACTATGTTCTTTAAACATAACCAATAATAAAGTTTATAGGTGGAACTATTGTCTTTGTTCTGTTTACACATTGACTAGTATCCAAAATTTTCAATCAATGTTAATTGATAATGTCTTGCTATGTATATTAAAGAAATCTTCAAGCTTACAGGAACTTTTATCTTGTATTAGTGACTTTAGAAAATACTTCTTATAGCCATAGAACAACTTTTTAAATTTCATTTTTGGAAAAAGTTTACATTGTCAATTCCTTATAGGGACTGGTTTATAGGCAGTTTGCAATTAATATTACCTATGTCTGTGAATATGATTTCAATTATTAAATAGCTCCTATAATATTTTAATCATATAGAAACATTTGAGTTTATGTAGATGTATTTCTAAAGGGAGTTTTATGTGTTAGGTAAGCATTTTTAAATATGTTATGGGAAAATGTATTAAGTTAACTTGTTATTTAAAGGAGTACTTTTGAAATTAAAAGAATATTCCTGTAATTTATCTTGTAAATTAATCTATACAATTTCTGCAAGTTCTTAAGGATGATTTGTTAGTTCTTAGTAAGACTAAAAACATTAAATGAGTAAAAGATTCTAAATACCTAGTGAAATATAGTCTATATTAGTTAGAACTTTGATTTCATTTTGACAGACCCTAACACGTGAACAGAAAGAAGGAGCCTTCTCCAATTTCCCTATTTCTGAAGAGACTATAAAGCTTCTGAAAGGTACTATGAATTTTAATGGATAAACAAATGAAAATCAAAACTAGAATTTATAAACACTCGTGCCTTTTTTAACCAAAAGGACAATATAGGTAGCACAAAGAAACATTTCCTTAATTGCAGTTAATTCTGTATCATCATTTTTGGTTTTCTGATCTGTTTTTAATTTTAAAGAATTGTATATATTTGTCAAAAAGTTCAGGCCACTGTCTTGTAATTCTTCTTTGCGGTCTGAATAACTATAAATTTCATTAAGTGGTTATTTAGAAAGATGTTGAGGAGCCAGGATTGTCATTTTCAAATAATTTTAATGCTTATCTTAAATATTTCAATGAAATCTCATTTTACAGGTCGAGGGGTAACATATCTCTTTCCCATTCAAGTTAAAACCTTTGTTCCTGTATATGAAGGAAAAGATTTAATTGCTCAAGCACGGACAGGAACAGGAAAGACATTCTCTTTTGCCATACCTTTGATTGAAAGACTCCACAGAAATCAAGAGACAATTAAAAAAAGCCGCTCACCAAAGGTAACAATTTAGGGAGTGAAAGGTTCTAACATTCCTGTTATGGAAAGGAAAAGAAAGAATAAACTAATCTTAATTTCAGGTACCGCCAAAAGTAAAAAATTGAATGCTAAAACAAAATTTGTTGCTTTTTATTATAAGGAAATTTCAAGCAAATCCAAGGTTAATAACAGCAATAAAAATGTATGTGTTCTCGCCTGCCTGTGTCTATGCAGGCACCTCTTTTTTCTCTTTCTTATTTTCCTGATAAACGTGTCCTTTTAAAATATAAAAAAAGAAGAAGAATGTATGTGGATCCATAGACATTTTCTGATAAGTGTGTATTATGAAACCAGTTTGTCTTTTTTCAGGAGTATTTACAATTAATATATTTAGTGACCTTATTCAATCCTGATCTTTTAAACAGTTTTGTTGCTGAAGAGGTTTTCATTTATTCAGTCATTCAGTAAATCAATACAATTTATTTTACTGGTTGACTTTTAAAAGAAGATTATTACAGAAATGATACTGCTAGCCCCTGTGTTACTGAGGGTACTGGAGATCTATCATAACTTATAAGTAGTAAAGAAGTTAAAAATTAAAACTTTTTAGAACCTGTGTTCACTTTAAGGTTCATAAAAGTAAAGAAAAATCGCCTTCATAATTTGAGCAGATGTATGACTTCAAGTGATTTGTTCTTTTTAAATGGTATTACAGTATGAAAGTAAAATTCACATATATGAATATAATTAAATCACAGTGGTATTGAATTTGGTAAACTAATAGGACAAGTCTTTTTCAGAGAACTCTGTTTCTCAGGTGAAATTAGGAAAGACTGCAAGTACTAGAAAATGAACATATTCCCAACACTGCCTAAAAAGCTTTTTTAAAAAAATATCTAATAGGGCAGGTTAATTAGAAAAAGGGGAAAGGAGGAAAAACCACTTACACAGACAGAAAGCTGCATTTGAGAGGGATGGGTTTGTTAAAAGAGACGCCTGCATAGACACTTGCAGGCTGACTTGGGAACAGAGCTGCTGCCTTAAAAAACTTTTATGCTAGAAAATATTACCGGAGATTCTAACCAGTTCTACCTTTTGTTCTTGGGCAAGATTCTTCATTTCTCTAAGACTTTCAGGTTCCTCATCTGTAAGATGGATGATAATGCCACTTCGTTGGGGTTTTGTGAAGATCAAATTAGAGAATTAATATAAAGCAGTGGTACCTGGCACATGCATGTTCATTCATTTAACAAATATTTTTTGATTATCTGCTATGTGCAAGTTTCTATGCAAGGTGTACAGTAACCCAAGCAGACATAAATTCCTGCCTTCATGGAGCTTACATTTTAGTGGTGAGACAGACACTAAGCAAATAAATAAAATATAAATATTTTATATGATATAAGTGCTAAGGAAAAATAACTAAGCAGGGATGAGAGAATATGTAAAAAGGGCTAGGCTCTTTACTATAAAGTGAATTTTGAAGAGACCAGAATGAAATAAGGGAGACTATAATAACTATAGCTATTGTTAATATTTGTGCTCTATCTTTAAATACTATGACATTAATTAATGATTCTTAGTTTTAAATGCACCTTAAAAAATAATCCTCTTGGTTTGAATTTAGATGCCTCTAGAAAAGTGTCTTTTTGTTTTTCAAACTTCTTGCTCAGGTACTTGTTTTGGCTCCTACAAGGGAACTGGCAAACCAAGTAGCCAAAGACTTCAAAGATATAACTAGGAAACTCAGTGTGGCTTGTTTTTATGGTGGAACATCTTATCAAAGCCAAAGTGAGTAAATTTGTATGATAGTAGCATAAAGTCTACTTGTTATTTAAATCTAAAAATATATACTTGATTTTTACATATTACTGATAATTTTCTCCTCTCACAGTTAATCATATTCGAAATGGTATTGACATCTTGGTTGGGACTCCTGGTCGTATCAAAGATCATCTGCAGAGTGGCCGATTAGATCTTTCTAAATTGCGCCATGTTGTACTTGATGAAGTGGATCAAATGTTAGATTTAGGTTTTGCTGAACAAGTTGAAGATATTATCCATGGATCCTACAAAACTGGTATAGTCTAATTAAAAATAAGCACATTAGCCATTCTCTTATCTAAAAACTTTAAAATTTTTGATTTCATTATATTGCATTGTCTACCCAGTGTTATAAAACTAAAGCTATTTGGTATCTGTTTTCTTCTGAATAACAGAGTACGATAGTATACCTTATTCTTCAACTCTTTGCTTTGCTTTCTTCCATGTATTATTTTTCAATAAGTAGTTAGATTTACTAACTTATTTTACTGATTTCTTTGCTCATTATTCCTTCTTAAATTCTCTCTTTCTGGAAGGAAGGTCCTCCAGTTTTGGAAGTTGAAAGTTGTAATACTGCAGTGAAGTTTGTTTAAAATTCACCCCAAGTTTCCAATTTTTCATCTTTCACTTTTGGGGGATTTTTAAGAGCTGACTATGTCATGGGGTATTAAGAAAGCATTTGAATTCTTTTTGTTTATTTAAGATTCTGAAGACAATCCTCAGACTTTACTTTTTTCTGCAACTTGCCCACAGTGGGTATACAAAGTTGCAAAAAAATACATGAAATCCAGATATGAACAGGTTGACCTTGTTGGAAAAATGACTCAAAAGGCTGCAACTACTGTGGAAGTAAGTAGCTTTTTAGCATGATAGATTTTAGCTTTTGGTTGTTATTTGGAAATTCGTTGTAGTTAAACTTAAGTTTTGGGTACCAATTCAAGCCAAATTTCTCTTACTGGCACGAAATCAATAAAATACCTTTGTGTTTCTATAATCTGAGACTGAGGAGCAGAATAGAATACATAGGAAAAGTATGTGATCACACAAGTCCTCAGGGAAATTTACAACCTGCCAGGGAGACAAAATTAAATTATGTAGAATTTGACAAAGGAGGTGACTCATATCAATTTGAATAGAACAGTGCTGGGAGCCAAAAAATTTCCTGGAAGATTTTTAAAAATTAAGCCATAAAGGGGCCTCCCCCGTGGCGCAGCGGTTGAGTGCTGGGTTGCGAAGCTGCCTACAGCCTCTGCAGCACTGGTTCGATCCCTGGCCACTGGGTGAGGGTCCCACATGACGCGCAGACCTCTCCTGCTGCCCACTGCTCCCCTCAGCAGTGTACCTCATCAGTCTGTCTGCTCTGCTCTCCGCTCTGGCTCTGGTGAATTCTCTCACCCTCCTGTGCTTCTGACTGTACCCAGTGCTTGTATGAATAAATAAATAAATCTTTAAAAAAAAATTAAGTCATAAAATAATTTAAAACTTATGTAGTTAACAGTTACTTGAATTCAAGAAAGACTTTTCCAAACAAAACCAGAAGAACCCACCTTAAAGGAAAAGGTTGAGAATTTTGACTCCAGGAAAATTTAATGGCATATTGAAAAAAGATAATATTTGCATTATTTATGAGTTATGTATGTATTGTTACCTTTTCCATTTAATAGTTGTACATACATGATAAAAATAGGCTAAGCGAACAACAGTATAATCTACAAATATAATGCAGTGGTTAAAAAGAATGAATTTGATAAAAAAAATTATAAACTAGAGAATTAATACTGTTAAATACAAAAATGCTAAATGCACTAAATATTTTTGTATATATTTATGTAAATATATAATGCTAAACTTAAAAACAATAATGATTACTTTTGGGAAAGATAATGTGGAATAATCAAAGGAAGCTTTATGTATTTTGTAATGGTTGAAAGTTTTACAATAAAAATGTAAAATGTATCAGTTGAAAAAATTTATTAAGGATGTTATCACGTACACAAAAATTGAACAGCAAAGAGGATCTTATATATCTTTTTTTATACCTCCATACATTCTTCACCCTTATATTTGAAGCAATCCAGTCACCATTTTACCTTCACAAAATTGTATATGTATATATTTTTAAAAGAAATAAATGCTCTTTAGAAAAAAAATCCAGGTATAGTAGAAAGTAAAAAGCAATAATTATTTACTATAATTAAATAGCTAATATGCACATTACCTTAATTGTTTTCTTATTTAGTTTTAAATAGTTTGAATCTGGATCTAATTATTAAGACCCTTACGTTATCACTGATTGATGTGTCTTAAATCTTTTATAATCTGCAGTTTCCTCTGTTCCTTTTTTCTTGCAATTTTTGCTTGAAAAGAATTGTTTCAGGAGTTTCCCACAGTCTCAGTTTTGCTGGCTTGGATCCCTGTGGTGTTAACATGTTCCTGTCTTTATTCTCCTATGGGTTGATGGTTAGATTGTGAGATTTGATCAGATTTAGGATCTTTTCTTTTTTTGAGGCGAGGAAGAAGCAAGACTTTCCATTAAGTGGTAGAAATGATTATAAATTTTCTTCTTTGTGCTTTTTTCTGTTTCCATGGGTTCGATAATTTATAATGTTACTTTAGAAAATTTGACTGCAATTTATGTTAAAATGCAATTTTTAAATGTAGAGTATAAATTTTTCCCAAAATATTATCATAAAAATTTTCAAATACTCATCAAAGGTGAACATATTCTACAGTGAACACTCATACTCAATATCTAGATTCTACTATATATTCACTTTTTTTAAAAAGATTTATTTGTTTATGCATACAAGAACTGGGGTGTAGGCCAGAGGTGGAGGGGGGTGTGTGTGAGAGAGGATTCACCTGAGACAAAGTGAGGAACAGAACAGGCAGATTGATTGAAATACACTGCTGAGGGAAGCAGTGGGGGAAACAAGAGAGGTCTGCTGCACCATGTGGGTAGCTCTCTGGCTGGCCGGGATCTAACTCATGCTGCAGAGGATGCAGACAGCTTCACAGTACTGTGCTAACCCCTTGCACCACCAGGGAGGCCCTCATTTATTTTATTTTATTTTATTTTTAAGATTTATTTATTTATATAAACACTGGGCACAGTCAGAAGCGTGGGAGGGTGAGAGAATTCACCAGAGCCAGAGCGGAGAATAGAGGAGGCAGACTGACAAAGTACACTGCTGAGGGGAGCAGCGGGCGGCAGGAGAGGTCTGCGCACCATGTGGGACCCTCCTCCAGTGGCCTGGGAGCAGCCGGGGATGGAACCAGCCCTGCAGAGGCTGTGGGCAGCTTTGCAACCCAGCACTCAACCGCTGCGCCACTGGGGAGGCCCTATTTTAAATGACAGAAATTATACTTCTTCCTAAGTATTTTACCATGCATGTCTTTAACTAGAGCTTACTGTTTACAGTTTTTTTTGAAGATTTATTTTTTTATGCATATAAGAACTGGGTATAGGCCAGAGGTGTGGGGGTGAGAGGATTCACCAGAGACAGAGTGGGGAACAGAACAGGCAGATTGACTGAAATACACTGCTGAGGGGAGCAGCGGATGAGTCAGGAGAGGTCTGCGCCATGTGGGTACCTCCCTGGCTGGGGCTTGAACTTGTGCTGCAGTGGCTGTGGATAGCTTCATAGGTTGCGTTTTAACCCCTTGCGCCACCAGGGAGGCCCCTATTTACAGTTTTTTTAATGTGAGGTAAAATTCACATAACTAAAATTAACCATTTTAGAGTGTACAGTTCACGGTCATGTTATACAAACATCATTTCTAAAGCATTTTCATCACCTCAAAAGGAAACTCCGTAGCTATTAGCAGTTACTCCCCATTTCATTCTTCCCTTGGCCCCTGGTAACCACCAATCCATGTTCTATCTCTGGATTTACCTATTCTGGATATTTCATATAAATGTAATCATAATGATATAACTTTTTTAAAATATCAAACTTAATTTGTTTATCATATTTTTAAGGTTCATCCATATACAGTTTTTAAAGATAAGATTTACACACAGTGAAACATAAAGGTTTGCTTTGTTTTGACAATTTCATATATGTGTGTAACCCAAACCTGTATCAAGACAGGTTTATTGCCATCATCCTAGAAAGTCCCTGTCCAATTAGTCCCGCATCCAGATGTAACTACTGTTCTCACTTTTTCCCACCATAAATTAGTTTTGCCTCTTCTGGAAATTGTTTCCCAGGATGGTGAGTTTTTGAACAGATTAGAAAAAGATGTAGAAGAGAAATCTTTTTCAATAATTTTAATGAAATTTATATGATGTTTTCTTCAAAGCATTTGGCCATTCAGTGCCATTGGTCTCAGAGGCCAGCAGTTATTGGAGATGTCCTTCAAGTCTACAGTGGGTCTGAAGGGAGGGCTATTATTTTCTGTGAGACCAAAAAGAATGTAACTGAAATGGCCATGAACCCACACATAAAACAGGTAAGTCTTTTTTCATGCTTTCTCTAACTGAGATTATAGGGATGAATTATTGAACAAAAAAATTTCTTGTCCTTTGAGGACCAAGCTTGATAGTCCTCACAACTGAGCCTTGTTCAGATGGAAGTGCAGCTATGATCTGTTAAGTCAGGATAGAATCTTTCCCTTTTTATAGGAAGTTTTTTCAAGACTTTCAAAGTGTGTGTGATCTTGAAAATAGAAAGATTGAAGCAAATGAATTTCTGTAGGTAAGAGATGATGATACTTTAGGTTGTGTTATAAAATGAGTCACAAATACTGAATGTATGTTTTTCTTTTAAGTTTTTATAATAGCAAATTTTAAATATATAAGAAAAGTTGCCAGAATAGTATAATGAACCCCAGTCTATTCATTCTCCAGTTAACTTACTATTTCATCCAAATGCCCACTCAATTCCTGCCACTGAATTATTTTGATGCAACTGCTAGATAATGATGTTGATAAATATTTGGTTATGTATCTGTAAAACAAAGGGATTGTTTTTTAAAAAGCCACAATGCCGTTAGCTAAAAAACTAACAATATACTCAAATATCAGTGTGTTCAAATCTCAGTTGTTTTATAAATGCATTGTTTTAAAAAAAAATAAATAAATGCTTTGTTTTTTTTCTTTTGTAGTTGGTTTTCTTGAATCTGGATCCAAATAAGATGTTTACATTATATGACTTCATTAGATCTTTTTCATATATGGATTCCTTCTTTAATATATGGATTCTTATAACTTTTTCATTATTTAGTATTCAAGTTTCCATAATCTAGTAGAGTAGTACTACTTTCCTTGGTGTCAACTAACATGTATTTTGTGTTTCCTGGAAATTTAGGTGGGTTGGTTTGTCTCCTTAGGGCAAGACTATTTTATATATGGTGCATTCCATCAGAAACTATATAGTGTTTAGTTCTTTTTGTGTGTGTGATGTTAACACCCATTGATAATGAACTCCTTACATCGATGTCTTTCCAGTCATTTTTGTTGTTTGTAACTTGTTTTCTAGTAAATTCCATAGGAATTGCTCAGGGAAACAATATGTTGAACTGATAATAAATTGATTATAACTTAATATGTGAAAGTGATTTAAACTGGATATAAAATTCTTGGTTGACCTTTGCCTTCCTTCCTATATATTTCCTTCCAAATCTTAAATTTATTATTCCATTGTTTTTGGAATAAAGCCTATATAAAGTCTGATGCCAGTCTGATTTTTTTTCCCCCTTATAAGTGATTTGGTCTTTTTGCCTGATATGCAAAAGACTTTTCTCTTTCATTAAAAACCTGTAGTCTTACTAGAAGATATTTTTGTATTGTACTTGTTTATGTTTTCTGGATTAGTATATATTTTCAAATTAGTTTCGTGTATATATATTTATTTTCAGTAACAATTCCTTCAATTATAATTTTTAGTATTTGATTTGTCTGAATGCTTTCGTTATTTTCTTTAGGGACTCTTGTTTCCTCATTATCACTTTATCTCATATCCTTTTTCTTTTTGTCTTTCAGTTTTTTGAATTTCCTATTTTAAGGCAATCATATATTATGTTTGCTCAGTCTTGTTTTTGAAAGGTCTGTCTTTTGTTTCTACTTTTTCCTTTGGTCATTTCACCATTTTGTTGTTGTTTTTCTTCTGATTTTTCTTAATAGTTCATATATTATTAAGAAATTATTTTAATTTCATTCAGAAATATAATACTGTGCTTTTCATCTGTTTTGTGTGCATGCCTTTCTAGAGGTGTCATTATTTGTGGAGATATTATTCCCCCTAGTTACTTTTTGTGGGCTTTAAATGCAGTGCTTTACATTGCTCATTTTTAGATGAAATTAATTTTTCTGAAGTTTAGATGGACATGGGTAAATTTTCTAGCCTCATAGCAGCTTTCTCTGTTGTTTTGTCAGTATCTAAAAATACTGTGTGTAAATTTTATCTCAATAAAGGTATTTTTGAAAAAACAGTCTCTGACTTTCTGATCTCCAACTGTCTCTTCCCTCACTTTAATTTGGATCTTCTCTTTTCGTTGTTTCTACGATCCCTGGCATCTTTAGTTTGGATTCTTTGTCTACAACAGTTTCTCCTCATTGTGCAAATGCTGATGATGCCCAAATCTTTTTTCAGATTAACTGTCTCCAGAATCTAGACCTGTGTTTATACTGCTGGTCACAGACACCCCCATCCATTATGTACCTAAAATTGAACTCATTCTCTTCTATACTCGTATACCCACTTTGTTGCCAACATTCCCTGTTGTTGAATGATACATCTACCTCATAGCTTAAGCCAGAAATCTGTTTATCACTTATCTTTTCTTCTTTTTCCCACCCAGTTATTACAAAGTATTTTTGGATTCTACCTCCTATGGCTTAAAATGAGCTATTTCTTTCCTACTACTGATACAAAAAAGTTCACAATCTTGGAGTCATGTATATTTCTTTCCCTTATACCTACCTCATTTCTACTCCCTTCACCAAGTCCTCCCAGTTTCCTCTGATAGTTCTTAAATTCATTCATTGCCTAGCCCCTACTTACCTTTCCAGATTTATCTTATTATCACACTTTCCCCTCATTTCTGTAGTCTCTCCATAGATAATGTTACTTTCACTACAGGACTCTTGAACTTGTACTCTAACTTGCCTAGTGATTCCTACTCATCCTTCAGTTCAGAATACCCCCTTTTTTGGAATTCTTTCTTGCCCAAATTAAGTTGTCTTCTTATAAGTAACTTGCCTCTTAAACCTGTGCAACATCCATTCTACTTGCTGGCTAAATTTATTTCTGTGCTTAATTATTTGATTAATGTTCATTTCCTGACTAGGCTACAAAGATCATGAGGACAGAGGTGGTCTTATTTCTGTTTGTCATTTTTTCCCTAGTGTCCAGTATATTATAGATCACAGAATATTTGTTAAATGACTAGGTGGTCATTGTCACTATCTTGGTGAGGCCACTGATAGTACTACCTCTTCTGAATTTTTGTCACTAATACTTTTTACCTAATTAACAAGTAGTCACCTAGCAGAGGTGAAATCACATTATTAATTTCTCAACCATGGAAATTTTCTGTCATCCACTAAAAGGAGAATTCTTAACCCAATTAGATTCTAACTGAGTCTCCCTAGTGTTTGTCTTGCTCTTTTCTAATACTTTCTGTATGGTGTTGTGAAAGTGTTATTCTGCAGTACAGATAGGTTCATGATAAGCTTCTGCTTACAACCATTTGATTGTTCCATATTATTCTCTTTTATCACTTCCCCTTTTCATTATGCATCAGTAATATTCAAATATTTGTAGTTCCCAAGGCATACTATTTGTATATATGATATTTCTTCTTCCTGGTACTCCCTAGGAGCTTCTTGGTCTCCATTTTGCTAATTCCTTGGTAGCTCCTTATTAGCTCAGCTTCATTGTTGCCTTACCTTCAAAGAGTTAGAGTTGCCTCTTAAATATTCCTATAGTACCCTGCCTTGATATAGTACATATCATACTGTATTAAAAATGCCTGTTATCTTGTCTGTCCCAGGAACATGTCTTTGATTATTCCAGAACCTGACATAGTGCCTGGTGCATAGCAAAGTGCTCAATGAATTCACTCAAGTATGTATTATGCTGAAATACTGAGGTTTAGATATCTTAAACCTTAGTATCTAAGTTGGGGCTAAATCATTGTTATGCACTTTCAATAGTGCCTAGGAAAATTATAATACTAGGAGAATTATTTAAAGCACAAATGGAAGATCAATCCAACATAAATAGGTTCAACTTCATTACAATTTAATAGAAATGTAGATTAAACAATATTAGGAGATAATTTTTGCCCATTAGATACCCAAGGATTATAAATGATTCATAATGTGCAAGGTAGGTGGATATGATGAACAGTCACAGAATGTTAAGAGTAAATGAGCACAACCTCTTTATAATACTGTCTTGCAGTAGCTATTAAAATGTTAAATGGTCATAGTTTTTGACTCAGAAATTTAACTTCTAGTTATGTATCCAATTGAAATCTACTGAGGTGTCCAGAAATATAAGTATAGGTTGTTTATTGTAGCATTGTTTTTAAAGATGGGAATTTAGATGTCACCTATATGTTCACCAGTAGATACTGCTAAAATAAATGATACTGCATCCATAGGGAGAAGTCATATATAGTTTCTAAAAATTAAGTTGAGTTATATTTAGTAGATGTTATATTTAGTAGTTAGGCTAGGCTCTAATAAATCTATAAAGCAGGCTGTAAAATAGTACATGTATCGGATGCGTCCATAAATAAATACATAGGTTGTAGTATTTATAGTATATGTGAGGTATATGTCTTTTTTAAATACTAAGTATGCATTGTAATTACTGGATAATTAGAAGATTAAGAAACAATAATACAGTGCAGACTGTATAGTTTTGTGGTGCTGTCAATTGCAAGCATGAACTGTACACTTAATTTTCCCCTTTTTTCTAAATAGAATGCCCAGTGTTTACATGGGGACATTGCACAGTCACAAAGAGAAATTACATTGAAAGGCTTCAGAGAAGGTAGTTTTAAAGTTTTGGTGGCAACCAATGTGGCTGCCCGTGGTTTGGACATTCCCGAGGTTGACCTGGTGATTCAGAGTTCTCCTCCACAGGTAGGAAATGAGATTTGATTTGGGGAAAATAAGATCAACTGTATAAATTGTTCTTTTGTGTACAAAATAGTGCTTTTGATGTGAAAAATATGTTTTTAGCCATTTTTTGTTATTGTGTTAAATTGATGAAAATCTGATGCCTTTGCTAATGATTAACTTCGTTATTTGGATTTGAGGCATGGAATCATGCAGTGGTATTATTGAAAGCTAACATATAAATAGCCCTGGAAAGAGATAGATAAAAAGGTATTAAATCCCATTTTTTTTTTAAAGATTCATTTACTTATGCCTCCAAGAACTGGGGTACAGGCAGGGGGTGGGGTGGGGTACTGAGGGGGGTGAGAGGATTCACTAGAGACAGAGTGGGGAGCAGAACAGGCAGACCGATTGAAATACACTGCTGAGGGGAGCAATAGGGGAGATAGGAGAGGTCTGTGGGTAGCTCCCTGGCCCACCAGGGATCAAACTTGTGCTGCAGAGGCTGCAGGTAGCTTCACAGGGCTGTGCTTAACCCCTTGTACCACCAGGGAGGCCCTAAAACATTGTTATTATTAGTAATAGGTTTGTACTATTAACATTATTATTATTTGGATGCTGGGGAATGACTGACTTGCCAGATTTTTAACAAGTATTTCCTATCTTATTTTTAGGATGTTGAGTCCTATATTCATCGCTCTGGACGCACAGGTAGAGCCGGCCGGACAGGGATTTGCATATGTTTTTATCAGCCAAGAGAAAGAGGTCAACTAAGATATGTGGAACAAAAAGCAGTAAGTAGAGTTAAATTATTTCAGGCTTATTATCTATAGTGCCTTAGAAAAGAACTCTTTTTATACTTGTCCTCACAAATAGATCTTTGTAACTTTTCTCAGTTTAAGCTGCCATTGGATGTGAAGCATGTGGAGAGCTAAATATATACTAGCTGCAAGACTTTGTGTTAATTCTGCATTTATTGTGACACAGAAAACTGACTTTCTCATTTTTCTTTTGAATTTTCTCCCTTGATACTAAAATCAAAAATGCTTTTAGTCCAGCTTTGTAAATGGTGACTGTGACATTGTCTTGTAATAGTTAAGATTATATTGTGTCATGGTAAAATGGCCAGTTTCTTTAAGAAGTTACACATTTTTTTTGGTGGCCTGGAATTTTTTTTTTGGTACTATTTCACATTTTTTATAATGTGCATTTTTATGTTCTATTTCCTTGTAACATGAGATAAGATATTTAGGGGAGAAAGTCGGTAGGTATAAATAGTATCTTTTCCCTTGTTTTGAATCAGCTTTATTTTGTAAGTGAGATTCATTGTATATTAAAGTCACTTCAGGAATTTTTTTTTTCTCCATCTAGAATTTGTAATTGATGCTTTATATAAAAAAAGTAGATCTCTTGATCTGCTAGGGATTGGAAATCTTTTTTTTTTTTAAGTCCAAGAAATGGAAATTCAACAAACTATATTAATTTAGGAGTTAATTGTAAAGACTTCCATTTTTCTTTAATGTAATTCTTTCATTTTCAGGGAATTACTTTTAAACGTGTAGGTGTTCCTTCTACAATGGATTTAGTTAAATCTAAAAGCATGGATGCCATCAGGTATGCTTTCTGACCTTGCTGAATGATTTTTTCTTTTATATTAGGCTATTCATCTTTAAGCTCTCCTAGTTCAAAAAACAGAAAATTTAGTCAGCAGTTTTATCAGCAGTTACATTAAAATGCAAAAATGTTACTCTTTCTTTTCCCATTCATTCTCTTACCTTTAATTATTTCCCTTTGCCTTGACCAAGAAAATTTACTATTTTTAAACCATAGGTCTCTGGCTTCCGTTTCTTATGCTGCTGTTGATTTTTTCCGACCATCAGCTCAGAGATTGATAGAAGAGAAGGGTGCAGTGGATGCATTGGCTGCAGCATTAGCCCACATCTCTGGTGCCTCAAGTTTTGAACCACGATCTTTGATTACCTCTGATAAGGTAGAAATGTGTGAGAAAATTGTATGGGGTTGAGACAGGGAACCTTCACTTTGCACAGCACAGTTGACCCCTGCTTTATAGTCGATTCACTATGTGAGCAAATCACTTCACCATGAGTCCTTCATATTAAAATATAAATCACTTTACAGTTTAATAATTCACGTTACAATTACCACCAAGTAGACCATGAGGATGGGGCATTTGAATAATTGTTAGCATATGAGCTAATCACAGGTTAATTTATTGGTTTGATCATCTTTTGTCATGGTCTAGTTTTTTTTTTTTAAAGATTTATTTTATTTATTTATTTATATAAGCACTGGGTGCAGCCAGAAGCGCAGGAGGGTGAGAGAATTCACCAGAGCCAGAGCGGGGAGCAGAGCAGGCAGAAGGACCAAAGTACACTGCTGAGGGGAGCAGCGGGCGGCAGGAGAGGTCTGCGCACCATGTGGGACCCTCCTCTGGTGGCCGGGGAGCAGCCGGGGATCGAACCGGCACTGCAGAGGTCGTGCGCAGCTTCGCAGCCCAGCGCTCAACCGCTGCACCACCGGGGAGGCCCAGTCACATTCTAGTTTTGTTTTGTTTTGCTTTTTCAGTGAAGTAGAGAAATGTTTTCTTTTTTGGTCTTTATGTGTACTTTTTTAACAAATGGTTGTTGAACTGCATAAAAATACTGTACGAAACTGTAAACATGGGTCCTAAAGAGTATTAAGAAGAAAATCTCAATTAAATTGAAACAAATTATAAAATAGCATACTGATGGTGAAAAATTAGTGAATTAATACAAGAGTTTGATTTTTCCTGTCCACTCCATTAGCAAATTCTAAGAAAATAACCTTTTCCAATTCAAGTTACTTCACTTATTTTCAGGAGCTTTTTAATAAAAAAACAAAATTCAATATTTTTGTTTTGTTGTATAAATCACAGTCTTCTATAAGCTTAGCTATATGCTGAAATTTCCAAATTATGCCACCCTAGAATGAGTGTCAATGTATTACTGCGTTCACATTCAATATTTTTATTATACAATTATATCTGTAGAAGGAATTAGTATTGTAATGTGTGTGTCTACTGTACTGTATTAAGTGAAACTTAAATACCAGAATCTTTTCTTCACTTTGTAAGTTGCTGTGATACCGTGCAAACTGAGAAATAGACTCTGCAGTTAACAGTGTACCAAGCAAAATAGGATTGTCTGTATATGTGGAGGATGTGTGTGTGTGTGTCTCTGTGTGGGTATCTATGTGTTTTGCTGGGTTGTTAAACCATATCAGAGCAATTAGTTGCAAGTAATTCAAGATTTTGTCATTCATTGTGATATAAATGAGAGGAACACCCATCAATAATAAGTAGAGGGATGTGGGGGAAAGAGGGTGGGACAAGAGCTACTGGGAGAGGAGGAAAATAGAATTAGGGCAGGTATGCGTTAATTGAGTTATGTGGTGTAGCTTAAATGAGTACAGCTTGGGTGTCTGATGTTTTCTGCCTGGCAGGCATTAACGGGTTAGCCAAATTGTCATCTTGCTGGGAGCAACTTTGTGTGTGATTCTTTGTCCCCTCTATATAGTTATCTTTTTGAAAAATTTAGATCCAGTTGAAGTTCATGTGTTACATTTGGTTCCTACATCTCTTTTAATCTGGAACTGTTTTCCCATCTTTTTTTACTGATTTTTTTTTTGAAAAGTTTAGATAAGATATCTGGTTTAGTATCTTTTTGGATTTCTTTTCTTTTTTTTTTAAAGATTTATTTATTTATTTATACCAGAGCCAGAATGGGGAACAGAACAGGCAGACTGACGGAATACACTGCTGAGGGGAGCAGCGGGCGGCAGGAGAGGTCTGCACACCATGTGGGACCCTCGTCCGGTGGCCGGGGATGAAACCAGTGCTGCAGAGGCTGCGGGCAGCTTCGCAGCCCAGTGCTCAACCGCTGCGCCACCAGGGAAGGCCCTGGATTTATTTTCTTTATGCATCATTTCACTTTTGCCTTTATTCAATCTACAATGAACTATAAGTGATGTCAAAGTTTGATTTTATATTCAGTTAAACAGTTTGGCAGGAATACATTTTAAGTGATACTGTACACTCCTCATAACATCAGGAGCCATTTAATGTCAGATTGTTCCAGTACTAGTATGCTTACTTTGATTACTTGTTTGAGATGGAAATTGCTTCCATTTGTTATGGTATATTTTGCTCATATAACTAGTAAGTAATCTGTGGGGTGCTACTCAGCACTGAGCAAAAAATATTACAGATAGCAAATACCTATGCTTAACTACCCACCAGATACTTCTTAAGAAAATATTTAAACCATACTTCCTAAGAAAATGTTGAGAAACACTTTTTTTTTTTTTAAAGATTTATTTATTTATGTATACAAGAGCTGGGGTACAGGCCAGAGGTGTGGGAGGTGAGAGGATTCACCAGAGACAGAGTGGGGAACAGAACAGGCAGATAGACCAAAGTACACTGTTGAGGGGAGCAGCGGGTTAGTCAGGGGAGGTCTGCCGCACCATATGGGTTGCTCCCTGGCCGGCTGGGGATTGAACTCGTGCCGCAGGGGATGTGGACAGCTTCATAGGTTGTGTCTTTTTTTTTTTTTTTTTTAAGATTTATTTTATTTTTATGCATACAAGAGCTGGGGTATAGGCCAGAGGTGTGGTGGGGGTAGGTGAGAGAATTTTCCAGAGACAGAATGGGGAATAGAACAGGAAAACTGACTGAAATACACTGCTGAGGGGAGCAGTGGGCGAGTCAGGAGAGGTCTGCTGCGCCATGTGGGTTGCTCCCTGTCCAGGGATCAAACTTGTGCTGCAGTGGTTGAGGTTAGCTTCATAGGTTGCATCTTCACCCCTTGTGTCATCAGGGAGGCCCCATAGGTTGTGTCTTAACACCTTGTGCCACCAGGGAGGCCCTTAGGAGATACTTTTAGAGCCAAGAAGTATCTAAGAGGTTTTAGTCGCAACACTTATTTGATAAAAAAAAAAAAAATCCCTTTGTAGTAGATGGGTCATCCAACCTCAAATTCAGTCTCTTAGAAACTGGGTTGATAGAGGTTTGAAATTTCTTTCTTTAAGTTAAACCAAAATCCAATCTTCACCATGAATGTTCTACAGGTAGAACATTCTACTGGGTTGTTAGAGATATCTTTCTTGATCACCTTATCTAAAGAGGATAAGGTGAAGAGAGACAGGAGAGGTCTGCTGCGCCATGTGGGATTCTCGCTGGCCGGCGGGCATTGAACCAGCACTGCAGAGACTGCAGACAGCTTCACCGTGCTCCGCTCAACTGCCTGTGCCACCAGGGAGGCCCTATATTTCTTCTTCACATTGATCTGTTTGATTGTCAGTAAAGCTTTATAGAACAAATAATTTTTGCTTACATAATAGTCCTACAAGAGTTTAAAGAGGTTTATTTTTATTTTTTTACAGATTTATTTTTATTTATTTATGCATATAAGAAGTGGGGTGTAGCCAGAGGTGCCGGGGATCTACTGAAATACACTGCTGAGGGGAGCAGCGGGGGAGACAGGAGAGGTCTGCTGTGTCATGTGGGTTAGCTCCCTGGCCTGGGATCAAATCTGTGCTGCAGTAACATTTTTGCAATTTTAACCCCTGCTCCACCAGGTAGTCCCCTAAAGAGGTTTATATAACCTATTTTCCTCTCCAAGTTTGCTTTGGCTTCTTCAACTTTTTCTTTTTCTTTTTTTTTTTTAAAGATTTTATTTATGCATACAAGAACTGGGTTGTCAGGCCTCCCTGGTGACACAGAGGTTAAAGTCTCAGCACTATTAAGCTATTGCCAGCCACTGTGGCCTGAGTTCAACCCAAGGCCAGGGAGCTAACCCACATGGTGCAGCAGACCTCTCCTGGCTCATCCTCTTGCTCCCCTCAGCAGTGTATTTCAGTAGATCCGCCTACTCTGCTTCCCTCTCTGTCTCTGGTGAATTCTTTCACCCTACCCTGACTCCCCACACCTCTGGCCTACATCCCAGTCCTTTTCTTGTATGCATAAATAAAAATAAATTTAAAATAATGAACTGGGGTATAGGCCAGAGGTGTGGGGAGGATGAGTGGATTCACCAGAACAGAGTGAGGGAGCAGAACAGGTACATTTTTAACTCCTGTGCCACCAGGGAGACCCAAGAAGTTATTTTTTAAAACCCATATTACACTGTTGAATCAGCACATAATTAAGCCATGAAAGGCTATAGAATTGGAACTTTATTGTTCTATTGTTGTTTCCTCCACACTTTAAACCCCCAAACATAATACAACTTTTCTTCCTTAAGGGATTTGTGACCATGACTCTGGAAAGCCAGGAAGAAATACAGGATGTCAACTGTGCTTGGAAAGAACTTAACAGAAAGCTGAGCAGTAATGCTGTGTCCCAAATTACCAGAATGTGCCTCCTAAAAGGAAATATGGTATGCTTTTCTAGATTACTAAAAAGCTTTTTAGTAAGTTGCTATAAATGCTTGAAAAGACTAGACAGTTTCGGTCCTTCTTTCCTTTTTTGAAGCCCAAAACTGTAAATACTCCTTGTATTAGTTTGTTTCCAGTTGTAAGTTTGGGCAGTTATATTACATAATCCATTGCGCTAGAAAGCTGTAAAGTCATTCTGCTTAGTTGGGCTATTACAATACCCAAGTTATTTAAGTTTCTGACTTCCATACATATGTATGGTTGTGTATGTTTATTCTCTCAGTCTAAATAACTTAAGATTACAACAGCTAAGCTGCTTTGTAATTGAGAGGACACACAAAATACTGGAAGATAATGATGTGAATTAAATAATAGTATACTACATTCATGAAATAACAAAGTTAAAACTGTAATTTTAGGGGCTTTGCTTTCTTCCAATGCTTTTGAGAAAATGTTACATGTATTCATCTAACTTTAGTACATTGTTTCATTCTGGCCTGGATTTTAAACTCAGTTGTTTCTTGGAAATAATCTTTTTTAAAGTTTAAGAATTTGTGGCAAGTATGAGAGAAAAATAGACATTCAGAAAAAATGTGGAGGAGAGGAAAACTATAACAAGATCTTTAGGACACACTCATTACTATAACTGAGTATTAAATTAACTTTCAACTTACTGGCAACCAAGACCAAAGAGGAAACATCTTGGTTTACATCATTCTCATTATCTGATAAAGTATTTAGTTACTTTTCAGATTTAGAAAATATAATAAATAGCTACAATGTCGTGCATTTATATATATTTGCTTTTTTAATACTGTGAATAATTATAGGACACCTAAACTTCCCTCTTTTTTAGTTAAAATAAGATTACCAACAATAATTAGTATATTCATAAAAACACCAATTCATATGATTCTAAATAAAAATGTTTTTATTTTGCTTTTAGGGTGTTTGCTTTGATGTTCCCACAACTGAGTCAGAAGGGTTACAGGTATTTTAAAAATTTTATCTGTTAAATAGTTGAGTATTTCTCTAAAAGAGGGATTTAAAAAATCCATCAAAATATCATTATCATTATGCCTATATCAGTTAGCAGTTCTTTAAAATATTAAGTCTGCCTTATAATATTTTTATTATAATTTCAAACTTAAAAAAATAGACAACTTTACATAATGAATCTTCATGTAGTCATAAATCAGCTTCAGTAATTAACTTGTAGCCAGTTTTGTTTCATGTCTACTTCTATCTACTTCCTCACTTTCCTGTACTCTTTTAAAACATTCTGGGCATTCTATCCCTACAACCATAAATATAACTAAATATTAAGGTTACTTAAAAACAGTCATACCATAATTAAAACCCTCAAGATAATATAATATTATCCAATTTTGTGTTTGAGTTTCTCCTATTGTCTCCTAAATATTTTTAATATAAGGTGCACACATTGTATTTTGATGTTTCTCTGTTTTGAAAAATTTTCCTTGTGTTTTATCTGTTGAATAAAGATTGCCCACTAGATTCCTAGAGTGTAGAACTTTTTGTGTCTCTGTGTGTATTTATATACATATTTTGAAACAAGAATGGGAGATTTTATTTTTGTCTTTTTTAAAAAATTCATAATATGTTGTGAACACATTTTTGTGTCAACTATACAGTGTATTTTTAATGATTCCCTGGCATTTAGCCATAGTGGTGTCCAACTTTTATTAATCAGTGTCCTATTTCCTTACATTTAGATTATTTTCAATAATGTACTATTATAAATGGGACTGCCCTGAATGTTGTAACTAGCTCTTCATCCATTGCCATGTTTATCTCTTTAAGATGAAATTTTTAATATGACTGTTTGGCCAAAAGTTGTGGTGTTTTAAGATTTGGTCATGTCTTTACAAACATGGTATGAGTATGAATGTTTGTCTCTGTCCTTTCTTACCAACAAGTTATTTCAATATTAACTTTCCTTGGCTATTCATGATCATTTAATATAGCAGGTTATGATACAATGATGCTTTTATGAGCTCCTGGTTTATCTTGATTGTTTACCCTAGTATAAATTGTTTCCAATGGCTACATTTTTTAGTGCCCTACTGGTGTTGACAAATTTTTAATCTCCATCATCAGTTCTCACTTCTTTCTTCTGGACATACTTATTGAATATAGTGTAGTGATTTTATTGATTATCTGCTTTAGCTGAGAAACCAGTGCTCTCTTTTAGAATGTATACACTGAGTATAGATTTAAAGTTTGGAAAATGGGTCTAAAAATTTCTTCTGAGACTGAAACTTAGGAACTTTAGGTAATGACCTTTGAATATGTTTGTTTTCTAGTTTTTGTTTCAGATACCCTGAATTTAATGGATAGATATTTTAATTAATTATTTTTTAAAGATTTACTTATTGTTATATATTAATGCATACAAGGACTGGGGTGTAGGCCAAGGTGCGGAGGGGGTGGTAAGAGGATTTACCACAGACAGTGGGGAGCAGAACAGGCAGACTGACTGAAATACACTGATGAGAGGAGCAGTGGTGGAAACAGGAGAGGTCTCCTGTGCCATGTGGGTTATCTCCCTGGCCCGGATCAAACTCAGTGCTGCAGTGGCTGGTGATAGCTTGACAGTGCTGAGACTTAACCCCTTGCGCCACCATGGAGGCCCCAATAATGGTTATTTTAAAAATGAGTTTCCTATACTCATGTTTTGTTTATGGTTTCTACCTTGCATTTATATTAATCCTGTAAATTTTCCTCAACAGGCAGAGTGGCATGATTCAGACTGGATACTCTCAGTGCCAGCCAAGTTACCTGAAATTGAAGAATATTATGATGGAAATACATTTAATTCCAGACAGAGGAGTGGCTGGTCAAGTGGCCGGTCAGGCCGGTCAGGCCGATCAGGTGGTCGATCTGGTGGCCGGGCAGGTAGACAGAGTCGACAGGGCAGTCGGTCAGGGAATCGGCAAGATGGTAGACGACGAAGTGGGAATAGAAATCGATCAAGAAGTGGGGGCCACAAACGGAGTTTTGACTGAATATTTGATAGTTAATCTACCAACGTGAGCTTGCCTATTTCTGCCTAATCATGTACATTATCCACCAAAAATTAGGTCATCATAGTTGAGGTATGTGTCTGCTATTTGCAAAGAAGTTGGTCGTATTTTTTTAAAAAAGTATTTCACAAGAATGGTTGTAAACAAATCTACTTATCCAGTTATACCTTTGAATAAAAAAATCCTTTTATTGTCTTTTTTTATTATGCATAAAAATCTTTTAATATTTCTTCTAAAACATGGCAGTCAAATTAATCTTTTTTTTTTTTTTTTTTTAAGATTTATTTATACAAGCACTGGGTACATTCAGAAGCACGGGAGGGTGAGAGAATTCAACAGAGCCAGAGCGGGTAAAAGAACAGGCAGACCGATGAAATACACTGCTGAGGGGAGCAGCGGGCGTGGCAGAAGAGGTCTGCGTGCCATGTGGGACCATCGCCCGGTGGCCAGGGATCGAACTGGTGCTGCAGAGGCTGCGGGCACCAGGGGAGGCCCCAGTCAAATTAATCTTAATTAAGGTTACTTGCATTTTACAATATGCAGTGTAATTTTTTTTTAAGATTTATTTTTTATTTATACAATAGCTGGGGTACAGGCCAGAGGCACAGGAGGGTGAGAGGATTCACTAGAGACAGACTGGGGAGCAGAACAGGCAGACAGACCGAAAGCACTGCTTAGGGGAGCAGCGGGCGAGGCAGGAGAGGTCTGCCACCACATTAACAAGAGTACTGAGAGTAGAAGCATGTTAGCTGTGGATTCAGCAGGATAAAATAGTAGGGACAATAAACATGAAAATATTTTCCAGGAATCTGTGAACAGAGAAATAAGCTAAAGCTAGAAGTAGAAAAAAGGACATGAAATTGCAGTGAGAATTTTGTGTGTGATTGGGGGGTGGGATAGTGGTGAAATGAGGGGTGCTTGAGCATGTTGGAATACTAAAATGGAAGGAACAAGAAAGGAGGGAGGAGAAGAGAATATATAATGGAGCAAAGTACCTATGAAAACTAAGGGACAAAATCGAGAGGGGATTTTTAGCTTTAGATGGCATAAGTATATCTTAATATTTTGTCAGGAGGAAAGTATGGTATAGGTGAGTCTGCAGGCATTACTGTAAAAAGTTCTTTTTTCCCCCTGTGGTATTATTCTTGCATGGCTACTGGAATGAAGAGGACGTCGCAAGCTAAAAGACCTGAGAGAGATGCTAAAATGTCAACTATAGAATAAGATCAAGCACTCAGCCAGATGACCAGCTTTGAGGGTCCAGTTGTGATTAGAAACTGCACTGGTTAGAATAACTGAGTGATTTCCTAAAGCAATACTCAACATTCTGTTTTAGGAATGGAGATCGGAAACTTGACTGATCTAGTGTAGGGGTCTTGCTTTGTGATATAAGTATTACAAAGTTAAGATGTTAAGAAATTTGGCAAGAGTGATTAAAGTAACGGTCTTCGGTGTCTAGACTGCCTAGGGATTGAAATGAAGATGGAATTGATAGGAAGAATGTAGAAGGGGCAAGGGATTGATTGTTAGTGAGGGTTGTGTGAATTTGAGATCTCAAGAGTGGGACAGTTGGGCAAAGATAAGTGCAGGGTGTAGCTCACACCTGTTTGGAGCAAAAGTGGTTTCAGTTGAGGTGGTCAAAGAACTGAGAAACCAGGTATGACATTAATGGTTTTCCTGGACAATGAATTCTCAAAGAAAACAAAGCAAGACTGAGTGCCAAAATTCGTAGGTGTCAAAATACCAATGAATGATGAAAATTGGTAAGTTACTAAATAAGGAAGGGTATGGAGTGATAGTCCACATTTCTGCATAGGGAAAAGGATTTTTACACAAAAGTGAATAGTTTGCATTTGAGGTTACTAGGGTGCATGGAATGTAAAGAAGTAAGCAATGTTGAGAAATGTGTGAGAAAAATGCAGGAGGATTATCTTTCAAGAGGGGCTAGATCTCAAGTAAGCCAGGAAGCAAGGAAGAACTCTCAGTGCTATATTGAGAAAGGGAGTTTTGATTATGGGGAGTTCCCGACAGCCATAAATGGGAGGGGTAAATCTCAGCTGACTCTACTTGAGTAGTTGTGCGACCTGGGTTTATACCCAAGATGAAATAGGGCTTCTATTCCTACTAAGGTGCATAAGCATTAGTACTTTGGTTGGAATATGTGATGTACTTAAAATGTTCAAGGCACTGTGTTTGGGATACAGACGTGGATAAAGAATGCTCAGTCTGCTCAGCAGCTCAAAGTCTAGTGAAGTATCAATAGATGGACACAGTAAGCTAGATCCATGGCAATGACTAAGTGCAGTGATTTCAGAGCTCTGTGCAAGGGCATCTATCCCAGCCTAGGAATAGTGGAGGGGGTGGGGGGAGTACATTCAGAGAAAGATTTTGGACAATGTCTAAATATGGGTTGGCATCCAGGCAAAGGCACAGAGTAGCTAATAACATGGTGTAAGTATGGCAAATGATAGTAGCCCTTTTACTGCTGAGATCTTCACAAGGAGGAAAACAGTTGTGAAACAAGGCCAGAGTCCTATCTAGGAAGGCATGTAGTCATGTTTTTGAACAGCTATCGAAGAGTTTCAGGAAATAGTGAAAAAGATAAGTGTAGGTAAACACCAGTAAAGGGGAAGGATGGATTATACGTGTATACTTGCTTAAAGGCTGACTTATTAGAAAGAAAAGCGGGCTAAGTCCTAAAGAAGATTAAATAGTAACTTTTCATATTTTGGAATGAGTGGGGCACAAGACATACTATCACCAAGTTTTCAGCTTGGACTACATTAGGTCACTTATTTTGACTCTGCTCCTTCCTCATGGAGCCACCTTTTGGCTTCAGAGCTTCCTCTTTGGTACTCTGTTCCCTAGTGTGGTCACTTAGCAGCTATTTGAACTTGAGTCCATTACCTTGACCTTCAGATTCTGAGTTTCTAAATTAGATATTTTTATTTCCTTCAGCATTAGAAATTTGAATAATACACATTAGGTATGAATGTCTGAGAGTCCTCACATTGTTTTTATTTTGTGTATTTTGGGGGTAGTAGTGAACAGTTCTTTAATCATCGATACTAGATGTGAATGGAAGGTTTGCAAGCATGAATACAATCAATTAACAAAATGCTTAACATCTGGAATTTCAGTGTACCATGGACTTCGGAGTATAAGGGAAGGCCCATTTTGGGCCTCAAGGAACATGCAGTCTGGTTGATAAACCACAAAACTATGTGATACTACTCAGATTCTTTTCTTAAAATTAGTAATGTCAATTGTTGAAAATTTGAAAAAATAGAGAAGCAAATGGAAGAAAGTAAAAACCATCCATAATCATATCACTCAGAGATAATTGCTAACATTTTAATGTGTAGACTTTTGAATCCACTGTGTATGTGCTTGTATGTATACATTACTTTTTGAAATAGAAATTCTCCCCTTAATTTTATGAAAATCATCTCCATCAGAGGAAGATGGCCTGGCAGAATAAATTTATTCAAGCAGAACCTCACATTTCCTATCAAATGTGTATATGACCTATTTCTTTTACTTATTATATTTTACCCTGATGAATACATTCAATACAGTAATTTGGCCACCTCTGAGCCAAAAAGGACATTTTACATGTTTCCTCTTGTAATTTTGTGTTTTTGCCTATATGCTAGTATGTTACTAAGGAACTTTCGAACTTTATATAAGCCCTGACAAGAATTTTCTGTTTAGAAGTAGTCTGGACTTACTCTTGTTGAAATCTGGGGATAACGAATGTCCAAATATCATGTTTACAGCAATATCATGTAGAGAGGTATCACAAAGTTTTGTAGTTTATCGATCAGACTGCATGGTCCTTGAAGCTTAGGCTGGGCCTTTCCCTTATACCCTGAAGTCCATAGTACAGGCTGAAATTCCAAATGATAACATTTTGTTAGACAGTTGATTGTGTTCAATCTTCCACCCCTTTCTTTCACATCTAATACCACAATGACTGAACTGGTTTTCCGCTTGGGCACGTAATTAAAATTTACTTCAAGGGGTTCTTTCCCCACCTCACCCTCCAAGGCATTTTAATCATCAATTTACATTTAGTTAAAGACACTGAAAATTTAAGTATAAAATTTAAGTATACAGAAATGGATAAATCTCGGCTCAAGAATATAACAATGGGGCCTTCCTGGTGGCCCCATTGGGGTTAAGGGATTAAGTCTCAGCACTATGAAGCTATCGGCCAGCCACTACAGCACCTGCTGCAGCACGAGTTTTGTCCCTGGCCAGGGAGGTGACCCACATGGCGCAGCAGACCTCTCCTGTCTCACCATCTCTCCCACTGCACCCCTCATCAGTGTATTTCAATAAATCAGCATGTTGTGTTCCCCACTCATGTCTCTGGTGAATCCTCTCGTCCCTGCCCCCCTGCACTTCAGGTCTATACCCCAGCTCTTGTATGCATAAATAAATAAATATTTTAAAAAGTCACAGTGAACACTCGTCTATCTTCCACTAGTTTTTACAGAACTCCTTTTATAGAGACAAGGCTTGTGTATTGTCTGTTCCTGAATTCAAGTCATGTTTCCCACATGGTAAATGTTCAGTGATTATTTGACCAGTGCAGGCATTAATGACCAGATTTGAATGAATTCCAGTTCTTATCTAGGCTGGTGAGTCTGGGCTTCTTTCAGTGTCCACGTTTCCACAGGGCGATTAAGTGCGTATTTCGGGCCTCCCTGGTGGCGCAAGAGGTTAAGCATCGCACTATGAAGCAATCCGCAGCCTCTGCAGCACTAGTTCGATCCCCAGCCGGCCAGGGAGCAGCCCACATGGCGCGGCAGACCTCTCCTGTTTCGCCCGCTGCTTCCCTTAGCTAGTCTGCCTGTTCTGTTCCCCACTCTGCCTCTGGTGAATCCTCTCACTCCCCGCATCTCTGGCCTGTGCCCCAGCTCTTGTATACGTAAGTAAATCTTTTTTTAAAAAAAAGAATACATATTTCACGCATCTGGACGTGAAAAGAAACTTGCAAATTCGAGCAATCTAAAACAAGGAATAAGTACCATTCAATAGCAACTATCTTCCTTTATCAGAGAGGGACTAGAGAGAATCTGAGCAGCATCTGCACGAGAATACAAAGTCATTTTTTTCCAGTTCTCTCCTCCAGTCTACGGAGCCTTCTACAACAGTTTAGACACCGCCAACTCACTGGCCAGCTGGAGCAGCAGGTGCTTGGGACTACCACGTGGGACTCGGCAGCCCGGCACTTCCTGCTTCCGCAGGAAATACTGGGCTGCAGGAAATGACGACAGCTGGGTGGAGGTAGTTCTGTCTCTTCCTCTCCACGCGGTGGACGAGACCGGTCGGTCTGCACCGTTTGTGTCGAGTGATGCCCGGGAAACTCCTAAGCGACGCGGATTTGGACTCAGGCATGGCCATGGGAAAAGCGGAGAAGCCACGAAAGCAAAACGAGAAGGTGCTGCCCAGGGCCGGGGCGCCTGCGGCTGAGGGCGGCGGGTACGGGGGCGAGGGGCTCGGGTCCGGGAGTGCGCGACGCGACCTGGCTGGTCCGGAGACCCGCGGGCGCCCAGCCTGGGGCGCCGGTGAGTGGTGCTCCCCGCGGCGGGGTGGGGGGCGTGGGGGGTCCTTGCCTGCCCCACCGGCCGGCGCCGAAACGCGCCGGGAGCTCGAACGAGAGGCCGGAGCGGGTCGGAACTGGAGGGCCGGGGCCCCACGTGGTCCCGGAGCCCGGCGTCCCGCACCCGGTGCTCAGAGTTGAACGTTCCTGGTTAGGCCCTGAGTTGCTGGCGCGGCCGCTGCTCGGGGCGTGCGCGTGCGCGGAGGGGATTGCCGGGCGCGGCGAGGTAGAAACCCGGGTTTGCTTGAGGCCCGCGGGGCCGTGGCCTGTGCGCCCACGTGGGCGGCCCCTGCAGTCACAGTCCTTTTCACTACAGAAGGACCCTTTGGTTTCCGGTAAGGAGCCCTTAGAAGATGCAGTAACTCAGTTCTTGTTCATGTGTATTGACTAGATATCCCATGGAAATGTAAAGACGTGTGTGGCTAACTGGACATTTTATTTTTTATATATGTCAGCAGTGTGCAGTAGCTTTGTTCCTTTAATAGCTGTCTGCCATGCTGTTACTTGCTTCGATAGTGTTTGTTCACTTCATTTTCGTTCCTTTTCAAATTTTCGTTTCATTTCAAATTTTTAATTCTTTTTTTTTTTTTTTGGATGGGGACCTCTTACAGTAGCATTATTTTGGCGTTGTATGGTGCCAAGGAACACAGACTCGTCTTCACAGATAGGGAGGAAGTGGTGCTGGTTTACCTGCTCTGCATCAGTTAGTGTTTAAGATAGGAGATGCTCAATGTGTAAGTTCGCAGGGATGTTAACAAACTCAGTTACATTCCAAGACACTATGGGTGTGGGAAATTCATTTATTTGGTGGACGCAAGGGGTGAAAGAACTGAAGGTTCTTGTGCATGAAGACAAGATTATTTTTTGGGCATCTGAAGGATGGTTATTTGAGGGAGAGAAACCTTCATCCATGATTTGAAAGCAGAGGCCAGACCTGAGGTTTCAGAAATACAGATTGAAAGATTGAAGCTCAGTGTCATAATCTCCATAGTGAGGGAGTTGGCCTGTGTCTTTGCCGGAGAGGTTTTAACCGGCTACAACACATTTCTAGTTGTTTTCAGTAATACTAGGTATTTCACTAATATGAAAAGGGGGAGAAATTCTACCCAAATTTTGGGTAGAAACATAGTTTTAATTTTGAGGTTTCACCCATTCCATTTCCTTGTAACTTGCAATTTTTCCATCCCTACACTTCCCCCTCCCCTTTAAAACAGACACGTTTGTACAGAACGCAGGGTGATTGTAGGTTTTTATAGCTCTGTTAGTTCATAAAGTGTATCTATATAAATATATTTGTGCTGGTAAGATAGGGCAGCTTTTATGAGTCCCTGTTTGACCTGTTGGGAAGTCTAACAGAAAGAAAAATCTTACCCATCTGTGAAGGAATCATGGCCTTCTACTCAATCAAAATTAAAGTGATTGCTTTCTGTAGTAGTATTTAGTTTAGAGCTTCTGGGAATGTCCCTTGAGCCATCCCAGTGTGAATTGAATAGTTAACAAGAGGTATTCTCTTCCAAGCTAAGGAAGTTGATACATGCTTACCTACAAGTAGCTACATGGTACTGAAAATCATGCTCATTGTTTTTTGCTTTTTTGCTAGGTGAAAGTGCAAATGTTAAAAATGGTCCACCATTCTTTGTGTTCGTCATAATAATGTAATCTTGAAACAATCGAAAATTGATGTATTATACAAATTGTTTTTATTTTTTTTAGAGAGGTAGAAAAGAGAAGCCAAAATCTAATAAGACTGAAGAGGCAGCAGATAAAAAGGAAGAAACTATTTCCCCCAAAGCTAAAAAAGTTAAAAAGAAAACAGAACCTTCTGAGATTGACATGAGTCCCCTTAAACCCCAAAAGGCAGTAAAGAAAGAGGAGCCTTCTCAGGAAGACATTATTTCTCCTAAAACCAAAAGTGTGAAAAAGAAAAAGGAGCCCCTTGAAAAGAATGTTGTTTCTCCTAAAGCCAAAAAGATGAAAAATGAAGAGATTTCTGAAGAAGAAATAGGTGCTCCTAAACCCAAGAAGATGAAGAAAGAAAAGGAAATGAATGGAGAAGTTGGGGAGAAAAATCCTAAAGTGAAGAATGGAGAAATTGGGGGGAAAAATCTCAAACTGAAGAATGGACTCTCTCATTCTGAACCTGACACAAATGCCAGCGAAGAAAGTAACAGTGAGTTAGAGCAGGTAAAGTTGCATCATAATATGTAGACTGTATCATTCTTTCTTATTTCAGATAAATAGGTAATCATTCATATGCTATTTAATAATTAGAAAAAATTTGATGTGTTAGCACTTTGAGGGGTTGGGTCCCTTGTGCCGAAGGGTGAGACTTCATTTTAAAAAGGCAGTGTCTGAGGGCCTCCCCGGTGGCGGTGCAGTGGTTGAGCGCTGGGTTGCGAAGCTGCCCGCGGCCTCGGAGGCGCCGGTTCGATCCCCAGCTGCTCCCCGGCCACCGGAGGAGGGTCCCACATGGCGCGCAGACCTCTCCTGCCGCCCGCTGCTCCCCTCAGCAGTGTACTTCGGTCCTTCTGCCTGCTCTGCTCCCCGCTCTGCTCTGGTGAATTCTCTCACCCTCCCGCACTTCTGACTGTACCCAGTGCATGTATAAACAAACAAATAAATAAATAAATAAAACATGCCTCTATTAAAAAAAAAATAAAATAAAAAGGCAGTGTCTGAATGCCTCCTTTGCATATAAGCAGATGTGTTGCTAAGCTTCACGAAAGTCTTCACTCCTGGTTTGTTTATTAGCAAGTCAGAAATCACTAGGAGTGGGGATATATATATATATATATATATATTTTAAAGATTTATTTATGTATCCAAGAACTGGGGTACAAGCCAGAGGTATGGGGGTTGAGAGGATCCACCAGAGACAGTTGGGAGCAGAACAGGCGGATTAACTGAAATACACTGCTGAGGGGAGCAGCGGGCGACACAGGAGATGTCTGCTGTGCCATGTGGGTCACCTCCCTGGCCGGGGATCGAACTCATGCTGCAGTGACTGTGGAGGATAGCTTCACAGTGCTGCGTCTTAACCCCTTGTGCCACCAGGGAGGCCCCAGAGTGGGGCTCTAGTTACACAGAAAGTTCTAGCTTCTTTCTGAGGGATTTCATCAATCATAATTAAGTAGAACCATTGAAAAAGTGTCTGATTGCCTAAATTTTCTTCTTTTGACCAGCATGATTGAATGCCCACTTGAAAGCTAATTCTGTTTCCTTTTCAGATACTCAATAATCAAAGAAAGTCCTAATTTTACTGTTATTTTGTCTTCTCTGTATGATGTGGTCAACATTTAGACACTTTTCCCCTGATATAAAAATACTTGATCTAGAGAATTTATAAAATGTAGAAATTTACCAAAAAGTATTTCAGTAGTCATTCAGTAACTTTTATACATTTACATTAACTTTTATACATTCATTTTATACATTTTTTAATCAGATTAGGATGTACTATGTACAATTTTGCATCTTAACTTTTCTGTTTGTATACAAGCAATTTTCTGCACTTTCAAGTATTAAATATTTTTAATGGCTACATAATCCATTTCATATCTGTGTTTTGAAATCTAATTATTCCTTTGTTGGGCATTCAGCTTTTTTGTTGTCAAATAAAGTCACTGTATCCACTTTGTCATACTCTTTAGTTTTTTTGGATGAATGTGAGAGATGTTGCTATGGAAGAGGGTTAATGACCCATTTAACATTATTTTGTTAGTATGAAAAGACTCTGATACAGTTCTTAGTTGAGATTGAATCTGCCTCCTTAGCCACATGTAGGATGTACACAGTATGTATGCAGTATATATTTGTTACACGTTTTTCTTTTGTTAGGACTTTCTAGATTATCATGATTTATTTCCTTTTTAGAGGATCTTGATTTTCACCTACCAAGGTTTTTGTGTGTTATGGGTTGATTGAGATGTTTTAGAATACAGAAGTCTTCTCTGTATTATCCTGTAGGAGCAGTTATTGATATCTTTCTGTGGCCCTTTACTTGATAGGAAGTACCTGTGGAGCAAAAAGAAGGAGCATTTTCTAATTTTCCCATATCTGAAGAGACTATTAAGCTTCTCAAAGGTAATATTCTTGGAAATACTGTATAACAGTAAAACTTTACTTGTAAGAACTGTGCTATTTTTGTTAGGATGAACTAGGACATGTTCTTATGGTATGACAATAGATGCATCCATATAATGAAATATTCCTGTAAGTTTAGCATGGCACTGTCCTAGTGACATAGCCTATGCTGTCTCTTAACCAAGGGATTACTGTTTATTCAGTACAAGGTGTATATTCAGATGTATAATGACTGACAGTGAAATTGAATTTTTGATGTCATGGTAGTATTTTCTTTTTTATTCTCTATTACTTCTTAAGTCATATTGAGGTTAATGTGATAATAGCCTGAGTCAGAACTCATTTTAGCAGTGTGCCTGTGAACAAACCTAGGTAGTCACAAATGCTCACAGAAGCTTGACAGGTGTTTTGAATCAGGTACACCACATCTGGACTGCAAAGCCCCTGATATGTGCAGTCTGTGAATAAGATTTCATGACAAGTGACTTAATCCTTAATATATACAATAATTTGGTGTTTTATATATTGTTATCATTTAGTTGAGAAAAATCTTCACTAGTAGAATATATTTAAACCTGACTTTGTAGATGTTGACCAGAAGTAAGATAGAATTCCTTAATTGTTCAGGACTTGAAGCTTAGGTACGCTTTAGTCCTGCCTGGTGTTTTATGAACTGCAACGTCAGGTAACATGGTTAATTTTTTCATAGCCCGTGGGGTGACCTACCTGTTTCCTATACAAGCAAAGACATTTCACCATGTCTACAGTGGGAAGGACTTAATTGCACAGGCACGGACAGGAACTGGGAAGACATTCTCCTTTGCCATCCCTTTGATTGAGAAACTTTTAGGAGAAGTGCAAGACCGGAAGAGAGGACGTGCCCCTCAGGTAACTATCTTAAGCACCTGTGACAATGGACTTCAGATCCACATAGGGAAAAAAGCCTTTTAGGCATTGTTTCCATGCCCTATTTTTTATTTGGTTCTCCTTAAAAATTTTTTTTAAATTCTAGTTCTTTATCTGAAGGTGGCCAGGATAATTCTCTTAACTATTGGCCACAAACTATATGTGTAAATATTATCATCTGTCTCAATTTTGTGATCATTTATATTAATGTTCGTCTTGTACCTTCAGACTGTTATATGTCTCTGGGGCTCACTGCTTTGGTCAGTTGTCTTTGACTACTTTTGCATAGATGGGGAAACATTTTTAGAAAAGATGCATGAATAGAAGGGGAGGTTCCAAGAGGTGAAGCCCCCTTTTTGGAAGGGTACCCATTGGGCAATATCTGAAGAATCTGGCATTTGACAAACCTTATCTTCCCTAAAATGTCCATGTTGTCGACCTTGCCTGTGGGTTCTTACACTTGACTTTCTAGTCACACCTTGTTTACTGGCCCTCCCTTGTCCATTTTCCCTCTCATTAAATACAGCAATAAACAATAATTGTAATACCTGGAATAGTGCCTGGCACATATTAGATGATCAGATTGATTGATTTGGCACACATTAGATGATCAGATTGATTGATTGATTGAATAGATTGATTAGGTGGTGGTTGCTCCTAAACCTCATTTGTTCTAGGCTACCACTTCACCTGAGAATCTGTAGTAGTTTCTGTTGGTGTGTCCTCTTGGATCAAACTTAGACTGTTCTAGGATTCAAAGCCTCTCACCATTTTGTCCTTCCCTTATCTTTGTATTTCACAGTGACCATAGTGTAGAGGTTCAGACAGGATTTGGAGCCTAACTATCTGAATTTAAGTCTGGGTTTTGCCTTTTAGGCCTTTTGGTTTTAGACTTTTGTCATGTGCTATTACAGGTATGACAAAGCAATTGTAGGTATTGTATTAGTTATCTTCTGGTACTTAGAAGGTTATATATTAAACATTTAGTAGAACCTGAGATAACAGTAAAAGCTCAAATACTAACATTATCACCAGCAATGTCACTTCTTACTCAAGTAGTTTCTTTCCTGGAATGCTCTTCATTAATGGCTAGTAAGTAGTTCCATACAACTTTTCTTGGTCCCTCAGCTTGCTTCACTCAACCTCCTAGAGCACCATATATTTGGCCCCTGCTTCTTTTCTTTTTTTTTTTTTCCCCCTTAAAGATTTATTTATTTATTTATCTATCTATCTATCTATTTATTTATTTATTTATACAAGCACTGGGTACATTCAGAAGCGCGGGAGGGTGAGGGAATTCACCAGAGCCAGAGCGGGGAACAGAACAGGCAGACTGACGAAATACACTGCTGAGGGGAGCAGCAGGCACGGCAGGAGAGGTCTGTCGCGCCATGTGGGACCCTCTCCGGCAGCCGGGGATTGAACTGGCATTGCAGAAGCTGCAGGCAGCTTCGCAGCCCAGCACTTAACCCGCCACGCCACTAGGGGAAGCCCCTGCTTCTGTTCTTATTGGTAAGGATCTCTTGCTTTTCTTGAGACTTGTCAGGAGCTATATAGTATTCTCACATACAATACAGTGCAAAGTATATAATAGATGGTTTGAAAGTACTGGTGGGCTGATTTGAACCTCCTAATGAATTTCAAATTTGTTAAGAAACAAATTGCATAATGCGTTCAATTTAATTATTAATTCATTTTTTTCAGGTACTGGTTCTTGCACCCACAAGGGAGTTGGCAAATCAAGTAAGCAGAGACTTTAGTGACATCACAAAAAAGTTGGCAGTGGCTTGTTTTTATGGCGGAACTCCTTATGGAGGTCAAAGTAAGTAAATCCAAAATAGAGAGGGAGAGGAAATGGTATCCATTGTCGAATGTCCTGATTGTATTTCATCTGTTCTGTCATCTGGTTTAGTCATTTATGGTGGTTTTCCTCTGTCAAGGACCTAGACTCTGCCTCTCTTGGCATCCCTGCTTTCTTGCTATAGGAAATCTTTCCCCAAGGGCCACATGTTTCTTCCCAGGCATAGTATTACATTACTTTGCAGTTCAAGACCTTTAAGCTTTATTATGCAGATCAACACAGGAAGGGATTTAAGACATTAACAGTGTTTTAGCGTTGGCACACAAGGCATGTGATTATTTCCAGCTGTGGTGGAAATAATTGCTTTTTTTTTCCCCTGCACTTTAGTCACTCATGTATAAAGTAGGGTTAGTAAATTGATCTGCAGGTGTGTTGTGGGGAATTAATTAGATAATGTAAGGTAAGTAGTATGATTCCCAGATTGTAATAGCAGCTCACCAAAAAACTGCATTATTGCCTTATTTACCTCAGTTATATTGAACTCCACTTTTCTAAACACTTCTATACCTTGGGATGCTTACCCTTTTATCTCATTCTCTGTTAAAAGAAAGTTACTATTTCTGTAAGATTCTGATTCTCATTCGTCTATGAAACCTTGACACTTTCCACCAGCCAAGGAGTCACTTCTTTCTTGGTGCTACCATCACCCCATTTGTGCATCTCTGTGTTATGTCATAAAATACACTTGATTATCACTTGTTAAGTGTTTCCCCCACTAGATTAAGTGGTGGCTTTTCACTTCAGTATATTGCACATTTCTTGGTATTTGTAGTTAATAAGTATTTTAGAATAAAAAATATAATTGGTACCCCAGCTGTTAAAATGGACTAATAACCCAGCGTGTTTTATTGGTGTCCTTTGTAGTTGAGCGCATGCGGAATGGAATTGATATCTTGGTTGGGACACCAGGTCGTATCAAAGACCATCTGCAGAATGGCAAGCTGGATCTCACCAAACTTAAGCATGTTGTCCTGGATGAAGTTGACCAGATGTTGGATATGGGGTTTGCTGATCAAGTGGAAGAGATTTTATGTGTGGCGTATAAAAAAGGTAAACTCCAAATTCAGGGAACTGATAAAAGGGAATATAAAATGGGTGATGATTTATTGTTTAACTACAATGGGGAAAATTTGGGGAAGTAAAAGAAGAAAATTCATATTCTACTACCTTGGTGTACTTGGCTTTTGGGTTTTTGGCCTTTTTCTTGCTGTCTTTGTGCTATTGTGTGTGTGTGTGTGTTAATTATAATCTCACTGTACATCTACAAGTTTGGCTTAATACTCCATGCTAATAACTCCATCTGTATAACTTAATTTTTACATAAAAGAAATTTCTATCCTTACATTTTTATGCAGATAGTTTTCTTCTCATCTTATTACTTGGAATTCTTCAGAATAGATTGCCAGAAGTGAAATTACTGAGTTGAGAAGTGTAAACAGTTCATGAACCCTCTATATATGTTGTCAGGTTGCTTTCTGAAAGGGTTCTACCAGCTGACACTACCATTTGAACATCCAATAAATAGTATTTGACAAGCAGACCAAAAATTAAAAATCAGGGTTGGAAAACTTTTAATACCTGACCTCAAAGAATGAATAGACTGGAATTCTAAACTCTAAATACTGAGGAAATACTAGAGAGTATAGATGAGTGTAGTCTGTCCTTGTGCTTGTTATCAGTTATTTGCTTAGTGATCTAAACTGGTTGGTTACTGGGCTGGATAAATTGTTTTCCAGTTGGTAGGTCTTATAATGGACAGCTTTCCCTCATGGTACATAAAGACCAGTGGTCACGAAGCAAAATAAGTTTAAAATGCTTTAACTATTTCCAGAATTCTTTTCATAACTTATTTCAGCAACATTTCTTTGTCTGCTGGGAACCTCTGCGTATTTCACTTTTGTGTTCTCAATGCCTGGCTTCACTTCACATGGTTGCTGTAGAATGTTGATGGAGCCTGGAAGAATTGAGTGAGATAGAATACTGTGTGGTCTCGGTTGGGTTATTCATGCTGACTTTTTCTTCTCCCCACCCCCCCCAAAGATTCAGAAGACAATCCCCAAACGTTGCTTTTTTCTGCAACTTGCCCTCATTGGGTTTATAATGTTGCTAAGAAATACATGAAAACTACATATGAACAGGTGGACCTGATTGGTAAAAAGACTCAGAAAGCGGCAATAACTGTGGAGGTAAATGATTCATTTAGTTGCTGGCATTAGTAATGAATTGTGTATCATTTTTTCTTTTCCCTTTTGGAAAGTATTAAGACTGGCAAATATAAACTCCTTTTTGGATGGATGCTAGATCCATGTAAAAAATAAAGATAAATTTCTGTAAGTGGTATAGGTTATGTGTTTTCTTTATTTTATCTTCTGGTAGCCTGATTTCAGAATCTTTGGGATCTAAATCAGTGTGAATTATGTCACAGCAGAAAGAAATTATGCCTGGATTTTAAACCCTAGAGGGCAGCAGAGAAATCTAGTGTTTGTGTTGAGTATATTTTCATCTTAGCGTTTGGTACCTAGACGAATTATTTTCACCCAAGGAATGGACCTGTACAGGAACTGACCAAAACTGGTTGCATTTTTAAATGGACAAAAGGATAGAACGTATAGAATATTTTCTCCTGTCAGTTATTTGTTTTCCTGTAGGAATCTAGGCAGTGACATTTTTTTCCTTACATTTCCCTGACTAAGTCAGAAAATACATAAAGAAGCCAAATGCTCTTTGGAGAAAGGGGAAAAACTTTCTGCTTTAATGATTTACTTGTTTTCTCTAAACAGTGGTGGCAGTAGTCTGTTCTTATCAGGCTTAAACATTTGCTTCCAAATCTAAAACTATTAGGATTGTGCCTATGATTGGTTCCAGTGAGACTTTATTAATCTTTTTTTTCTCTTTCATAAGCATCTGGCTATCAAGTGCCACTGGACTCAAAGGGCAGCAGTTATTGGGGACGTGATTCGAGTGTATAGTGGTTTTAATGGACGCACTATTGTCTTCAGTGAAACCAAGAAGGAAGCGCAGGAATTGTCACAGAATACATCCATAAAGCAGGTTGGTCCTTTTCCCTTCCTTTTTGGAAGAAGTATCTTTCAGCTAATAGAATTTACATGTTAGACCTAATCTGCCAGTCTCATCTCAGAGATGAGGGAAGGTTGCTCAACCCCAGGGTTATACTGACAAAGTAGATCCTGGTCACTCTTATCTGGTATTCTTTATCTTGTAAGTTTTATTGGATACAGTTTAATGATTAGGGATTGGAAGTAATTTTGAGGCTTATCTATTCAAAGCACATGTTTCCCTTTTTGTATTATTTTCAGCAGCAGTGTCACCAAAATAATGAATCTTTTAGTGGTCTTATTGGTGAGTTTAAAAGTCCTTTATGTTGGATCTGGTGTTCTTAGGCCAGTTTATTTCTTTGACAGGATGCCCAATCGTTACATGGAGACATTCCACAGAAGCAAAGAGAAATCACCCTGAAAGGTTTTAGAAATGGTAATTTTGGTGTTTTGGTTGCAACCAATGTTGCTGCACGTGGATTAGATATCCCTGAGGTTGACCTGGTTATACAGAGTTCTCCACCAAAGGTAAGTATTTCATACTTTTATTTTGTTGTTTCCTTTGGATACTAAAGCAAATTGGAAGTTGTATTGGTTATGTTCATTTAATTGGTAATAGCTATCCCTTGGTGCTAGGGATGCTAAGAGTGATTTTTAAGTTGAGCCTGCCATGAAGCTCTTCCCTCAGAACTCACAAGTGAGTGGAAATGTGGTCAGTGTCCAGAAGTTAGAAAAATGGTTTCTGGATAGAGGAGAGTCCTGGGGGCTTCATAGAGGTAGTACAATTTTGAACCCGACTTTGAAGATGGGTAGAACTTGGATGGTATAGGATAGGTAAACTCATGAGCTGGAGGGGGAAAAGGCCTGTACTTAACAATTTCTGTGGTTAAAACTGCTTGGTGAAGGAACCTTTCAGGAAGAACCCCGCAGCATAGTTCATATGTTACGGACAGTTCTTCAGGCAAATTAAAGTTGGTCTGAATGGAGCCTGTTTCCATTATTTTAAGAGACCCCTTAACTTTCTCTTTCTCCCCCAGTACTGAATTTCCCAGGATTAAAGACTGTTTACAGTGTTAGGAAAAATACTTGATTACTGTGAAGTCACCAATTCTTAATAAAGGAAGTCCCATAAGTGTGACATAAACATTGTTTAAATGAGCCTGGGTGGCTAGTGCTGTATGGTATGATGGCCATAGCCTTGTGAATTGCAGCTTCTCTGATATGACATGTGTGCTGTAAGTGTAACATACACGTGGGATTTATAAAAAAATTTTTTTTATTATGCACACTGGATTTTGAAGACTTGAATGTAAGGTACCTCTGATAATTTGTTTTATATGGATAGTTGACTGAAATGATAACTTGGGTATATTGAGTTAAAATAGGTTATTCAATTTACTTTTTTTAGCTGGTTCTTAGGAAATTGGAGGTTGAAATTATATATAGCTCTATTAGAAATCAAAATATATAGATAATGCTTTCTGCAGTTCCCCCCCCCATCATTCTAGAAGTTTTTAAAAATTATCTTAGCTTTTATTTTTTTTTTAAAGATATATTTTTATTTATGCATACAAGAACAGGGATCTAAGCCAGAGGTGTGGGGGTGAAACGATTCATCAGAGACAGTGGGGAGCACAATAGGTAGATCTACTGAAATACACTGCTGAGGGGAGTAGCTGGCGGTGAGTTAGGAGAGGTCTGCTGCACCATGTGGGTTAGTGATAGCGCTGAGACTTAACCCTTTGTGCCACCAGGGAGGTCTTATCTTAGCTTTCAAATTTAAATTTAAGTTCTAAAGATAAATTAAGTTCTAAAGATAAATTGAAATGCTAAGGCGCATACCTTGTGTGTGTGACCCTCTCATTTGGCCTCTTCATAGACTACTGGGGTCTTGTCTCTTTTGTCCCACTGTGTCATTCTTGTATTTTTACTTTAATAGGATGTGGAGTCTTACATTCATCGTTCTGGGCGAACAGGGAGAGCTGGAAGAACAGGTGTTTGCATCTGTTTTTATCAGAACAAAGAAGAATATCAGTTAACACAAGTGGAGCAAAAAGCGGTAAAACAATTTTCTTAGCCATTAACAGATACTGAGTTCAAAACTACTCTTTAGTTTTTGTTTTTTTCATGTTTTTGTTTTTGTTTTAAGATTTATTTTATTTAATTATGCATGCAAGAGCTGGGATGTAGGCCAGAGGTGCAGGGGGTGGAGGGATTCACCAGAGACAGAGTAGGGAGCAGAACAGGCAGAGCTACTGAAATACACTTCTGAGGGGAGCAGGGGGCAATATAGGAGAGTTCTGCTGCGCCATGTGGGTAGCTCCCTGGCTGGGGATTGAACTCATGCTGCAGTGGCTGCTGATAACTTGATAGTGCTGAGACTTACTCTTTGTGCCACCAGGGAGGCCCCCAGTCTTTAATTTTTGAAATCAGTTTTTATTTACTTTTATTTCTATGATGTGGCCATGAGTAAAAAAGCTTGTTTGTTAGAGACATGTTATTTTATATATTGTCTTATGACATAAAACCCAAACCTTTGCATTTGAAAGCAGTGGGTTTTTTTTTTTTTTTTTCCGTATTTACAGTTGCAATGAGTGTTTTAGGCTTGAAAGGTAGTGTTTTTATTTATTCATTCATTCATTTATTCATTTATTTATTTATTTATACAAGTACTGGGTATAGTCAGAAGCGTGGGAGGGTGAGAGAATTCACCAGAGCCAGAGGGGAGAGCAGAGCAGGCAGACTGACAAAGTACACTGCTGAGGGAAGCAGTGGGCAGCAGGAGAGGTCTGCGCGCCATGTGGGACCCTCGCCCTGTGGGCGGGGATTGAACCGGTGCTGCAGGGATCGAACCAGTGCTGCAGAGGCTGCAGGCAGCTTCGCAACCCAGCCCTCAACCACTGCGCCACCGCCACCGGGGAGGCCCTTGAAAGTTAGTTTTCAAAGAATGTAAATGAACACACCAGAAATATTCTAAGCATGGATTAAGAGGTTATCAGAAGTGTTCAAAAACCAAAAGGACACCAGTAGGTCAAAAGGATAAATTTGAAAATAGGAGGGAAGAAACTAAATTTCCTTACAGAATTATTTTGTAAGGAAATTCTTATGTAGATAAGAGTTCCTCCCATGAGAGGTAGAGGTCATTCTCCCTCTCCTCTTGACTGGGTAGCACTTAATGACTTGCTTGCAAAGAACAGCAGAGGGTGGGGTGTGGTCAAGTCTTTATAGTGTGGATAACAGAAGAGTGCTACCTGCCAGTAATTGTGGTAAACATCAATGATGAGCCCCTGATAAAATATTGAGATGGCACTCATTGCTGGTCTTTCCCCCCCAAACCCATAACTCCCTTGTAAACATTTGACAACATCAGGCATCCTCAAGTTAAGGGACATTCTACAGAATACTTGACCTGGCATGCCTTAGAGTTACCAAGATCGTGAAAAAGAAAAGTAGAAACTGTCACAGATCACATGAAAATAAGAAGACATGATGATGATTTGTAGTGTGGATTGGATATTGGAACAAGAGAAGGATATTAGAAATTCAAACTAGTGATATTCGAATGAACTTGAGCTCAGTTTATAATGTAACAATGCTGTTTTTTTGGTTGCAGGAAAGTATATACTCAAGTACTAACAATAGGAAGTCTTGGTGCATGGTATACAGGAAATCTAAAATACTCTTAAGTGAAGAGTTTTATCTTTTAAATATATAACACATTTGGTAAATGTAAAACAATTAGGAATTACTAATCTCAGTGGAAACAATAGATGGCCACATTGTACATAAACTGGTTCATTTTCTTGCAGGGAATTAAATTTAAACGAATAGGTGTTCCTTCTGCAACTGAGATAATAAAAGCTTCCAGCAAAGATGCCATCAGGTATGTTTCTTCCCACTGCTGTGGTCTGTTCTAAAACTTGTCCTATATACTGCACATTTTTGTGGAGTAATTAGATTTGGCCTCCTAAATTTTATTTTCTTAATTAATTTTAACAATTCATAACCTGCTCCTTATAAAAATGGACTGCTGAAGTGAAATTTTACAAAGTAAAAATGCTCATTTCTGCTCATCAGAAGCAGACACTGCTAATAGTTTGGTTTGTCTCCAGCATTTCAAGAAACTGTTGTAGATAATGGTGTGGGTACTTCCCATCTGGAGATTGATTAGGTAGGAACACAGCTTATATTCCCAGTCTTTGTTGAACCAGTCACCGACCTCATAGGAATGAGAGTAGATTACTTCTTTAAGTTACATTATTCAGATGGTGAGGATTAGATTGTTAGTGGAGTTGCTAATGGCATTGAGAGCAAGACAACTATTTATTGTGTGGGGTTGCCCTACAAATTGTTTAGCAGCTGTTCAGCATCCATGGCTTTGCAGTATACTCCTGGGAATGAGTGGAGTTGACATTGTGATATTTCAGCATATCTCCTTGTGGTGAGCTACATCCCCTGCTAGAGGCATCAGTGAGTCAGCATTATTTTCAGAGTGCTTTCTGCAACATAATAATAATTATAAATAGGTGAAATGGAGTGAGCGGGGTCCATGATCAAAGGACATGCTGGATATTAGCATATTAGTAGTTCAGGAAAGTTCTGCAAACGAATTTAGTTTGGAACTTAAAAAATTTATTTTGGTATGATTTGAAGTATCCTGGAAACAGGATTTCCTGACACCAGTTAAGGAAATTTGGGTTTAGATGCCCAGCAAGGAGGAAAAAGACAAAGATGCTGATTCTCAAAGTAATGCGATGCTGTTATAAAACTGTTCAGTACTCAGTATCATGACTCGTAATGGCAGTATGGCCTTTCATTGTATGTGTTTTGTGGTTTATTTAACCCTGTTGATGTACATTTTAAAATTCTTTACCTCATCCACACTGTTACACTGGTGAACACCTTAATATTTGTTTTATTAATTCCTTGGGATAAGACTTTGGGTTTTTTGGTTTTATGGTTAAAATAGAATTAAGTACAAAGGAATGGATTTGTTACTACAGAAAAGTAATGACTGTGTATGCTATATCAAAATGATGTTCGATACTTGAAAGATTTTGATTTGAAAGTTACTGATTTATCTTGAGATACCGTTGTCTTGAAAATGAAGCCTGTTTCTGTCCTTTCTCCTAACAAATATATTTAACCAAACTGTAGGCTTTTGGATTCTGTGCCTCCCACTGCAATTAGTCACTTCAAGCAGTCAGCTGAGAAACTGATAGAGGAGAAGGGTGCTGTGGAAGCGTTGGCAGCAGCACTGGCACATATTTCCGGTGCCACATCCGTGGACCAGCGCTCCTTGATCAACTCAGAGGCGGTATGGATCCCTGTCAAATTTATGACACGTAAAAATTTAGAGTTTGAGCAGAATTGAAGGGGTTCAATTTAATCTTCCAAGTTTTAACTTCTGTGTGAAGGTAGATATAGTTAAACAAGTCCATAGAGACAGAATAGATTACTAGCTGCCAGTGGTTTGGTAGACAGGGTAATGACTGCTAATGGGCATGTGGTTTCTTTTGGGGATTAATGTTTTGGAATTTGAGAAGGTGGCAATGAGTACATACTTTGTGAATGTACTCAAAAGCCCTAAATTAAATACTTTAAAGTGGTGACTTGTATGTAATGGGAGAAGGGTGCATATTTTTAGGAAGTTTTACAGAAATAGTTGAGAAACAAGGCAAGTATTTATCAATTTAGGTTTGGTTTTGAGACTTTCTACTTTTATTCGTCTTCCATAAGGGCTTTGTGACCATGGTCTTGCGGTGTTCAATTGAAATGCCAAACATTAGTTATGCGTGGAAAGAACTTAAAGAGCAACTGGGTGAGGATATTGATTCCAAAGTGAAAGGAATGGTCTTTCTCAAAGGAAAGCAGGTAAGGCTGGGACTTCTGCTGTGACTGTGCTTTGATTTAGAAGCTCTACGTGGGCGGGAAACCATAGTGTGGTGGTTTTTCCCAGTTTTGTGGGGATGCTGCCTCTTTTCACTCTCTACACTCTTGCCTGGGCAGTAGTATCTGTGATCCTCCATTTCCAGTTAGTTACTAACAACTGCCCATCTGTATCTCCAGCCTGAACTGTCTGCACACAACACCAGACTTGAAGATCCAACTGTGTCTTTGACATTTCCACCCAGATGGAGCTTCTTAACAACTTAAACCAAATTTATTCAAAATTTTGTTCATAATCTCCTAATTGAAATTTAAGATTGAAATCTTGCTTACCAAACCTGGTGTTCTTTTTCTGAGTCCTGCTTCAGTGGCATAGACAAATGTAGTAATTCTCAAACATTTGGATTCATTACCCCTTTACATTCTTAACATATGTTGGGGGTCCCAAGAAGCTTATGTTTATTTATAGGTATGGTTAATCTATTGTTATTTATAGTACTAGAAATTAAAACTATAATTCAAAAAGGGGCCTCCTTGGTGGCACAGGGGGTTAAATCTCAGCACTATCAAACTATCACCAACCACTGCAGCGTGAGTTTGATCCCCAACCAGGTAGCTAACCTCCATGGCATAGCAGACTTCTCCTGGCTCACCTGCTTCTCCCCTCAGCAGTGTATTTCAGTCAGTCTGTCTGTTCTGCTCCACTCCCCACTCTGTCTCTGATGAATCCTCTCTCTCACACACACACACACACACACACCCCCACACTTGCACACCCACACCTCTGGCCTACACCCCAGCTCTTGCATGCATAAAATAAATGACCTAAATTAAAAAAAAAAACTATAACTCAAAAACATATAAATAGCATATCCCATTACAGGGATATCATTAAGTGTAATTTAGCATCCTGGAAATTCCACTGTACCCTTAGGAGAGAAAGTGTGAAAAGGATGGAGAACATCTTAGTAGTATTGTTAGAATTTTGAAAATAATTTTGACTTTGGGAACCCCTGAAAGATCTTAGGGTGCTAGGGTTTCATGGGATATGCTTTTTTTTTTTTTTTTTAAACTTTGAAGTGCACTTTTTTTTTTTAAAAGATTTATTTATTTATTTATTTATTTATTTATTTATTTATTTATTTATTTATTTATACAAGCACTGGGTACATAGTCAGAAGCTTGGGAGGGTGAGAGAATTCACCAGAGCCAGAGCGGAGAATAGATCAGGCAGACTGATAAAGTACACTGCTGAGGGGAGCAGCAGGCGGTAGGAGAGGTCCGTGCGCCATATGGGACCCTCGCCCGGCGGCCAGGCCATCAAACCGGCGCTGCAGAGGCTGTGGGCAGTTTTGCAACCCAGTGCTCAACCGCTGCACCACCGGGTAGCCCCCTTTCATGGGATATGCTTAGTGAACCACTGGCCTAGTGAACCAAATCAGGTTTCTCTCAGCTCATTGCATATCTGACCATGTTATTTACTTCCTTAAGCAACTACACAGATAAAGTTGCAACTTTCTTGTGAAGGATAAGATCATTCATGAGTTGATACCCCCTTGACCAACTACTTCTCTGCATCCTCTCCAGCAATGCCAAGTACATCATGCTTTCTTTCATTTTAATTGCATGCTCAGCCCACTCTTTATAATACTATTTTTCCTTCTGTCATAAAGGGATATCCTTTATGACATGACTTAATCTTAAATCTCCCTCTGAAACTTTCTCTGACCTTATAGCAGAGTTGGGGACATCTTTTATCTGTATTTGAGATTTCTTAGGACATATCTTTATTTTGTGCTTGCTTATTAACTGAGTCTTTCAAGAATACTGTCAGTTTCCCAAGGGCAAAAACTGTGTTGTGTTATCACTACACTCTTAATGAGTGCTTGGTATTAAATATTTAGTTAAGGGACTCCCCAGTGGTGTAGCAGTTGAGCGCTGGGTTGCGAAGCTGCCCGCAGCCTCTGCAGCGCTGGTTCAATCCCCAGCCGCCGGGCGAGGGTCCCACATGGCGCACAGACCTCTCCTGCTGCCCACTGCTCCCCTCAGCAGTGTATTTCGTCAGTCTGCCTGCTCTGTTCCCCACTCTGGCTCTGGTGAATTCTCTCACCCTCCCACGCTTCTGACTGTACCCAGTGCTTGTATAAATAAATAAATAAGTCATTGGGGTGGGGGGGGGAAGAAATACTACATTATTACAAAATAAATAAATAAATATTTAGTTAAATATGTAAATGAAGATTCTTACAAATGGCAAAACCCACCAATAAATGATACTACTTGATGGATTTTGGGTAGTTGTTGGATAGAGGGGTGTTCCTCATATAATGTTGCAGTTAAGACACTGAGGGGAAAAGAATTTTCTGTGTCGGTGGCAGGGGTGTTTTATATTTGCAGAGATCTAGAAGCAGGAGGACTTACTTAATCAGAGATGATGGCACTGCTTATTATCAAACTTAGCTTCCTGTACAGTAACTTTTTAAACTATCATAGGAGACTGGGTTATGACAACCTGGAAAGTCAACAATAGATGATTACTTCTTATTCTTCTTTTAGTTTGACCACTCTGAATATTTGATACTCTTTCCGAGGGAAAGCAGTGTATGTGTTCATGGTTTTAAAAATCTGTCCTTACCATCTGTAGGGCCCTAGCAACTCAGTCTCTAAGCCTGTTTTCTCAGCTATAAAATATATCTAATAACTACTTGAGAATTAGTACAGTGTGATAGCCAGAAATGATCTCTAGTCAGGTCTAAGTCATTTTGAGTTTTTTTTATTTTTGAAGTCCATTGCTTTTTGCTCTTGTGCTTTTGGAGAGTATAATGTGCGTTTAAAGTTCATCTAAGATGCACTTGGTCTAAAGTGCTTCTTAAATTAATAACTGGCCTTGTTTCAACATAATCTCTGGTCTTTAGGAGTATCACTTAATGTGCATTTTGTAACACTTATCAAAGTCCAAATTAACTAACTTATATTTGCTCATTTTTCTAGGGTGTTTGTTTTGATGTCCCTACTGCAACAGTAACACAAGTACAGGTATTCTTTTTTCTTACATATTTGAAGTAAACATACCTAATTGTAAAATATTCGTTATTGACAGGACAGAAATAGAACATCTCTACCACCTTTACTAGGATTCAGTTAAAGATTAAATTCTAGTGTTTTTTCCTAGATTTTTTAATCCGATATTTTTCTTATTTGACCTGTATTCCTTTGTGAGAAGTGGTGACTAACGTCCAAGTTTCTCCTCTGTATATGTTATACAGGATTTTCATAGACATTTTTAATTGCTATGTCTTTATTCAGTACCACTATGAAAAATGTGTGTAGTGTATTTACATGTTTTATTACCTTTGATCAGTGTGGATACGTTATAGTAGTTGAATTGAATAAATGATATGGGTACTTCTCATAGTGAAACCATTTTACTGCACTTCAGTGATTCTGATTTTTGGGCCATGCGGGTTAGTATAATTTTGGACCAAGTCTGAGCAATTGAGTTATTGTGGTTTTTCTTTAGGGGAAAGGCAATAGTGTCTTTCTTGTGGCTTTTTAAATCATTCAATAAAAATCAAGGCAGGTTAAAAAAAAACATTTTTCAACAGGAAAAATGGCATGATTCAAGGCGTTGGCAGCTCTCTGTGGCTACGGAGCAACCAGAGCTGGAAGGACCACGGGAAGGATATCGAGGCTTTAGGGGACAGCGGGATGGCAATCGAGGTTTCAGAGGACGGGACGGAAACAGAAACCGAGGCTTCAGAGGACAGCGATCAGGAGGTGGCAATAGAAACAACAGATTTCAAAACAAAGGCCAGAAGAGGAGTTTTAATAAAGCATTCGGTTAGTAATTTGAAATAGAGACTTTCTATGGCAAACGTGGAACTGAATATTTTTTCATACAAAGGTTAAAAAATGAAAGACATACTGTGTTTCTTCCTAACCACTTGCCCAGTCCCCATCTCTTCCAAAAAGACAGATTTCATCTAAATTATTTCATCTCATCATTATCACTTGGAACTCTAATGCTACATCTATATCAAGTATCCCTTTTGACAGGGGTATATGAATTCATTACATTTTTATGCTAATGTATTGTCTAGAGTACAAGATAAAAATCAAGCACGAATCTTCCTGTACTTTGTAAGTTGATTTGTCTTTATACTTAAAAGTCTCTTAATAGTGTCCTCCCCTGAATACCTATGGGGAATGCAACAGTCTCTGGAGAAACACTGTGAGCGATCAAGACTTTGTTCTTTAATTGGCATTCCTTGGCCACCTGCCTAACAACGATTCATATGGTCCTGAGTTGTCTGAAAATTAATACTGAGCAATTTTTGAAACAAGATTTTAAACTTAACTGGGATGTAATATAGTTTATGCCAGCATATGTCCTACTAGGAGGATGGTGATACATTTGATTGACGTGATACAGGTTAGCCATTTTAAGTGCATTTTATTATTTTTAGCTTCTAATAAGGTGAGTCAGGCTTCAGTGAATTCATAGATTTTACATGTGTATATATATGTATCTATATGTATGCATACACACGCACGCATGCATGTTTTAATAGAAAGCAAGCATCTGTTAGGAATTCCAGAACTATAAGATGGCCCAAGTAAGGAGACTGGATAGGTGATGCTTGGTAAAAATGTATTCCACTTCCTATTGGAAGATTAACATTTACCAAGGAGGAGTTAAGGTAGTAGGGGACACAGATTTGCATTGCTTAAGAGTGTGTCAAAACTTACTGAAAATATTTTTTGCATGTGAGGAGAAAAAACATTGTTGAGAGCAAAGAGAAGAACAAATGAAGATGACAATAAAGCATTTGCTTGATGGTGAAAATGTAATGCATTGTTTCTAAAGGTTAACTTCTAATGAGCACACTGGTTTTTTATAGGTAGAAGGATCTATTAGATTGTTACTCCATTGAAAGCTTTAGCTGCTTCCTTTTAAGACAAGCTCTACATGGTTGTTTTTTTTTTAAGTTGTTACTTTGAGGAAACTGAAGAACTTACTACAGGCCTTGACTAGATAACTTCTCTGATTTCTCAAATATTTCTCTGGGAAACTTTTCTCCATGGTGCAGGAGCTTAAGAGTAGTGTTGTCTTCTCGCCTTAATTCCTAGAATTTCTGTAATGAGAATCTCAGGGAATAAATTTTGATAGGAGAAGTTAAAATACATGGCCTATATTGTATTCATTTAATTATTTCAAACTATTGTCTTTCTTTACCTTGGTTTCCCTTTACTCAGATGGGCCTTTGTATATCTGCCTCCTACTTAATCACTGTGTAGTTTGGGGCTCAAATAGCTGACTCAACTCTTGATTCTTTTTCTGTTTGTACTTCAGTTCTATCCTTGAATACTGACTGGAGTGTATCTCTGTTCTCAGAAATTCTCTTGATTTTTACTTTTTGACCTCGTCACTTTTATCACTTTTTCTCTTCATGGCTTCCTGTCAAGCCACAGGGATTTAGGAGAGGTGTTTGGTGACAGTCAACATTTGTGTCTTGTGGATTAGATTCTGGATTTGCTCAAGTACTGAGCATAGAATAGTAACAACCAAAACATTTCAAGATTTGAATAGGAATGGGTGCCCCATTAAGAAGAATAAAAGGATACATCCTTTGGGAAGGAACTGCTAAAACTTTGATGTGAATAGCCTAAATAAAAATCAGGCATAAATCAAGAGTAAGGGGGGAGATTAAAAGGAATTCTGCTTTATGCAATTTAATTCTATGGAAAACATGGCTGTTGGAATAAGTGAAGCTAAAGATTCTCCTGAATCCCAGAATTCAAACAATATATGTAAATATATAATTCAGCTACCACTTGGTCTAAATGGTCTTGTTGGGCTAAACCTGGGAATTGTTACCATTTTTACTCTTTTCTACAGAGAAAGTATTTTCCAATTTATGTATCAACTCAATTAACTTTTAAAATACAACCCATTTTTATGTTGGAGCTATATGTGCAGCCGTTTTATTTACAGTTGTACATAAAATGTTTTTACTGTAAAATTGAGTTAATGTATAAAATAATGCTTTATGCCATAATAAAGATATTAGTACTTACTATTTATGTTTTTGGTGGCCTTTTTCCTAATATTAAGAAAAGCATTTTAAAATGACAAATAACGGGTATAAAATTCCAAACACTGAAGAAGAAACAAGCAAGTAGTAATCACCCCCATATCTAGATGTGAGCTGCTGTTCCAGGAATCATTCTGTTTTATGAATTGCTTTTTTTCTCAACATGTACACATCTTTCTGTAAATACAAATCTCTATTTTTTTTAAAGATTTATTTATTTATTTATACAAGCACTGGGTACAGTCAAAAGTGCGGGAGGGTGAGAGAATTCACCAGAGCCAGAACGGGGAACAGAACAGGCAGACTGACGAAGTACACTGCTGAGGGGAGCAGTGGGTGGCAGGAGAGGTCTGCACGCCACGTGGGACCCTCGCTGGTGGCTGGGGATCGAACTGGCGCTACAGAGGCTATGGGCAGCCCTGCAACCCAGTGCTCAACTGCTGCGCCACCGGGGAGGCCCAATACAAATCTCTCTTTTTGATGACTCATACCTCATAGAATGGGTGTGCCATTAAATATTTAACCAGGACTTCAGATGGCTTCTATAGGTTATTTGTAATTTTTCACTGTCAGAAAACAACCCAGAAATGAATATCCTTTTATAAATCTTTACCTACTTGCCTGTAACTCTAGAATAAATTTCCTAAAAGTAGAATTGCAGGTCAAAGTGAATGTATTTTAAATTTTAGTGCAAGCTGCTTGCCAAAGCAATGCCAGTTACATTCCCAGCTTATAATGCATCAGGATCTTTTTTTCTGCTGTTCTTTTCCCCAGTACCACAACACTGAGTTTTGATTTGACCTTTATCAGTTTCTTAGCTGCAAGATAATTGTATTGTTTTTATTTACATGTTTTAATTGAGTGAGAATATCACATTTATTGGCTGCTTGCATTTAGAAAAATTATACATCTGTCTTATTTGGGGTCTGTATCTCCTATTGATGAGTTCTTTGTTTATTAGTAACATTGTCATGTAGCAAATAACTTTAACCAGGTTTTCATTTGTGTTTTAACTTCATTTGACATAACGTTTTGGATTTATTTTATGTGCTTTTAGTTATCACTCTTAGTATTTCTGGCTATCTTATGCTAGTAGAAAAGTATTCCCCACCTCCAAGTTCATAAAAATATTCACCCATATTTTCTCCTATAAATGCTGATTGTATTTCAGTCTTTAATTCATCTAGGATGAGGATCAAGTAGGAACGTAGTTTTATTCCCCTGCCCTGCCAAGTGACTTGTAATTCTCCACTATTGAATAATACATTTTTTTTCTTACTGGCAAAGATGCTGTTTTTACTATAGACCTTAATTGAGGATGTCTTTTTATTTTTTTATTTAATAGAGGCATGTTTTATTTATTTGTTTATTTATTTATGTTTATACATGCACTGGGTACAGTCAGAAGCGCGGGAGGGTGAGAGAATTCACCAGAGCCAGAGCGGGGAGCAGAGCAGGCAGAAGGACCGAAGTACACTGCTGAGGGGAGCAGGGGCGGCAGGAGAGGTCTGCGCGCCATGTGGGACCCTCCTCTGGCGGCCGGGGAGCAGCCGGGGATCGAACTGGCACGGCAGAGGCCGCGGGCAGCTTCGCAACCCAGCGCTCAACCGCTGCACCACCGGGGAGGCCCGAGGATGTCTTTTTAAAGGTAACTTTGAAAGCATTTTTTGTTATGTAGAATTGGGATCTTCACCAAGAACATGTTATTGTTTGTAAATTTTTAAAACATTTTTTAGTTTTGAGTAACTTTGGACTACAAAAATGTTATAAAAATAATACATAGAATTCTTGTATACTCTCAACCCAGTTTCTGTTAATGTTAACATTTTTATAACCATAGTGCAATTATCAAAACCAGGATATTAACATTGGTACCGTGCTATTAATTGAGCTATAGATACAATTCAAATTTCACCAGTTTTTCCACTGCTTTCCTTTTCAGTTTATAATCTAGGATCTAACATTACATTTAGCTGTTGTGTCTGTTTAAATCTTTTCCCAATTTTAGAGTAACTCAGTTTTCTTTTCATGACTTTGACACCTTATGTCAATAACTTAAAGGCAGGATTCACTGATGCATGCTAAAGCCAGTAAGTGAAAGTTTGGAAGAAATGGAATACTTGCATTACCTCAAAAATTTCTCCCAAGAAGATAGTCCCATCTAAAGAAGGAAACCTTTTTCAATTTACATTTTTCTACATGAGTGATTTTTAATTTTGAGGACATTTATATATATATTTTTGAATTGTTCATCTGTTGCATTTAATAGTAATTCCTTAATGTATTAAATAGTCTAATCAAGTTACATAAGTTGTCTTAGAAACATTTTAATACATTTTGTTAACCAAATCGGGATCCAAACAAGGTTACATGCATTTGGGTTGTTTTTTTATTTTTTACCGTCTTTCGTTTTTATTTCCTTGCAATTTGTTTTTTAAAGAAGCCAGACCATTTGTCATGTATTCTGAGTTCTGCTGATACATCTCCATTTGTTATTTCCCAAACTGTTTCCTCTCTCCCCCACCCCACCCCCACATATGTAATATGAACTGGTAATTAATTAGATCTAGAAGCTCATCTGATTCAAGTGCAATTGTTTATATTTTTTCAGAGGAGCAAACTAACCTCAGGTATGTATTTCCACAGGGCATACACAATGTCCAGTTGTCCTCTTTGGTGTCAATAACAAGAATGCTCTTTGCCTAAATCCATAACTTTATTGAATTCTTGCAAAATGGTTATAGTAGATCATTTCTTTTTTATTCATTACTTGGAATGCTTCTAAAGAATGGAATTTACCCTAGTCAACACTTGGATTGCCCTGATTACTTTCCTACAGAAAAGGCAGAATTAGTGCTTGATTCTTTCCCTTTATCTGTATACCAATTTTCAGAATTATGATTGGTTCCCTAGCTTTCTCCAAAGGTAGCCAATGAGGTTTTCATTGTTAGTGTTGATTGATTATAAAATAACAGATTTCGTAAACATTTGATATACTTTAGTCTATTGCAGTTATTGTTGCCCAAATTGGCCCATCTTTGACTAGCAAGAGGCTCTTTCTAAGTTGGCACCTTCTTTTGACTTAATCCTCTTAGTTTTTGATAGTTTCTTTGATTTCTGGTGTGACAAGATGTCCAGACCCTGTCCCAGAACCACAGTCACCATTTTTTCTGAGGAACCCTGTTTCTTTCTTTTTTAAAAAAAAAAAATTTACTTGCACTGGGTACAATCAGAAGCAGGGGAGGGTAAGAGAATTCACCAGAGCCAGAGCGGGGAGCAGAACAGGCAGAAGGACAGAAGTACACTGCTGAGGAGAGCAGCGGGTGGCAGGAGAGGTCTGCGCGCCATGTGGGATCCTCATGGAGGCTGTGGGCAGCTTCGCAGCCCAGCGCTCAACTGCTGCGCCACCAGGGGAGGCCCAGAACCCTGTTTCTTTATAACAAGAAATGCCATTTAAGGCCTATATTCTGGGAACCAAGACATATTTTATGTACTCTAGTATTATTTTTATCTGTCTCATTAAATAGTTTATTTTTGCTAGATTTTTGTTGTTGATATTGTGAAAATGACCTTTTTCTTCATTGCTCATTCTGCCAATAAAGTAGTGATTTTTTATGTGACAAGTCAACATACTGAACTTTATTTTTTTTGGCTATTTTACTTTGCTTTTTCAGAGAATTATACCATATGTGAATAATTTTCTACATCTTCCCAATCATTACTTCTGATTTTGTTCTTTTGTCCAAATGTAGGTTTTGGCACTTTCAGGTCATTATTATATGCCAAAGATGTTCACAGTCATCCAAGTCTTACTATAAAATTAGCACTAAGTTGGTTCACTGATGTAAAAGGCAAATACTTTTTTTTTTTTGCTTGAATGAACATAATAGACATTAGCTGTGCTCTGACCAAATACTTTAACTCCCTTTTACTACGTTATGCCTTATAATAGTGTCTCTCCCATTATCTTCCAAGAAATACATATCAGATCACTGCATTATGGTGATCCCTATGCTGTATCACCCATTGGACAAATTCCACAGGGACTATTTCATGAGCTCTCACAGGGATCTAAGAATACCAACCCCTCAAAATATTGATTGAAAAAAAAGGCGAAAAGAAGTGACTATACTTCCCAAAATTACCCCGTCTAAAGTTTGCTTGTTCTGTGTTTTCATCTTAGGTGTAAGGGTTTTTCAAGAATCTCTTCTATTTTAGTTTTCATTTGGGTGTTATTTCAGTTACGCCCTTAGAAGTCTGTCATGTGCCAATGTGTCTTACTGAGATACTGTGTATGACAGTAGAGCAGAATGAAAGTATGCGCTCCAGAGCGAAATTGCCTACTTAACTCTAACAGCCATTTAGAAGGTGGATTGAGCAGCACTAGGCTTTGCATTTAAAGGATGAGGAGAGTGAGTGCAGCACACACATAAGAGTAAACGTGTGGGGAAAGGGGCTATGAAGAGGAACAGGAGTTCCAATTTGAATTTACTGATATACAGGAGTCAGTGTACTGATATACATTGAGGTGTGATGGTTCTTTTGGGAGATGGATATTCCAGTCAGTCTGGAGCTCTAAGAGCCATTTGCCCTGGAGACCAAGGTGTGGAAGTGAGCAGCACATACAATGGGTGCTCTGAAAATGTGTAAGATTTCCCTGGGACAAAATTTAGGAAGGAATCCTGAGAAACACTAACATTTATTTATAAAAAAAATTATTTATTTATGCATATAAGAGCTGGGCCACAGGCCAGAGATGCCGGGGGTGTGAGGTTTCACCAGAGAGTGGAGAACAGAACAGGCAGGCTAACCGAAATACACTGCTGAGGAGAGCAGCGGGAGAGACAGGAGAGGTCTGCTTCTATTTTGCCATGTGGGTTACTCTCTGGCGGGCTGGGGATCGAACTCATGATGCAGAGGATTCGGATTGCTTCATAGTTCAGTGCTTAACCCCTTGTGCCACCAGGTAGGCCCAGCAACACTAACATTTAAAGGACAATTTAATTTCATTTGCTCCTTAGTATTACTCTGTAGGGATCAGTAATTTCACTGTCTTACAATGAGAAATCTGAAGCTTAGAAAGTTATTAGAAGCTGTTTTGAAATGCAAATTGTACACCTACGAGTTCTCTAAATCAACGCTCCTTTGTATATCTCAATGCACTTTACACAGCTGTAGCTTTATGGTTAAAACCTCCGGCCTAACCACCTTCCCCAATGCTCCCCTAACCCCACCTGCCACGTGCTATTTGACAATTTAAGGTTTGTATAAATGGGGAAAACCTTGCCTGAAGTGACTTGTCATAGTTCTGGGTCTTAATTTTTGTGATATTTTGAAAAGTGGCACACACCCCATAATCTATTTCAGGGTTGAAATGAAAATACTTGTGAATCACTGAGTGCTTTATACATTCACAGCTAAGGTAATTAGGTCAATGTAATCGACCTAGTATCAAAAGGTTTTTGCCTTTCAGCTTATATAAATTAGCTCAAGTAGAGACAGCTAGCAATGTTTGTAAACAAACGCTCTTGGAAATTTCCAAGCCAGGCGATAGCAAATATTTTTATATAGCTACAACTTTATATTTTTATATAGCTACAACTAGCACCGTAAAGGCTGGGCAGGAGTGAGACCACCCCCAATGGGAACGTGTTTCTATAACAACGGTTGCCATGGTGGCAGGAACGCGCTCCTATTGGCCAGTGCCCACATTACCGCGGTTCCCCCGGCGGACTTCATTGGTTGCTTTTCTGCCGTGCGGCGCGCCGTAAGTGAAGTGTCGTAGAGCACAGGAAGGCGCGAGTCCCGATCGCAGGCCCTGAGCAAACCCAGGCTGTAGGGGCCGCTATGGCGAATGTTCCGTGGGCCGAGATTCGTGAGAAATTCCAGGCGGCTCTGGCCCTGTCGCGGGTGGAATTGCATAAAAACCCCGAGAAGGAGCCGTACAAGTCCAAATACAGCGCCCGAGTGCTGCTGGAAGAGGTCAGGGCGCTGCTGGGCCCCGCGCCCGAGGAGGAGGATGAGCGGCCTGAGGCCGAGGAGAGCTCGGGTGCGGGCGACCCCACCCTGGGGCCGCCCGCCGAGGCGGTGGAGGCCGAGGGGCCCGTCGCCCGAGGGGCCGTGAGGCTGGCGGTTATTGAGTTCCATCTCGGGGTGAACCACATCGACACGGAGGAGCTGTCGGCGGGGGAGGAGCATCTCGTGAAGTGCCTGAAGCTGCTGCGCAAATACCGGCTGTCGCACGACTGCGTGTCTCTCTACATCCAGGCGCAGGTGAGGGCGGCCGCGCCGGCCCTGGGCCAGAGGGGAGGGCGCCGGGAGGGGGCCCCCCTCTCGCACGGTTGTGCCCAGGCTTTGAAGCCCTGGGGTGATACGCGGCTGCCACACTCCCCCTCCCTCCGCCCACCCCGGCGGCATTACTCGCCCCCTCTCCTGGTGGCTGGACCGCGAGGCCCTCTGGCTTCGTGAATGCGCCCTCCGCCAGCCCGGAGCCTGTTCCTTCTAGCCAAGACAAATCCAAAAATTTGTTTTAACTTGAGGTCTCAAGGAAATGACAAAGCATGGCCGGAGTACGTTTTTCATTTGAAGGCTTCGTTCCAAACGCCTCACTCATCGGTTTGCTTCCCCTGGAATTCCTCCTCATTCTCCAAAACGCACGTCATACTTCTAGTAACTTTTAGCTCACTTTGGTCCGAACTGATCTCTCCCTTCTACCTCTGAATTTTCATAATCCTTATTTTTCCCATTTGACGGTAGGTGGATTATTAAGAAAAAAATGTGACATTTTGCGTCGGGAACATAACAAATGAGATAAGTCTGAACTCTTTGTATGTGCCTGTTGCTCTGCTTACGCTCACAAATTCTTACTTCCACTTCCTAATATATGTGATCCAGAGAACATTTACCAAAATTGATCATATGGTAAGTAGACCTCAAAGAAAAACATTGAAAAGGAAATTGTATGGGTCATACTTTTATTATGGCCCAATAAAAGTAAAAGCCACAGAATAACAGGAACTAAAATCTGTTTTTGCATATTATTTATGACCTCAGTACCTATCACATGGTAGGCACATTATTAATATTCAAGAAATGTATGCGAGATTTAATAAAATTCGTAAAATGTTGAATTCGGATAGCTTCATTTGAAATTTTCTTTAACCTTATAACTGCCTAAGATTCTAGTAAACATTTTAAAAAGTATCTCACTCACTATTTTAAAGATACAATTAGAAACTGTCCTAAATTTATTATGGGCTCCAGTATTTACTGTATATTATTGATTTTAATATGTACTTTAAATTGTCTAATATACACATCTTTCATACTCTAATATCTAAAATCAGAATGCCTAATATACACATTGTCTAATATACACATCTTTCATACTCTAATATCTAAAATTAGAATGCATTTCATAGCCAATGTAGTATATAGCGTATTTTACTTGCCATTGTTTGTTATTGATACATAAAATAATTGTCTTACAAATTGTGACATCTCACATTCAATGAAATGCAATATTTTTATTTTTTTAAAGATTTATTTATTTGTAGAAGAACTGGGGTGTAGGCCAGAAGTGGTGGGTGATGGTGAGAGAATTCATCAGAGACAGGACAGAGTGGGGAGCAGCACAGGCTGATTTACCAAAATACACTGCTAAGTGGAGCATTAGGCAAGACAAGAGAGGTCTGCAGCACCATGTGTGGGTTAGCTCGCTGGTTTGGGAATCAAACAGAGGCCTTGGCAGTGATAGCACTAAGACTTAACCCCTAGGCCACCAGGGAGGCCCCAAAATGCAGTATTTTAAACAGCCACCCTTTTCTGAGGGTGAATTATTAGAGACATACTTAGTAAAATCAGATTCAAAATCTCGATTAGAAGTTCTGACCATTCCAGTAATACAGAAGAAAAAATTATAGATTTTGGGAAAATAAAAATTATTTATATGAATAAAGTCATCATTTGCATATATGATCATTGTATACCTAAAAACCCAAAGACATCAACTGAAAACCATTGGAATTATCAGTTTAATAAAGCAGGAGGATATAAAGTAAATCTGTTCTATCGGTAGTACTCTTGTATATAAGCATAATGGGTTAAAATATTAATTTTGGAAATTGCAGCATTAGGGATACTAGAACTAGTAAACTTAAAGAGAGAGAACTATACCATGTTCCTGGGTGGTAAGATTAAAAATAATGGTATGAACCTGATACTCATTTATAGATTTGATGCAATTAGTGCTGAAATCTCAGAACTTGACAGAATGATTGTTTATCTGAACAAATAAAGTGATTATAAAAATATGAAAAGGAATGTACTAAAACAGTATAGCAGTGGTGATTCAGATTGTGCCAGTCTTCCTAAATTCTTCTGTTTAGTTGATCTGTTTCAGTGGCATTACCATACTATATATATGGTATCGTTTCACTTAATATTTACTATACATGAGAGATTTGGCCTCACTAATCATAAAGAAAACTAAAAGAATGAAATAGAAAAATTATACCAGTTTGGCAGAGATTATTAGAGATATTGATTACGCTTTGGAGAGACTAAGGAAATGGATACTATCCATTAGCATTATTGCTAGTAGAAATGTAAACACTATAGATCTTTTTTTTAAAATATTTATTTATTTATGCATACAAGAACCGGGGTACAGGCCAGAGATGGAGTTGAGAGGATTCACCAGAGCCAGAGCGGGGAGCAGAATAGGCAGACTGACGAAGTACACTGCAGAGGGGAGCAGCGGGAGGCAGGAGAGGTCTGGCGCCCTATGGGACCCTCGCGTGATGCCGGGGATCGAACCAGTGCTGCAGAGGCTGTGGACAGCTTCACAACCCAGCACTCAACCACTGTGCCACCCAGGAGGCCCGACACTATAGATCTTTTATGGAGCTCGATTTCAAAACTCTTGAATCAGGCCTTTTATGTAAAAATTCCACATCAGGGCCTCCCAGTGGCACAAGGGGTTAAGCAGTGCACTATGAAGCAATCTGCAGCTTCTGCAGCACAAGTTCAATCCCCAGCCAGGGAACTACCCACATGGTGCTGCAGACCTCTCCTGTCTCGCCTGCTGCTCCCCTCAGCAGTGTATTTCAGTCAGTCTGCCTGTTCTGTTCCCCACTCTGTCTCTGGTGAATCTTCTCACTCCTCACACCTCTGACCTGTACCCCAGTTCCTGTATGCATAAATAAATAAATCTTTGGGGAAAAAAAAAATTCCACATCAGTATCTTAAAATTACATTAAGATAGTTATGAAAAGATATGTGAACATAAATATTCATCATCGTATAAACTTTTTATAAAAAGAATAGTGTAAATAGCCCTCAGTATGTATATGGTTTAATAAATATTGGTGCATTCATATATAACAGTAGGCAGCCATTAAAAATCATAATTTATGTATGTTAACCAAAAATATCAATATTAAGAGAGGGACATATGTTTGGAATTATGTGGAATGATTTCATTTTGGTATAAGATACACCTTTGTGTGTATGTATCAGTTCTAAGGAATTTATGATAGATTTATTGCTTTGTCTCAATTTGGTGTTTCTATCTTAGGAAAGAGATTATTAGAGATATTGATTACACTTTGGAGAGACTAAGGAAATGGATACTATCCATTAGCATTATTGCTACAGAAATACAGAACCTGGACTCTGATTATCAAAAAGAGACTTCCTTTCTATCTTCACTAGGTTTTGAGGGCGCTTAGAAAAGATTTTTCTTTGTTTTTCCTTCTGATTTTTGCTATCAGCAATAAACACTTGTATTATCATCATCTTTAGTGAAATTTAACTATTTTATTATAGTAAAATTCCCTCACCAATTAAAAGCTAATTCTCTCTATTCCCTCCGCTACCAGGATATGCATACATAAGGAATACCTTTTGTGTATATTTGTAGATTTATTAAGATAGACTTGACATACAGTTTGATGAATGTGATATATGAATATGCCCATGAAACAATCAAGGTCATGAACATATCCATGATCACCAAGTTTCCTTGTGTTCCTTTGTAATCCCTCCCCTTCTTTATTCTCTCTCCCTCTTCTTTGCCTCTCCCCTCTGCATTTTCTAGAATTTTTAAATGAGATCGTGGTGTGTGCACCTTCTTATTTTGGTTTGACTTCTTGATCAACATCATAATTTCATTGCTGCATCTGAGGTGACTTTTTTCCTTTTTAGTCTGTTATGCAAATTATATTGCCAGATTTTCAGTGTTAAACCAACCCTTTCCTTTCCTGTAATAAATTCCCCTGAGAGTTTTTACTAAGAAAACTTGGGTAAAATAATACCCTTTTAATGTATTTTTATATATTGTTGAACTCAATTTGCTAAAATTTTATTAATATTATTTGTATCTATGTTCATGAAGGATATTAGTGTATAGTAAATAGTCTTCTCCCCATTCAAGTTCATAGACTCTGAATTCTCTCATGGACACCTTGTGAGTCCATTGGACCCAGGTTAAAAATCTCTGCATTAGAGGCTCTCTTTCCTTATCCTGTTCTTTTCCCTAAGGAGGTTTACAGAGGATGGTAGAAGTCCGGCCTCAGAAGTATCATTTTGCTTGAAGTGTTATCCCAATTTATGGAAGGCAGTCTAACTCCGTTCTCTAAAGGGGGCTGGGCCTCCAGTCTTGAATTCTGACATCTGAACAGATCTTTGCCCTCTACAAAGCCGGCTAAAATAGTTATATAGCAGAAGACAGATGGCCTAGTTTTTAAAATATAATCCCTAATCTAGTAAGTTTTTCCTTTGCCTTCATGGTAACAGAAGGAAGATGATGCTATGGAGAGCAAAAGCAAATGATTAATACAATAAAAGACTATGAAGAATTTTTGATTGACTAGATATAATCATAAAGCTATACAATTTTAAGAACTCTAAACTATAAACAAACTAAAAAATGGATTGAAATTACATTGGTTTATAACATTATATAAGTTTCAGGTGTGCAAAATTATACTTAAACATCTGTATATACTACATCACTTCCCAAGTCTGGTCCAAACTAGAAAGTACTTTTCTATCACCTCCATACCTTTACCCCTTTTACCCACCTTCTCTGGTCTAATACCAATCTGTTCTCTGTATCAGTTTGTTTTGTATGAACAAATATTTTCTTGTTTGAAATGGTAAACTTTAGGAATCTGACTTAACTGATGGAAAAAGGCATATAGTATCTTCAGGTTTTTCCACACCACATACTTTGAATTACTGGAATTTGAGAGCTCATTTCCCTTTGACAGGCTTGTACTGAACAATCACTGTTGAGAATTTTTCCTTGTTTGAAAGCTCTCTGGAGAAGATTATAGCTATTTTGAAAGCCTTATATATTTTATGGAACATCTTTGTCTCTATCAGTTAACTATTGTTATGTAACATTTTACCTCCAAATTTAGCAGCCTGCAGCGCATTTTTATCCTGTAGGTTTGCCTTAGCTGGTTGCCTCTGGCTCAAGAGCTCTCATCAGATTATTGGTCTGCTGAGGCTGACTTGAAGACTCAATATGGGAGACACTCCTTCCAGACTCATTCAGATGGTTATTGGCAGGATTCAGTTTCCTACACACTGTCGCTCTGATGGCCTCAATTCTGTGCTAGCTTTTTGATCTCCCTCAGTTTCTTCTCTCATAAATCCGTCTATAGGATGACTTACAACATAACAGTTTGCTTCCCTGAGAATGAGCAAGAGGCAGCACCCATGATGGAACCACAGTGTTTTATAACCTAATTTTGGAAGAGAGATTCCAATATGATCACATTTGCCATATGCTGTTTGTTAGAAACAAATCACTAAATCCAGCCTACATATTTAAAGGGAAGAGACTCTTTGAGGACACGGATAGCCAGAGGCAGGGCTCACCAGGGATGCATCTCATAGGTTGCCTGTCTCACTACATAAGGATAATACTGTTGTGAATAACCAGATTCCAGCACTGTTTGATAGGTAAATATTAACTTTGAAACTCTGAAAGTTACTTTAATTGGAAGATCTATATTGTCATTATTTCTTTTTTCTTTATTTTCCAGAATAACCTTGGTATCTTGTGGTCTGAAAGAGAAGAAATTGAAACTGCACAAGCTTATTTAGAATCTTCAGAAGCACTGTACAATCAGTATATGAAAGAGGTATGATGCATATCCAGATACATTTTAAGTTTTGATTGAAACAGTTAAGAATTGATGGTTAAGGGCCTTCCTGGTGGTGCAGGGGTTGAAGTCTCAGCACTATCGAGGTATTGCCAGCCACTGCGTTTGATTCCTGGTTAGGGAGCTGACCCACATGGCACAGCAGACCTCTCCTGTCTTGCCCATTGCTCCCCTCAGCAGTGTATTTCAGTCAGTCTGCCTGTTCTGCTCCCCACTCTGTATCTGGTGAATCCTTACCCCCATCCACTTCCCCCGCCCCGCCACTGGCCAAGACCCCAGTTCTTGCATGCATGCATAAATAAAATACATCTTTAAAAAAAGGAATTGATAGTGAGAATTTGTTCATAATATTCCAGACCTTTCTATAGAGTGGTCTAAGTGGTCATCTGATAGCTAAAATTACTTTGTATTACAAATTTTAGTGTTCTTAAAAGTAATCCTTGGATAGAGTCTAATGATAACCCTAGTCTAATTATAATTGAATTATATAGGAAATATTATATTAATCCTAACATGCTGATACTTGCATATTTTTACTTATAATTTAAAAATTCTGTTTTGAGTTCCACTGAGAATAGTAGTGCTTAAAGAAACCTAAGCAACTACTTAAGCAAAATGTCAGAAATCTTTGAGGCAACAATTCTCAAATTTCAGCTTGCATCTGAATGACCTGTTAAAAAAACAATGTTCCTTCTCAGATTCAGACTTAGCAGATCTGGGTGGGGACCTGGAATTTGCATTTTTAGCAAGATAGTAGGTGATTCTCATTTGCTGATCTAGGTATTGCACTTGAGAACTACTTCAAGGTAATGGTTTTTTAGCTATTTTCTTTTTACCCATGAAACTCTTCTGAAATAAATTATGTAAAAACTGATCAAGCTTTTCTAGTTAAGCAGGTCAAAAATACCCTCAGCTCAGTCCACTACAGACTCTTCCCTCCTCCTTATTAGTAATAAAACAGAGGTATCATGGAGCCTGGACTGAAAACAAACCATCTATTTCTTCAATAAATTTTACCTACGAAGGACCTCCCTGGTGGCGCAAAGGGTTAAGTCCCAGCACTATGAAGCTATCAGCAGCCACTGAAGCACTTGGATCCCTAGCCAGGGAGCTCCCTCCATGGTGCAGCAGACCTCTCCTGTCTTGCCCACTGCTCCCCTCAGCAGTGTATTTCAGTAGATCCCCCTGTTCTTGAATATTAGAATGTTCAAAACTTTTATCTTCATTAATGATCAGTTCAGAACAATATTACTCTAAGGGTATCTATATCTTTCCTATTATCATCCTTATGTATTTTTTTTTAATTTTTTAACAGTATTTTTTTAAAGATTTATTTATACATACAAGAACTGATGTCTAGGCCAGAGATGTGGAAGGGGTGAGAGGATTCACCAGAGACAGACTGGGGAGCAGAACAGGCAGATCTACTGAAATACACTGCTGAGGGGAGCAGAGGGCAAGATGGGAGAGGTCTGCTGCGCCATGTGGGTTAGTTCCCTGGCAGGGGATGGGACTCATGCTATAGTGGCGGCCATAGCTTGGTAGTGTTGAGACTTAACTCCTTTTGCCACCAGGGAGGCCCCATGGATGTTTTTATTTATTTATTCATTTATTTTTTAAGATTTATTTATGCATACAAGAGCTGGGGTATAGGCCAGAGATGGGGGGGGGTGGGGTGGGTGAGAGGGGGCTTGAGGGTGAGAGGATTCACCAGAGACAGAGTGGGGAACAGAACAGGTAGACTGACTGAAATACACTGCTGAAGGGAGCAGCGGGCGAGTCGGGAGAGGTCTGCTGCGCCATGTGCGTTGCTCTCTGGCCAGCCAGGGATTGAACTCATGCTGCAGAGGCTTCAAATTGCTTCACAGTGCAGTACTTAATCCCTTGCACCACCAGGGAGGCCTGCCCCATGGATGTTTTTAAAAGAACTTTTTCTAGAAAGCAAAATTATCACTGAAAATACTTAAAGAATTATACATCCCTAAAAGCAAATTGGTAGGTTTTTTTAGTGTTGCTTAATCTCAGTTAAAATTTTGTCAAATGTGAGCTTGTGGACAATCTCTTTATAGCTGCTAAATTCTTCTTTTTTTTTTTTTAAGAGGCATGTATTTTCATTTATTTATTTATTTGTTTGTTTGTTTGTTTATACATGCACTGGGTACAGTCAGAAGCGCGGGAGGGTGAGAGAATTCACCAGAGCCAGAGCGGGGAGCAGGGCAGGCAGAAGGACTGAAGTACACTGCTGAGGGGTAGCTGCTAAATTCTTAAGGTTAAGGTAATTACTTCTTGGTAACATGAAAGGGAACTAGAGAAAAATGAAATGGGCTTTTAAAATTTGATTTCTTGAGTTCCTCCTCCAGAGGGGGGCGCTTGGTGTTGATACTTTAAAATTTTGTTTTTCTTGAATTATAGATTGGGAGTCCTCCTCTTGATCCTACTGAGCATTTTCTTCCTGAAGAAGAAAAACTTACTGAACAAGAGAGATCAAAAAGGTGAGTGGGTACAGAAATCAGCTTTCATGACTAATTCCACATAGTATAGGTGATTGTTCAGAAAAGTGCAGTGGTTTTCTTCTTGAAGATATATTTTTTTAAAGATTTATTTATGCATACAAGAGCTGGGGTACAGGCCAGAGATGTGGGGGCGGGGGGGGGGCGGCGGGGACTATGAAAGGATTCACCAGAGACAGAGTGGGGAACAGAATAGACAGACCAACTGAAATATATTGCTGAGGGGAGCAGCAGGCAAGACAGGAGAGGTCTACTTCTCCATGTAGGTTGCTCCCTGGCCGGCCAGGGATCGAATTCATGCTGTAGAAGCTGTGGATTGCTTCATAATACGGTGCTTAACCTCTTGCACCACCAGGGAGGCCCAACCTTCAAGATATTTTTAAAAGGTTATAGAATATGGATTCTGACATGGACTAAAATCCTCCATTTGCCACTTACTATCTATGTGATCCTGTCAAATCTGAGGCTCAGTTTCCTTAGCTGTGAAATAGCCATCCCAACTCAAAGGATTGGTGGGAGATCAAAATAAATATGAAAGTGCCTTAAAATTTTATGTTTTTATGCTTATTTTTCTCTTCATAGATTTGAGAAGGTTTATACTCATAACTTATATTACCTGGCTCAAGTTTACCAGCATATGGAAATGTTTGAGAAGGCTGCTCATTATTGCCACAGTACCCTAAAACGCCAGCTTGAGCACAATGCCTACCATCCTATAGAGTGGGCTATTAATGCTGCAACCTTGTCACAATTTTATATCAATAAGGTAAGCTTCTCAAAGTAGTTATCTAACAGAGTTATTGGTAATGCATACAAAAATAGAATCAGTAGCACCCTGAAAATACCATCTTTTTAAAAGTTTGTGTTTTATAATATAAACTAGAGAGAATAACAACCCATTTTACCAGTGTAATAAAATTGTATAGCTTTTTATTGCATTCTTTTGAATCTTAAAATGCTAAGTTTTAGCATTGTCTTGTTACCAAAGACCAAGTTTTTTTTCAATTAGGCTTCCTATCTCAGTTCATTTTAGTGAGGTTACTTTTAAATTGAAGATGTTTGTTCTCATGTAGATATATCTTTATCTTTTTGTAATGGTAATCTGGTAACTGAGAATTTGTCTGAGGAAGTTGACTGTTAAATGTGGGCTTTGATAAAAGCATGTGACACATTTCAGTTATTCTTCAGAATTAACTCTTTTATAATAATTTTTCTGTGTTGGAAATGTCTCTGCCCAATATCAGAGTTCCAGGTCTTTATACTATACTTCTTCTGGACTGTTCCCCAGGGACAAATTTGAACGTCTTAGTTGTTTATTGGAATTATTCAGAATCATGTTGATATATTCTTAACATTTTTTTTAAGCCCTTAATAGTTTTTAATGCTGAAATGTTTATAAGATACCTTTCCTACCCAAACTTTCTGTTATTCCTCAGTAAGACAGCTCAGCAATAGAAATTACTTTCATGTATATTACTAATTCACAAGTCTTTCTGAAATTTTGGTAATTCTTTACTTATCAGAGTTCCTTCTTAGATGTCTCTGGTTATCTGCTACCTTATCCTTACTGGGCCTTTATCCTTTCTAAGCTTTTTGTTAGTGCTGGTTCTGTAAATGCGCCCTATGTTTAAAGTATTGTCCCACAGAATTTCATTCAGAAAAGCTATTAGCAGGAGAGAAAGGGCTGTGGTGACTGCAGCATCGCTTCTAGGACTTTGATCTAAGATCAAGCGTGTAAGTAACGCTATTGCATATATCAGAGCATTCAGTTAAATCTAACTCATGAATCCATTTCATTGTGGTCATCATCAAAGAGTGTTATCCGGTGCCTCTGCTTGTGGCACCTTTTCTATAGCTGCTGGAGGCCCTTTGTTTTGTTTAGCAACTTTAAAATTACATATTCACTGTGATTTTAATTAACATTTAAATGTCTACAGATATTGATAATATTGAGCTACCTAGCTATTAATTTAAAGTATAATTAAAATTTAAAGTTGTTAAGCATTGCTTATGTGGAGCATGCAATAATTTTCATGAGTCCTTCTCCCACCCCACTTTTATTTTTTACCAATATATTTTACACATTTTTGTTACAACCAGCTAAGTTATATTGCAAAAAGAGATTTGAACCATATCTTTAAACAATGTAATTGTCATTTGTTTGTATCATATCATCATCATCTGGTTCCAGTGATGAGGGTTTGCTTCTTGGTGAGTCCCTGCCTGGTAGGTGCTAGTACCCACATTTACCAGCCACCTAGAGGGCACAGGTGCTCACTGTTTTAGCAGTGGTTGCTCACAGGGCGTTGATCTGGGCAAAGTTGAAGTGATATTAATGGGTGAGGGATTAGAGAGGGACTATTTAAGCTGCTTTATGTAAACTGTGACTTTCTTCTTGGATTTTGAAGTTTAACACCACCAGTTTGAATTAAGATGTTGCTGGGATAGTACTGCACAGCTGTTCTCAAGATGGCTTCTGAATTCACCATAATGGAGTTACACTCAATCTGATGTTTCAAAGTCATAATAGCCAACCATTAAAAATCTTAGCAGTGGGGCCTCCCTGGTGGCACAGCGGTTGAGCGCTGGGTTGCGAAGCTGCCCGCGGCCTCTGCGGCGCCGGTTCGATCCCGGCTGCTCCCCGGCCACCAGAGGAGGGTCCCACATGGCGCGCAGACCTCTCCTGCCGCCCGCTGCTCCTCTCAGCAGTGTACTTCGGTCCTTCTGCCTGCTCTGCTCCCGCTCTGGCTCTGGTGAATTCTCTCACCCTCCCGTGCTTCTGACTGTACCCAGTGCATGTATAAACAAACAAACAAACAAATAAATAAATAAAACATGCCTCTATTAAAAAAAAAATTTAAAAAAAAAAAAATCTTAGCAGTCACTTATATGAAGTAGAGATTATATTTAATGAGGGTGGTTTCCACCTAAAAGTTGGACTTTAACTTTGTGCTTTTGCTGGGTGGTCCTGTGAGTTACATGACAAATGCGAAGTGTGGAGATCTTCTCCAAATGTTTGAGAAGTTTACCATGCCAAGATTTGAATTATGAAGTCTTCAAATGTGTTAATAAAGCAGTTACATAAAATTCATCTGTGGAAATAGATTGACTTCAAAACTTGATGGGAAGTTTCATGTAAATTACAAAGATTTTAGAAGACCTGGATCTCTTCGTATCAGAACTTAACCTTTTGCCTCTGAATGGTAGGATGTAAAAGGGATCTCTAATAAAAATTAAATTTTCAAATCCTTTGACAGATTGCAAATGATCTAAGAATTTATTATGTATGGGACTTTGGCTATTTAGATTGAACCTAAAGGACTAGATGAGGTAATGAGTCTAGGATAACTATTCTTACATACTTTGTTTACCTGAGGAGAGCTAACTTTCCATCAACAGTTGTCTTTCAGCCATTTTGATTATTAAGAGTTTGGAGCGCTGTTACTTTAACCTATGAGGTAGCTTTTTAACCAGATCATAGTCTTATATACCTTCCAAATGTTCAGCATTTATACAAGGTTTCCTTGGTAGTATTTTTACCTGATTTTATAGCTTTTCCATATAAAAGACTTGATACAAGTATCATTGCAAATAAGGCTGTGTGATAATTGTCTTCACTCTTTTTTTCAACAGCTATGCTTTATGGAGGCCAGACACTGTTTATCAGCTGCTAATGTCATTTTTGGTCAAACTGGAAAGATTCAAAATACAGAAGACAGTGAGTATTAAATAATTTTTAAAAGATTTTGAAATCATTTTAATGTTAGAAAAATTATAAGAACAGAGCAAAAATCTACCATATGTCCTTCTAAATTCACCAGTTGTTAATAATTGCATCATTTGCAATCATCATTCTGAACCTCTGTGAGAAGACTGAATATATTATTTACTCTTTTACCACTTAATACTTCAGTATATATTTCCTAAGAAATAAGAACGTTTTCTTACATGATCATAAAACAGCTCTCCTGCCTGCCTGTGACTATGCAGGTGCCTATCTTTCTTCTTTTATAATGTAAAGGAAAAAAAAAACAATCTTAAGGATAGTTAGACAAAGAGTTTTAGATAACGTGAGGAGTTGAACCTGGGATGCAGTCTGTCAGAATTTTACTCTGAGAACCATACCAGCAATCACAAGTTTGAATTTAGTTTATATAGATCGAAACACTGAGTCCATTGACATTAAATGTAATTATTCTTTTTTTTTTTTTTTAAGATTTATTTATTTATACAAGAACTAGGGTTCTTGGCGTGGGAGGGTGAGAGACAGAGCAGGGAGCAGAACAGGCAGTCGGACCGAAGACACTGCTGAGGGGAGCAGTGGGCGAGACAGGAGAGGTCTGCTGTGCCATGTGGGTTTCTTTCTGGCCAGCCGAGAATTGAACCCGCGCTGCAGAGGCTGCCCAGACAGCTTCACAGCACTGCGCTCAACCCGCTGCGCCACCAGGGAGGCCCAGAAATGTAATTATTTTTGACAGGGAGCTTCTGGCTTTAAGTTGTTTTGACCTAAAATTATGTTGATGCTATCTGTGTACAGAGGAAGGTAATGTTAGGGTTTAATGTCTTCCTTTCTAAAGAATGTATTGTGGAGGTGCAAAAGCGAGGTACCATTGTTCAAACCTTCTTTATCCAGCTTCTCAGTCTTAAGTGGAGGTTGGAAAGGCTAAGTTACCTATAGACTGTACATTTTGGCTTCATTGCTTCATAAACTTCAAGTCTGTGCAAATGGTTTGCTCTCTTATTTGCTGGAAAAGAGACATGTTATTCCCAGAACATTTTTTTACAGTTCACACTATAAATCACAATAATCAACTGTTTATTATTAAGCCATTAAAAAAGAAATATATTGATTTATGACAACATGAGTAGAACTCAGTGCATTATGCTAAGTAAAATAGGTCAGAAAGACAAATACTGTTCTTCATCACACATACATGTAGAATCTTAAAAACAAAAAAAAATTGCTCATAACTACAGAGAACAGATTGCTTTCAGAGGCAGGGGCTGGGCAAAAATGGGTGAAGAATCAAAAGCAATAAACTTATGAATTAAGTTCTGGGACCGTAATACAGCATGTTGAGTGTATTGTGTATTTGAAAGTTGCTAAGAATAGATCTTAAAAGTTCTCATTATAGGAAAAAAATTGTAATTATATGGATAGTTGTTAATGACTTATTGTGACAATCATTTTAAGTCAGTACAGGTTTCCCTGATATCCAAAAATAGAGCATTCTTGTGAAATCTTTCATAAGATGGAATGACATAAAGTGAAGAAGCAATTACCATTAATTTATATGGAAAATTTTTTTAGCATTCCCCAAACCACTAAATAACCCACCAAATTATACCAAATAACACTAACCTGTAGTAAAAGCAGGAATGATAAGACATACAGAGCCTGTGTAAAGCAGTTCCAGGGAAGGAACTTGTGCCACTCCCACTGCTTAGGATGTGTGCTGCCTCTAGAATGCCGGGCCTCTGCCAAACACTGAATACTGTTTTTGCTTCTTGCCTTCTGTTATAAATGTGAAAATTCTCTTTCAATTTCTTTGTTAGTGAGACTAGGCACTAATGTCGGTCTTTTGTTAGAGCAAAGTTTAAGATGAACTTTTTAAAAGTGGGGGTACCTGAATACAAAAAAATGGAATCATTATGTTGTACGTCTGAAACTAATAAGTTATATTTTTACATATTTAAATGTCAATTTTTAAAAACTAGGTGGTCGAGTCACTTTACAGGTTTTGTAATAATGTCACAATTTTCTTTAGCATTCTGAATCAGAAGAATATAGAGGCTGTGAAAAGTTAGAGAAATGGTTTTAGATTGGTTGAAATCTAGAAGGCACTTGTCCCAGAAAAAAAATTAGTAAGAACTAAACCATCAGTGAGATACTTTGTTTTTAACTCTTCGAAACAGAAAGCTAAATGACAATGCCCAGTGTTTTCATAATGCTTTCATTGAGCAGCATCATATATAGTTGGTTTAAGTACTTGTTGAAGATAAATTGGCAAGATATATCAAGAATGTTTAGAATAGTTTAAATGCTGACCCAGTAAATTTCACTTCAAGGAATTAGTCATAAGGAAATAATTGAAAATCTATACAGATTTGTAATGCACAGAGACCTTTGTTCAGGGTTGTTTATAATAGAAGAATTAGAAGAGACTAATGCCCAATTTTAGAAAAACAGTATGGAATATCTATTTAATTGTATTATAATACATTTTTTAAAAATGCATTAGCAACAGTTGATAATGATATGAGTAAAGTACTAGTGGTATAACATATGGAAAGGCCATATTCAAAATTAAACATACATTGTGACCTTAGTTTTACCTATAGATAATGCACAAGAAAACATTAGAAAGAAATATGTAAAAGTAACAGCAGTTAGTGCTCTGGGTGGTGGACATTTTGGGGTGTTTTTTCCCTCTGTTGCTTCAGTGAAAATCTGTTATTTTATAATCAGGAAAAAAGTGATACAAAAAGAATGCAGTGCTCATTGAAAATTACAATTGTGACCATTAATTTAGGCAAATCACTGTGCTTTGTTACAAACGCTGTGTAATTTTAGCTACTGAAACTGATGGAGATGTGCCAGAGCTTTATCATCAAAGAAAAGGGGAAATAGCAAGATGCTGGATCAAATACTGTTTGACTCTCATGCAGAATGCTCAACTATCCATGCAGGTAATACAATCAAAAATTGCCTTTTCTTTTTTAAATGAACAGAATATAAGTAAAAGCTTAAAAGGGGGGATTATGTCCATTGACCTCACTGCATGTTTATTATGCAGGGTACGCAGAATGTGCTCATGTTTATTATTTGTTCTCATCTTCTCTATCTTTTAAAATCTTATTCATTATTGGGGCCTCCCTGATGGCGCAAGGAGTTAAGACACAAACTATGAAGATATCGGCAGCCACTGCAACACGAGTTTGATCCCCGGCCAGGGAGGTGACCCATTATTTAAGTCTTAATACTTCTGGTTCCTTGATAACTTCCTTTGGATAAATAAATCCCTTTAAGAGGTTAAGAGTGGGGGATATACTGCATCAGATTCATAGTATATCATTACCTCCAGGCACAAGAGGTTCTCAATAAATTCAATAAATCATTGTTGAATGCATCCTCTACGGATATCTCTACAGAGATATCTCCCTCCTTTAAACTCCATAGAACTTTTCTTGCCTCTTCCTAAGACACTTAAATTCTGTCTGTATCATCCTGATTCATATTCTTTTTCCTTTACTTCCTTATAGACTACAAGCAACTTGAGGATAGAAAAATTCTTACTAATCTTTATATAGTTTCATAATCTTTATATGCTTTATATAGCATATGAATCTGTATAAATATATCTAGCAATAAATATATCTAGCCCTGCCATTTTTGCAGTTGTATAATCTCTCCATGTCTCAACTTCTTCAACAGTGAGATGGAGATAAAAATAATACATACATGCATGCACACACACACACAGAGATATGCATATGAAGATCTCAGAAATATGAAATCAGACTTGCCTGGAGAAATTGTTTTTATTTTTTCTATTTGTATGAATTAAAGCATAATATTTTTATAGAACCTTGTGAAACTACTCAACAAAATTAACCACAGAATTATAGATGCATAGCATAGGTCTTTAAAAAAAATAACATTGAGAAGCCTCCCTGGTGGTGCAAGGGGTTAAGACGCAACCTATGAAGCTATCCGCAGCCACTGCAGCACGAGTTCCATCCCCAGCCAGGGAGCAACCCACATGGCACAGCAGATCTCTCCTGACTTGCCCATTGCTCCCCTCAGCAGTGTATTTCAGTCAGTCCACCTGTTCTGTTCCCCACTCTGTCTGGTGAATCCTCTCACCCTCTCGTACCTCTGGCCTGTACCGTAGTTCATGTATGCATAAATAAATAAATCTTAAAAAAAACAAAAAGAACATTGGGCTTCCCTTGTGGCACAGGGGTTAAAGTTTCAGCACTGTCAAGCTATTGCCAGCCATTGCAGAATGAGTTCGATCCCCGGCCAGGGCGCTAACCCACATGGCACAGCAGACCTCTTTAGTCTCACCCACTGCCCCCCTCAGCAGTGTATTTCAGTAGATCTGCCTGTTTTGCTCCCCACTCTGTCTCTTGTGAATTCTCTTACCCCCTGCACCTCTGGCCTACACCCCAGTTCTTGTATGCATAAATAAATAAATTTAAAAAAAAAAAGAATATTTTAGAATATAGTGTAAAGATGGAGCAAGCCTACAAGGGAAAGAATCCTGGGGAATTTTATGTCTAGAGTAGTTGGAGCTGGGAAGAGCTTTAGCCCAGAAAGCAGTTTAGGAAGCATATAAATAAATAAGTCCAGGGAGCAAGTAAGCAAACAAGATTTAGAGAATTATGACCTACTTTTGAAGTAATTATATCAAGTATAATGCTCTATGGTTTAATTTTGCCCTAATTTAGTTGATGTTTTCCAGACCGGATACTAGAACTTATTGCATGCTTAAACTCAAATGTTTGCCATGCCACTAAATTACTCAAATATCTTTAAAAAAATTTTTTCCCAGATACTCCTTAATATGACCTTTTTGTTACCTCAGCTTCATCCTTTGGTTGTCCGTTTATTCATCTGAAAAGCCTTCTTCAATTTATGCTTAAGATTTGTTCAGTTAAGTATTAATGACAGCTCTGTACTAGTCATTATACTATGTGAACAAAAAATAGACCTGGTTATTGACCTTGTGAAAAAGTGTAATTTTAATAAGTTCCATAAAGGATATGTCATTGAAAAGGTACAAAAGGAGGAAACAGTTAAAGCAAGCTCAGTGAAGGAATAAAAATAAATCTTTAAAAAAAATTTTTTTTTAGTGGCCACATTAGAAAAGGAAAAAAAAGGTAATACTTTATTTTTATTTGACCCAGTGTATAAAAATGTTACCATTTTCTATGCCAACATTTCAACATTACTAGAGAGATTTTACATTCTTTATTTTTGTACTAAGTCTTTGAAGTTGGGTATAGATTTTATATGTATAGCCCACAACTGTGGCTGTGGTGAGTTTCGATTCCACATTTTAAATGCTCAGTTGCCACCCACACTTGGCTAATGGCTACTGTTTTCAACAGCGCAGGACTAGAGACAGTGTCAATGTAAAGGAGAAAGACCTTGGGGCTAAGCACTGATGGATCTGTTTTTTAATCATATTAGTTTTGGGGTGTTTTTTGCCTCTGGAGTTAGGGAAGGATAACTTTTAACTATGAAGATTTGACGCTTCACTGTAGTGTCAGTCCTAGACTATTTCTCTATATTTCACTATAGAACATAGTATAAACACCATATGGTTAATCTTAATGGCATCTCAGTAAATGTTTTTAGTATATAAACTACATTCTTACTCTAATGTTAAAAGTAAATATTACTAATAATGTGCTATATGTATATAACGTGTCACAGTTCTAAAAGTGCTTTTAGTATGTATTTATTTTAGCTGAAGGAATAACTATGAGTTTTAGTTCCCCAAAGAGGATTGGTAGTATATAAATGGCTTAATCTATTTTATTTAAATATTTTTCCAAATTTCTTGAAATTTTTAATATAATTGGAACATCGTTAAAAGAAGTAAGTTTTAAAAGATATCTAGGATAATATCTTCCTAAACCAGGCTGAACTATAAGAAGGTTTTCTTTTTTTTCTAAATATTTATTTTTATTTATCTATGCATGCAAGAACTGGAGTGTAGGCCAGAGGTGCCGGGGGGTGAGAGGATTCACCAGATTGGGGAGCAGAACATGCAGATTGACTGAAATACACTGCTGAGGGGAACAGCAGGTGAGTCAGGAGAGGTCTGCTATGCCATGTGGGTAGCTCCCTGGCCAGGGATCAGACTCATGCTGCAGTGGCTGGCAATAGCTTGATAGCACTGAGACTTAAACCCCACGCCACCAGGGAGGCCCAGAAGGTTTTCTTTTCTTTACTCTTATTTGCTTTAATCTTGTTAGACAGCAAGAAGATCAGTATTATACTTAACCATAATTTTTTTCCCTTTCAGGATAACATAGGGGAACTTGATCTTGATAAACAATATGAACTTAGAGCTTTAAGGAAAAAAGAACTGGAAGAGGAAGAACGTGTTAGGAAAAAAGCTGTGCAGTTTGGAACTGGTGAGCTGTGTGATGCCATCTCTGCAGTAGAAGAGAAAGTGAGGTATTTGAGACCTTTAGATTTTGAAGAAGCCCGGGAACTTTTCTTATTGGGTCAGCACTATGTCTTTGAGGCAAAGGAGTTCTTTCAAATTGATGGTTATGTCACTGACCACATTGAAGTTGTCCAAGATCATAGTGCTCTGTTTAAGGTGCTTGCATTCTTTGAAACTGACATGGAAAGACGGTGCAAAATGCATAAACGTCGAATAGCCATGCTAGAACCCCTAATTGTGGACCTGAATCCGCAGTATTACCTGTTGGTCAACAGACAGATTCAGTTTGAAATTGCACATGCATACTATGATATGATGGATTTGAAGGTCGCTATTGCTGACAAGCTGAGGGATCCTGATTCACACATTGTGAAAAAAATAAATAATCTTAATAAGTCAGCATTGAAGTACTACCAGCTCTTCTTAGACTCCCTGAGGGATCCAAATAAAGTATTTCCCGAGCATATAGGGGAAGATGTTCTTCGCCCTGCCATGTTAGCTAAGTTTCGAGTTGCCCGTCTCTATGGCAAAATCATCACTGCTGACCCCAAGAAAGAGTTAGAAAACTTGGCAACATCATTAGAACATTACAAATTTATTGTTGATTACTGTGAAAAGCACCCTGAGGCTGCTCAGGAAATAGAAGTTGAGCTGGAACTTAGTAAAGAGATGGTGAGTCTTCTTCCAACAAAAATGGAGAGATTCAGAACCAAGATGGCCCTGAGCTAATCCTTTTTTCTATTGGATGAAAATGTGCAATACTGAAGACATTTTTTCCCCTTAGTCACACAGGTCCAATTCCATTGTGATATTACCTTTATAGCTAGATTGTGGTCTGCACTTGAGATAGGCCAGTTGAGTCTTTGCTAGGACCTTACTTAACATAAATAAATTAATAATTTACACCTAATTATGTAAATTGCCTTGTTGAAGTGACATGTGATTGGTATTTTAGATTGCTTGTTTCCTATTTAAATATAAACCTTTCCTCCCTCCATTTCTAACTGTGGGCTAGTACTTGATGGATTCCATAAGAGGGAAAATACTGGGTACTATCCCTGGTAGATAAGCCTATTACTGTATTAAAATTTAAAACATAACTTCCTATAATTATCCTTCCCAAAATATTTACCTTCCTAAATTTCCAAAGAAATCTTTCCTTTTTGAAAATAACTTAAAAAACTAAGTTATGTTGTTGTAAAGTGGTTTGTCTTAATTATAGGGGAGGGAATAAACCTTGTTGGAAATATAATAAATTGACTTGTTTCACTAATAAGAGCTTCCATTTTTTTCTTTTGTTGTCTTACGAGATTTGATCTTATTTTTGATACCTCTAATTTATTTAAAGCCAGAAGAATATTTCTTTGATAGTATTACACAGATAGAAAACATTAAAATCTCATTCATGGAATAGATATTTACTGAGCTACTTGTTACTGTGTGCCAGAAAAATCTTACTAGTTACCATTTTTCAGAGGATCCTGATCTAGGAACCTGTAAAGCACTGTTGACAAAGGATATGTACTTCGTAGTACGATGGTTAATGTGTTAGTTATTGTAAGAAATGCTGAATTGAAAGAGTCCCTACTCAATGCACAAATCAGAATCTTTTATAAAATTTGATACAGTATAGTTCTATATATTGGTTTACTCATTAATTTGCTTCATAAACTTTTAAGAATCTATAACATTTACATATGTAAATGAAATTAAATTTCCAGGGAAAAAATATTACATATAACAGCAATGTGTAATTCACCTAATACTTAATAATTATTAAATGTCTACCATAGGTTAGGCACTGTTCTCACTTTTCTAAGCAGAAGATACAATGATCATTAAGATAAACAAGGTCCTACTCTCATGGAGCAAATGAATAAGCAGGATGGTTTCGGATCATAAATGAGTTGAGAAAGGAAAAAGAGTGATACGGTAAGCATTTCATGGAAGCTGTGCTACTTTAAGTTATGGTGACCTCAAAAAGTGAGAGGTGTTACTGAGCTGAGAACTGAATGAGAATAAAATGCAGCAAAGTTAAGATCCTTTGGTAAAGAATTCTAGGGAGTACTGCCATCAGACTGGAATTAGCTTTGGCATTTTAGATGGTAGGAAAGGTCAATGTGGCTGAAAAAAATAAGGGTTGGGTGGGGTGTGGCAGGGATAGGGAGCCCAGATGGAAAGGATTTTGTAGATCAGGGCTGATTATCATTTTAAAGAAACCACTCTGTGTCTAAGGGGAAAATAGAGTGTAGAGAGAAGGGTAAGAGTCCAGAGAGGAAGCATGGGGATAGGCAAAGGCTAAATTCTCTTAAGATTACTCTAAGTGATTTGGACCTAGGGTGATAATAGAGTAAGGATGGAGAGACGTGGATAAATTCAGTATGTGCTTTGGAAGTAGGCTCAGGACATGCTAAAGAATTAAATGTAAGTCTTGAGAAAAGCAGCAATAGGAACTATATTGAAGAAGCACATTTTTATGGGGGACATGTGGGATTAGAATTAGGAGTTTATTTAGAGAACTACCATATGTCTCAGCAATTCCACTTCTGAGTTTTTATCCAAAGAAAACAAACACTAATTTGAAAATATATGTGCACCCTTATGTTTACCCTAGCATTATTACTCTAACCAAGATATGGAAACAAGTTAAGTCCATCAGTGGATGAGTGGATAAAGAAGTTGTGTATGTGTGTGTGTACGTCTGTCTGTGTGTATGTACACACACATTGGAAAACTTTAGTAGTAAAATCTTGCCACTTGCAACATATGGATAGACCTTGAGGGAATTATGCTAAATGAAATGAGCCAGCGAAGGACAAGTACAGTATGGTTTCACTTACATGTGGAATTTCTTTTTTTAAAGATTCATTTATTCATGCATACAAGAGCTGGGGCATAGGCCAGAGGTGTGGCAGGGGTGGGAGGGTGAGAGAATCCCTCAGAGACAGAGTGGGGAACAGAACAGGCAGATTTACTGAAATACACTGCTGAGAGGAGCAGCAGGCAAGTCAGGAGAGGTCTGCTGCACCATGTGGGTTCTCCCTGGCCAGTAGGGGATCGAACTCCTGCGCTGCAGAGGCTGTGGATAGCTTCATAGGTTGTGTCGTAACCCCTTGTGCCACCAGGGAGGCCTTACATGTGGAATTTAAAACAAAACTCAGAACAGAATAGTGGTTGCCAGATTAGAAGTACTTGGGGATGGTTGAAATGGGTGAGAAGAGTCAAAGGGTTAAATTCGAAAAGTTAACTTTGTGTGGTGACTGATGGTGACAAGACTTACTGTGGTGATCATTTCACAATGTGTGCAAATACTAAATTATTATGTTGTACACCAAAAACCAATATACTATTATGTCAGTTATAGCTCAAATACAATTTTTTTGTTTCTTATTTCTTTTTTTTAATATTTTATTTTATATAATTCTTACATCATTTTTCATTTTTGCACAATGTATGCATTTTCATTTTGGTTATATTCCCCATACAAGTGCACCCTCCCTTATTTTGACCCTAGTCCTTCCTCTCTCTGCCCCCCTCCCCCCACCGTGTGTCTCTGGTTTATATTTGCTTGTTGATTTTGATTTTTACTTTGTATTAATTAGTCTTTTTCCTGGTCCCTTATTTAGGTTTTCTAAATTCCTGCTATGAGTGAGACCATCTGGTTCAAATACAATTTTTAAATAGTTCTATTTACGTCCTATTGTGTTTAGCTGTTAAGATACTTGAGGTGAAACGATTGTTAATATCCTTTTATTAGATTTTTAAGGGATAGTAAAGAGAATTAAGAGGCAGCAAAGAGGGAGGGAGGCTTCTGGGGAATAGTGATATGACACTGAATCTACTATGGAGAACTGATTCTAGAACAAATCTCCATTGCAAGCCTTTTTAAAAGGTCTTGATGGAGCTGTTTTGCTACCAACCTTATTCAGCTTCATAACTTCAATTATATTGTTATTCATTCATTTAATGATTACTGAGCTTTCTGTGTGCTAGTCACTGTGCTAAGCTTTGCAGATATACTCTGTAAGACATAGTCTCTTTAAGTCTTGATAGCTTTTCTTCCCAACTGTGTTACTCAAATTGAGTCCTAAAGATAAAATTAAGGTTTATCCGGTACTGGTCCGAAAACCAGTCTTTATCCTAATAGCCATCAGCATACTAAGCTATTTGTCATTTTCTCTCTGTAGTGACTTCATATTTTAAGACTTGCTCTCTAGTTATCAGCAGGAAATCTCACTGACTGCTTTGCAATCCTGTACTCTGTTCACATAGCCTTTTTCACAAGCTGCTTTCCCCAAGCAAGGCTTCAAAAAAATGGCTGCCTTTTTATCAATTTAAATTAAAATGACACTAAGCCCATTGTATTTAAACACAATATTTTATGAAAAATAATTATTTTCAAAAAAAGAGTGGCATGTTGGACATTTTATAAGTATCTTTAATGATTGGCTTAAAGGAAACAGGTTGATTTGTCCTAACTGTTGTGACATAACATGTCATGTGGCCCTTGGAAGAGAGAGGAGTGAAAATGGTAATGTCTTCTGTTTATGAAAATAGTTTCATGGGATTTCAACCCCACAGTTCCCTGGACCCCACTTTAGAACTGCTGCCCTCGCAATTCTAGGTTGGGCATGGTGCAGAATGTTGAGGAAAGGTTAGTTTAGGAAACTAATGTCGCTACAGTGACTGGTCTAGGTCTCACATCCAAAATAAATTAAATCCATCTTATTTAATACACATTAGTTTTGGTTGAGTCTGGAGTCAAGGCACTGTCATATCTTCCCAATTTTTTTTTTTAATCACAAAATATATTGGATTTCTTGGCAATACTAGATTCTTTAATACTGTTTCATCTGCTTGATTTTTGCTAAAACTTTCATTGTTGTGTTCCTCTCTGTGACTGTAGAGCTGCTGAAGGGTATTAGAAGCTTTCCCTTACCTAACAGATGGTTCATTACTCTGGGCTAATTTTGTAAAACCTCATACATAGACTTAGTACAAATAGACTTGTTCCTCTTTTCCTCACACCTAAAACAAAGACTATATTCTCAGTTAATAAAAAAAAATTTTTGACACAAAAGACCTTTGTAATTTTCATTTCATTCTTGCTAGATTTGGATCATTAATAGGCTAAAGGCATCATTCATTCATTTATTTACTTATTCAACAAGTATTTAATGAATGCCTACTAGCAGAAGACTGTATATTACCTGCCAATCCTGAACAAAAAGGTTGAAACTTGTATATGAATTTAGGGTCTTCCTGATGGTATAGGTTATCTTTTGGGGAAAACCTACTTATTATTGTTTTTTAATTAATTTATTTTTATTTTAACATTTATCATTTAAAAATTTTTTTTAGACAATATTTGCTTCCCCCCACCCCCTCAGATTGAGTCCCCATAGAATTTCCTTCCCCAGTGCACCCGTGCACCATCACCTCAGTCCCCTGTGCTCCTCCCTCCCTCCCTCTGATTCCTCTCCCACCTCCTCCCCTGCAGTATGTCTCTGGTTTATAATTGTCTAAAAAACCTACTTATTAAAAATAGTTTTTGCCAATCTCATTACTTTGTTGTTTTTCTTAAGGGACTATATGCTAGTAGGAGAGCATTTACCTCTTTCCTTGCAATTTCTTGGGAAAAGTGGCTGCAGTTGCCTGAAACTCAGTGAAGTTTTGAGGCTTATCTACATCCTGTACATGCTGTTCATCTCTGTTCCTTAGATTGGTTTGAGCCAATGCTGTCAGTTTCTCCTGAATCATGTGAGAGGAAGGGCTTGATAGATATGTATTCTTTTTTAGTTTCTATTTTAGATTAGAAAATAAACGTCCAAATTTCAGATGCTATTTGTTTTAGCCTATTACGTTTGGCCTATTAAATTTCTTCTTCTGATACTCAGGGACTTGTAGTCTTTCTATACAGGGCCAAATGGTAGTTATGGTAGACTTTGACGCCACACAGTCTGTTGCAACTATTAATACTGCTGTGAACGCAACAGTATATGAACAAATGAATGAATGTGGCTGTCTTCTAATAAAACTTTACTCATTAAAACAGGTGATAGATTTGTACTCTGGGCCTAGTTTGCAAGCTCTTGCTTTTACTGGTTTATTTTAGGAGCATCTGTATACTTTATATATAATGTTATTGAACACTATCACACCTTATTGCTAAGCACCTTATATTCATTATTTTATTTTATATTATTTACTCAAAAACTTTATGATGTGGATACTATTACCCTCCTTTTACAGAATGTGAAACGGAGGCCTAGAG